CCCCCTACCTCCCTGTAGCATGGCCGAGCCCTGTATAGTCCGCGGGTACAGGGAGCATCTGTCTACTGTACCCGGCCGGACTAACAGGAAGTACACACTCAGTGTGCACTTCCTGTTAGTCCGGCCGGGTACAGGAGACAGCTGCTCCCTGTACCCGTCGGACCAGCATGCTGCAGGGCTTGGCCACGCTACAGCAAAGGAAGCTGACAGGAGGGATCGCTGAGCGTTTCCCTCCTGTCAGCCTCTCCTCAGGTTGCGCCCGGGCGGTGCGGTCCGCCCTCATGGACGCACCGCCCGGGCAAAGCTGCAGCCGCCTGAGGCTCTCTAAAGAGCGTTCTGGCGGCTGTAGCATGGGGTGGGGGCGTCCCTGGCCATGGCACCCCCCATCCTGGTGGCACCCCCATCCTGGTGGCACCCGGGGCGGACCGCCCCCTCCGCCCCCCCCTTAGTACGCCACTGCTGCACACGTAAAGGACCACTATGGGCGCCCAGACCACTTCAGCTTTTAACCCTGCCTGCTGTAAACATAGTAGTTTCAGAGAAACTGCTATGTGTACATTGTGAGTTAATCCAGCCTCTAGTGGCTGTCTCATTGACAGCCGCTAGAGGCGCTTCCGTGATTCTTATGTGAAAATCGCATTGAGGACACGCTGGATGTCCATAGGAAAGCATTGAGTAATGCTTTCCTATGGGCGTTTTGAATGAGCGCGCGCGTTCGGAAGCTGACGTTGGCAGGGGAGGAGAGTTCCCCAGCACAGAGGGAGCACGGCGCTGGATTAAGGTAAGTGGCTGAAGGGGGTTTAACCCATTCAGCCCAGCGGGAGGGGGGCCCTCAGGGAGGGGGGAGGACCTAATAACCATATAGTGCTAGGAAAACGAGCTCCTATAAAATTCACACATTTATGCTTTGTATGATGATATCACAGAGCTCCACAGACATAAGATTCCACTGAAATGTATTTCAGCATTTACATAATCAAAATGCACAATAATATGAAATATGTTCTTCAGTTTGTGTTAAAACTGTAAGAAATGTATTTTGTCGTGTAGATCCTCATGATATTTTAAGCTGAGATCCCTGGTTAAGAGAGGCAGTGAGTGTTAAAAACGAGAAATGTTTAGAGAGACCGAGGTGGTTAATTTAGAGAGACTGGCAGGAATACAGAACGTAGATATGGATTTAGTGAAATAAATAAATAACTAGACAAACCATGCGATATTCTTCAACAAGGTTTAATTATTTAGCTAGGTACGTGAAACTAAAATATAACACATCACAAACATTTTACATTTTTATTGAACTATACAAAGTCCAAAATACAGATTATGAAGAATGTTACATACATTCGAAAAATTATCAGGTATCAGAGACGAAACACAGAAGTTCAATATGCGGAATACTCCAATGACTAAATACACATGGATATATGCCCACTGGGCCGCTCTTATAATAGTGCTTAGTATTGATAGTGCAGACCAACCTATGGTAATTTGTGCCACGGTTATTATGACCAAAAATATATGGACTTGTGGGGAATAAAAGGAGCCGAGAAGACTGAAATAGACAAATATATCACTACTAATTAAGTATATTTGGCATCAAAAAAGTTTAACTGTTAATGTACAGGCTACACACTCCTATGTGATGTGCAGAAGTATTTGGCACGTAAAGTGTTTCAGTTATTGGCAATATATCCTCATTTTATCTTTCGTCGTGAAGCCTAGAAACAAAAGAGTTATCACTGTAGTGAAACACAGGATTTGGTCACAGCAGTTGCCAAACCGAATAGAATTTACTAAGAGAGCGCAAAATATCTCATGTTTAATGAGCAAACAGTGACACCTAGTGGACATTCATGAAAACTATGCAAGGAAGGTCTGAGAGCTTTTCAACCATTAAGCTTTGGTTGTAGCAAAAAAAAGTACATTTTATGGAGGGTTAAAAAAAGCAATAAAAAAGAACATAAACAAACATGTCCTAGCAGCGGTTCAGGATGTGCGACCATCAAATACTTTTAAAGGACAAATAATATTTATCTACAATAAAACCAACCTATAGATTGTGACATTTATAAATATTATTGCAGCAATTGTACTGTTTTGCAGAGTCATACAAGCAGTGTGTTATCGGAAATGTTTTAATAATTTGGAAAATTGGATGATGGTTACTGTGGTAATCACAAATTAATTTCAGCCACTTTGTCCGAATCAGATTCCTTTTAATTCACACACAAATTCATCATTTTTCTTCTTCTTCCACATGCTATAAGTGATTCACAAGGTTTTGGACTGAAATTCACTCTGCACAAGGTTGATTTACAAGGTTACTTTTTCTATTTGATAAAGAAAAAAAATGTTTTTGGATTGAATGATATGAATCACATGATATAATTACTTTGTATTGGCTTAATTTATAAGGGACATATATACAGGATAAAATAAAGTGCTTTTTTCCTTTTTTATTTTTCTTTAAATCTCCTACAAGGTTCTTCCTTTTTGGCTTTTTAACCAACAGGTCTACCTTCCACCTTATACCTCAAGATTAGGCATGGATACTGGAATTATTTTTGACTTTGATGTAAATAGATCGCCTAGGAACAGAATCTTCTCCAAATTCTTGAGTAGACCACTAAAGTGGAATCTGGTTTAGCAGCTAAGATAAAAATGACATTTGAGACCTTTAGAACTCAGGATCTGGTGTTTCGATACCAAGCCATAGTTTGAATCTTAGAAGGGTCTGAAGAGGTACCTGGTTGTGTTCCAGTATGTTTACTACCAGAGGAAATTGTCAACAATCTCTTCTTGATTTTTAGGAATCAAAAACCATCTTCTCCTTATTCACAATCTAAGGATCACAATTATTTTTGCTTTGCCAGCTATGCTTTATTGTTGAATATGAGAAACGAGGATGACTGAAGGAAAGTTGTAGACCTTCTTTCAGGAAGTAAAAGCTTCTGATCGTCTTCTTGTTTAATTCCATAAGCTGTTTAAGGAAGAATTTATTCTATTCCCTCAAGTAAGAATGTTCTTATGTAAAAGTCTCATACATGATTTGGACCAGTGGACTGCTGGAATAGCCGCTGTAAAAAAAGAGACTCAAAGTTTCTTTTTTGGAACATATCTACTTTCCCAGTGGATTTTGAAAATATTTTATAATCTTTGTTCTCCATTCTTCTGTCAAGAAGATTTTTATCAGAATGGTATCCAGAATGAAGGCTAGAAATATAATTTTTAGAGTGAGAGAAGTTCTGTTTTTCTTTGATAAAGACCCATCCAGGTTTCAACAGGGATTCTGAATAAGTTCTGATATCTTCTAAATACTGTTTTCATGAAGAAGCTATGAGCAGCCAGTTGTCTATGTAGGGGACTTTATAGAGTTCTAGATTTCTCAGTTCTGTTGTCAAAACAACCAGCATATTTGTGAAAAAAGGAGGAGAGGTCAACAATAAAGGGCTTTAAATTGGCCATGAAGTAGCTGTTTTTCAACCTTGCAGTTCTCAGACTTTTCTGCTTTCATCTGCTATGGAAAAGTCTGCAAAATGCAGTGGTAAATTCCCATATTTGCTAAAAATGAAGAGGTCTTCCTCCCACTGGTATGATGTCAAAAATGTTTTCATTTTGTTTTAGTAACTCATCTGGTTGAGAAGCAAAACGTCTTCCCTCTGGAATGGAAAATCACATCGGGAGTTCTTGGCGGCAAAGTCAGTTGACCAATACCTTAGCCATACAGTTCTTCTGGCTACGTTAGATAGACCCATAGCTTTAGTCCCTCAAAATATCTGACACCAAACTAATCATCCTGGAGAATTTGAATTTGACGAAGCAGAACTTCACTATTGACATTTGTCAAATCCCAGCAGCCATCTAAAGCGGCGTTTGTTGGAATCAGGCATTGTCTTATAACACTATCATTCACACTCACTGTACCTTCATGTACCGCGTCACTATGGATGGTGTCACCCAGTGCAGTGACTCATTGTAAACCTCCTCCTGTAACAGGGCATATGAGATCCATGATGGTCAAGTGGTAAGTTCCAGCTCTCTGATTGCTAGTTGTCATGGCAGCACTCAGATACTGTCAGTAATAGTTCTGGAGCTCTTGAGAGGGATATGCAAGGTCTGCACCCAATAAAGGCACAGACCAGAAGGTCTCTGGGTCCCTGTGCAGTGAGTGTACTGGGCCATTGAGGAACATCTTTGAGCTCCCTCACTGGAATGAAGAGACACTGCAACCTCTGCATGGGCTATCCGAAGCCGATTTTGGTATCACCATTAAGGGAGACTAATGTAGTGGCAGGCCTGGTGCAACAATGTTTTTGGCACCCTTCCCCCCATAGCATTGGTGGCCTAAAGGTAGATCCCTATCTGTTGTACACCGCCCACAATGCTTTGCTAGCTGGGAATCTACAATTTTCCATCTATACCGGATTGTATTTGTGAGCAGTGTTTATGTGTTTGAATGTAAACATGTTTTGCATGGAGTATATGTGTGAATGTAGGCAGGGCTGGTGCGATCATGGATTAGGCAATCGCTTAGGGTGCACACCAGCCCGAGGAGCTCAATGTCCTGGTGGCTGGTGGGAAGTGCACTACACAATGCTCCCCTCCTGCCAGTCACTGCATGTTGTGTGGCTGAGCTGTAGACTGTGGTAGAGGATCTTCAGTATCACTAAGAACACCAAACAGCTTCCTGTCAGACAGGTACAGGATACAGAAGATCCTCCACTGTGGTCTGTGGATCGACCATACTACATGGAGGAAGGTGAGCAGGCATGGGGAAGGAGGTCACAAAAGGACCAGGGGAGGACAACGAGGCGCACAGAGGGCTGAGGGGGGCAAAGACGTGAACAGAAGGGCTGGGAGAGGGAAAGAGACATGCAGAGGGCTGGTGGGGGGAAAGAGGCACACAGCGGGTTGGGGGAAGAAACACAGTGCTATGGAATTTGCTGGCACTATATAAATAATAAAATAATAATACACACAGAGGAACTGGGGGAAGAGGTGGGGGGAAAGAGGCACACAGCGGGTTGGGGGAAGAAACACAGTGCTATGAAATTTGCTGGCACTATATAAATAATAAAATAATAATACACACAGAGGAACTGGGAGAAGAAATACATACAAAGGGCCTGGGGGGAATATACACACAGATGAGATGGGGGGAGAAAGAGACACACAGAGGTCTGGGGTAACACAAAGAGAAACACAGAGGGGCTGTGTGGTTCAAAGAGACACAAAGAGGGATAGTAGGATAAAAAGACACATAGAGTGATGGTAGGACAAAGAGAGACAAATAGAGACAAAGAGAGACAGAGAGGGGCGGGGGAGCAAAAAAACAAACCAGATCAGCTAGTATGAAGAGAGACACAAATACGGACTTGGGAGAAAGAGACACACAAAGGGTCTGGGGAAGAGAAAGAGACACAAAGAAGCAGGGAAACGAGACACACGGAGGGGCTGAGGGGAGAAATAGACCCACAAAGGTGTGTGCCCAGACACACAAAATGGGGCTGGGGGAGAAAGAGACACACAAAGGAGCTGGAGGGAGAAAGGAGATGAGTGGGAAGAGACACAGAGAGGGGCTGGGAGGGAGAAAGAAACCACAAAGGTGTTGGGGAAGAGAAACATAGAGGGGCTGGAGAAGAGGAAAAAGAGACAATCAAAGGAGTTGGAAAAACAGAAACACAAAGAGGCTTGGGGAAGAAAGAGACACACAAATTGGCAATTTTGTTTTTGGGGGGTGCACATAGCTGGTCTTCCCTATGGCACAAAACAGTCTTAACCAGCCCTGAATGTAGTGGTGTAATTGTGGGTAGTGTCGCCATCTGAAAGCAGTGGTGTACTTGTGTGTAGTTTTTGCATTTGAATGCTGGAATGTGTTTATATGTCGTGTTGGAGTCTGAATGCAGGGGTGTATTTTGTATATACGATTGTCATTTTAATACTGGTACTGGTGTTTGATTGAAGGAGTGTATTTGTATGTAGTATTGGTGTTTAAGTGCAGGCATGTATCTGTGTGTTGTGTTGGTGATTGAATGCAGATATGTATTTGTGGTGTTGGCATTTAAATGGAGGAGTGTTTTTGGAGTCATTTTAATACAAGGGTGTGTTTGTATTTTGGTGTTTGATTGCAGGAGTGCTTTGACTGTAGTGTTGGTATATCACTGCATGGGTGTGTTTGTGTGCAGCGTTGCAGCGTTGGTGTTTGAATGCTGGGATGTATGAACATTAACACATACAACAACACACACACAGGACCACACACTGACTCAGATACATATTGAGGCTCACACACAGATATACATACACATTGAGGCTCACACACAGATACACACATTGACACACAGAAATACACACACATACACACACTGACATACACACACAAACAGGTCAGAATTGACATATTTTAGCCATCTTCCTGTTTCTGAACCTTTTGAGTGCAGGAGAGTGGCAGCCTTCAGGTCTACTAGCTGCAGCTGGTAAGTATCTCTACCTACCTTTCGTCATGCACACTAAGCGGAGATGTCACCTTCGGGGGTTCTCGATTTAATATGCAAAGACCCCTGAAAGTGACAGACCCGCTTTACACCATAGATCACACGTTTCCATTTATATAAATTAAAAAAAAAAACACCTAAAAAGTGCTGTGTCTGCACAATTGGAATACCTTTACTGAAGTAAAGAAAGCATACCTCCCCACAATTGGAGGAATCGGGTAAATAACCATAGAAACATAGAATGTGACAGCAGATAAGAACCATTCGGCCCATCTAGTCTAAATATTATCTAAATACTTTCATTAGTCCCTGGCCTTATCTTACAGTTAGGATAGCCTTATGCCTATCCCACGCATGCTTAAACTCCCTCACTGTGTTAACCTCTACCACTTCAGCTGGAAGGTTATTCCATGCATCCACTACCCTCTCAGTAAACTAATACTTCCTGATATTATTTTTAAACCTTAATTTAAGACTATGTCCTCTTGCTGTGGTAGTTTTTCTTCTTTTAAACAGGGGTCAAGTTCTGGGGAAAAAGGTGTGGGAACTCACCCAAGATTCCTCCCCGTCCCCTAAAAAAAAGAACCAAAATTTACACTTCAATGCATATAGTGCAGTGCAGAGTGTGTATAATGAATGTAGTGTGTTTGTAACGAGTGCAGAGTATGTATAATGAATGTAGTGTGTTTGTAATGAGTGCAGAGTGTGTATAATGAAGGCAGAGTGTGTATATTGAATGTAGTGTGTGTGTGGTGAGTGCAGAGTGTGTATAATGAATGTTGTGTGTTTGTAGTGAGTGCAGAGTATGTATAATTAATGTAGTGTGTTTGTAGTGAGTGCAGTGTGTATAATAAATGTACTGTGTTTGTAGTGAGTGCAGTGTGTATAATAAATGTACTGTGTGTGTAGTGAGTGCAGAGTGTGTATAATGAATGCAGTGTGTGTAGTGAATGTAGTGTGTTTGTAGTGAGTGCAGAGTGTGTATAATGAATGTAGTGTGTTTGTAATGAGTGCAGAGTGTGTATAATGAATGCAGAGTGTGTATATTGAATGTAGTGTGTGTGTGGTGAGTGCAGAGTGTGTATAATGAATGTAGTGTGTTTGTAACGAGTGCAGAGTATGTATAATGAATGTAGTGTGTTTGTAATGAGTGCAGAGTGTGTATAATGAGTGCAGAGTGTTTTAGTAAGTGCAGAGTGTGTATAATGAATGTAGTGTGTTTGTAGTGAGTGCAGAGTGTGTATAATGAATGCAGTGTGTGTAGTGAATGTAGTGTGTTTGTAGTGAGTGCAGAGTTTGGATAATGAATGCAGTGTGTGTAGTGAGTGCAGAGTGTGTATAATGAATGCAGTGTGTGTAGTGAATGTAGTGTGTTTGTAGTGAGTGCAGTGTGTATAATAAATGTACTGTGTTTGTAGTCAGTGCAGAGTTTGGATAATGAATGCAGTGTGTGTAGTGAGTGCAGAGTGTGTATAATGAATGCAGTGTGTATATTGAATGTAGTGTGTGTGTGGTGAGTGCAGAGTGTGTATAATGAATGTAGTGTGTTTGTAACGAGTGCAGAGTGTGTATAATGAATGTAGTGTGTTTGTAATGAGTGCAGAGTGTGTATAATGAGTGAAGAGTGTTTGTAGTAAGTGCAGAGTGTGTATAATGAATGTAGTGTGTGTAGTGAATGTTGTGTGTTTGTAGTGAGTGCAGAGAGTGTATAATGAACGCAGAGTGTGTAAAGTGAATGCAGTGTGTGTGTAGTGAGTGCAGAGTGTGTATAGTGAATGTAGTGTGTTTGTAATGAGTGCAGAGTGTGTATAATGAATGTAGTTTGTTTGTAGTAAGTGCAAATTGTGTATAATGGGTGCAGTATGTATATAATGAATGTAGTGTGTTTGTAACGAGTACAGAGTATGTATAATGAATGTAGTGTGTTTGTAATGAGTGCAGAGTGTGTATAATGAATGCAGTGTGTTTGTAATAAGTGCAGAGTGTGTATAATGAATGTAGTGTGTTTGTAGTGAGTGCAGAGTGTGTATAATGAATGCAGTGTGTGTAGTGAATGTTGTGTGTTTGTAGTGAGTGCAGAGAGTGTATAATGAACGCAGAGTATGTATAGTGAATGCAGTGTGTGTGTAGTGAGTGCAGAGTGTATATAGTGAATGTAGTGTGTTTGTAATGAGTGCAGAGTGTGTATAATGAATGTAGTGTGTTTGTAGTAAGTGCAAATTGTGTATAATGAGTGCAGTATGTGTATAATGAATGCAGTGTGTGTGTGCTGGGTGATGTGTGTGTGCTGGATGATGATGATGTGTGTGTGTGCTGGGTGATGTGTGTGTGTGTGTGCTGGATGATGTGTGTGCTGGATGATGTGTGAGCAGGGCACTCAACACACGTGAGTCAGAGCTGTCTAAGTGAATTAACTAATATATCTCATCCGTCCATTGTACAGTGCTGTAGAATAAGTTGGTACTTTATAAGTAAGAATAATGGTAATAGAGAGGTTAACAATGCTAATTAACTAAATGAAATTCTGAAATGAACTAAATGAGTTCTAACATTTTACATATCCTGGATCGTCTTTAGAGGATGAGATTCACTAGCTAGCCAGACATGTTGCTGCATTGTGTCCATGGGATGACGTGGGACCCCTGCGGAGGGTTAGAAGTGGGCAGACAGCTACTAAACTACAGCCAGTCTGATTGAACTGTAAACCTGTTTGTTGGAGTTTGCTGAAACATCCCTGCAAAGCTTTGCACTGGGAGAGGCTTTTACAAAGTTGTTATATTCACAGCAACAGTTACTAAGGTGTTGATTTTTGTTTGTTAATCTTGACAAAGTTAGTGTTCTCCCGGCAGGAGCAAACAAACAGCTTCCTTTTAACAAAAGACTCCTGACTAGCTGGGGAGACCTACTGAGTATGTAAAGCAGCACTTTTCTCTGAATAATGGAGTATTTTGGTGGATTTAACCATGACTGAGAAATTAATGAGACTATCAGAGTCTAAAAAAGATTTTCTCAATGAGATTAAGCAAATGTAGATGAAGATTTCCTATGACTGTGAGCCAGAAGGAACATTCTTCTTTGAAAATGAGCACCATTGCTGTAACACATTTGCCAGCAATCCAGTCCACCAATCTTTTTATAAATCCTTACGCTATTGAGGTGTTAAAGAACAAAAAAGAGGAACTTGTTGAAGGTATTAAGAATCCAGATCTTCTCCTGAACTGGTTAGTGGACAATGGGATATTCCCAATGGATAAAAAAGTGGCCATGTCTTATTACCGAACCAGGACAGAGAAAAACTCACGGATGCTTGATATTCTGGTGTCTAAAGGTGAGCGGGCCTGCCGACTCTTTTTCTATCCTTGTCTTAAGTTGATTGAGCCAGAAATATATAACAGTGTTAAGCAATATGTCAGCAACGTGAATGATTATGTTGGGGATGGCAAAAGGCAACTCGTGGGATATTTGCTTGAAAGGGACAAAGAAGACCTTAAAAGGCCTGTTATCGAAAAGGTGGTGAAACCAGCTTACAAGGAGACTCTGCCCAAAATAAAAAAGGTTCCAGAGAAAGTATCAGAGGTTCCACGTCCTAAAGAAAAGCCAAGAAGTTTGCCCCAGTCTCCCAAAGAACCCACCACAAAAATGGGTTCTCTTAGTATGTTTGATGCTGCTATAAAGGGGAATCTCTCACTTTTAGAGGAAATATTAAAGGGTTCAAATGTCAATGCTGTGAATTCTTCAAACGAGACCCTTCTCCATGTCGCTGCAGCCAATGGACATATCCCAGTGATAGAATTTTTAATCAGCAAAGGGGCTAAAGTAGAAGCCAGAGACAATAATAATAGGACACCATTGCACAGAGCGGCAGAGAACGGACATGTAGAGGCTGTCAAGGTATTGCTTAAGGCTGGTGCTAATATTTACAACTTGGATGACGGCAAACAAACCCCTGTTCACTTGGCTGCACAAAACAACCACCAAAAAGTATTGCAAGTCTTTCTGGAGGAAGAAGCTAAGCGTTATAAAAATAGGCGCAACTTTTTACACATGGCCGCAATCAAAGACGATAGCAAACTGGTGATGATGCTTTTAAAAAATGGTGCCCAGGTTGATGCCATAGATGAGAAAAACCAGACTGCTTTGTTTCACGCTGTTTCCAGTCAGCATGAAGCCACGGTTAAAGTATTATTAGAACATGGAGCTTTGATAGATTCCAACATTATTGATATTGCCTTTAAGACCAACAATGAAAAGATTTTTGGGTTATTACTAGAATATTCTAAAGGATTGTCTCCCGACACCATGATATCGGCAATGTTCAAAGCCGTCAAGCTGAATCTGTATGGTATAATCAATGCTTTAATTGATAAGGGAACAGATGTCAATGCCACAAATGACCTGAACTACACACCATTGTTGCTCGCTGCAGAACTAGGAAAATCGGAAGCAGCCCAGGCTGTCATTGAAAAAGGAGCGGATCTTGATGTTAGAACACCGAATCTGAACACAGCCTTACATCTGGCGGTTCAAGGAGGAGATGTTTCAATCACGAAACTGCTCATACGTAAAGGAATAAATATTAATATCACAGGCCCTGGAGACCAGACTCCAATTCATGTCGCTGCTTTTCATAACAGGCAAGAACTGATTGATATTTTAATTGAGGCTGGAGCTGATGTGAATGTCGTAACGAAGGAATTAGTGACTCCTTTGCATATTGCAAGCCAGAGGGGAAACCTTGATCTTGCACAACGTCTTATACACCACAAAGCTAAAGTTAATGTTAAAGATAAGCATTCAAGGACACCCTTACATATTGCCACTGAAGGAGGGGGGGCAGCTATGGTGCAATTGCTTCTAAACAACAAGGCAGACCCTAACGCTGCCGATAAAGATAAAAAGACCCCTCTTCACTTTGCAGCAATCCTTGGAGAGGCTGAGATGGTGGAAGCTATGTTGAAAAACCATGGCAGGTTTGCAGCTAAAGATATGGATGGTTGCACACCCCTTCACTATGCTGCGGTTGCAGGCAGTACGGACATGGTGAGGGCTCTCCTGAAAGCTGGAAAAAGCAAAAATGTGGATGATAAAAATGTGTGGCGGAAAACTCCTTTGCATCAGGCGGCTGAGCACGGCCACAGTGATGTCATCAATATGCTTCTAAGTAACGGCGCAGCCATAAACCCTCTAGACAGCAACAGAGACACGCCGTTGCACTGCGCCTGCAAGGCTGGACACTTCACCTCGGTGCAAACTCTGGTGGGCTGGACGCAAGGAGAAAAAGCCAATTTGCAAGCTACCAACAGCCTCAAGAAAACACCTCTCCAAGTAGCAGAGTCTGAAAATACTGATGGTCACCAGAACATCACAACTTTTCTGAAAAAGAAAATGCACTTAATCAAATAGAACCCTTGATTTCAAGTGTAGAGGAAATTAGTATGATCACTGCTAAAACAATTCAGACATGATTTTCTTTCTGGTAGCTGATGGTTAGCGTACACGATGTTCAACATATATTTTTGGGATATATTCTGGATCTCCGAGATATTGGGTGACGTATGAAAAGTGCTGCCATGAAATATGCAGAATGGAAATGTTGCAGGAGGGAAATTAATTAGTTTGTCAAGGAAGGATCCCAATGAAACTTACTTGATTATTTCATTAATTTCCTCCTTCCACCATACAAATTCTTTACTTTTTATATACCACCCAATAGCGCAGACATGAAATATGTCCCAGAAACATGGTGGGTCTTTAAGACCATGCACTAAAGATGAAGCTGGAAGTAAGATATGTGCCCTGTCTCTACTGCATGTCCCTCATCTCCCCAAGGGTTATTCATTAAACTGTGAATTGTTGAGAATTTCAGATTATAGGCTACAAAAAGAAACTGGAAACCCTGTCCAATTTAGAAATGTTTCCATTCTGCTATTTTGTCCAAAAAATGTTTAAGTTCACTTTGAATTTGCTAACATTCCAAACTGAATAACCCTGGCAGAATTATAATTGGTTTGGCTATATTCTGCAGAATCACTTCATAATTAGTGTTCCGGCAGATTAAGCAGCACATTGCTCAGAATATTCAATATATAAAGGCTCTAGTGTGGCCAAATTACTGACTGGTGGGAGTTGTACTGTAGTGGCAACAGAGATTGACAGGTGTTTTATTTGTGGGTTATAAATTGTTCAGTGATTAGTTTTAGCCAGTTGTAATATTATTGTCAAATAAAATCATCTCAATTAAAGGTTTCTGGGATTTGTAACCCCCCCCCCCCCCCCCACCTCTCCCCAAAGAAATCTCCCCCAACTATAACTTTATATATATATATATATATACACACACACACACACACACATATATATATATATATATATCTATTAGAGATTTGGGTATATTCATATTATATGGTGCCAGGAGTTTCCCCCTGCCCCCCCCAAAAAAAGCTCAAGGTTGCAGGGCTTATCTTATTCTCTGAGAGTGAACAGATCTCATCCAATTAGCTGGCCCTGCATGGTAGGGTTTAGCTCAGGAAAGGTAATGCAAGCTCCTTGTGAAATTAAGTGATGGCTGCAGAGCCCGGTTAGGTTGCCAATCCATTTGCAAATTTTTTGACTATTTACAGGGATCCCAAGCAGGGATCCCACCCCCCCAAACAGAGCTCAAATCTGAGCTACTTTCAGAGAAAAAAAACTCAGCACTCATAGGGTAGACGAGACTTATGGCTACGTAAGACCACTTTGTTGAAGTATCAGAGGATACAATCCCAATCATCACAAAGCATAGCTGACCATGTTTGCCTAAAGCAAAAAATAAATAAGACTTAATCATAGTTTTAAGATTAAGTCTTATTTCTTCAATAACGTGGGCTTATATAGCCTGAGACTCACCTACCCCGTGATCCCTGGTATTTTATTTATTACGAAAGTTCCAGCATATTCGGCAGTGCTGTACAATGTGTAAACAAGTCGTTATATTGTAATTGCTATCAAACAAGTTTGACAAGTAATGGGGGGAGGGAGAAGAGGGGCACTGCTGAAACAGACACTGTGCAGGAAGTGGGGTACATTTAAATAAAAGGCAAAGATAAAAATGCTAGCTATACAGAACAATTATAAAAAGTATATATTGACGAGAATGTGCAGCAGGGTTAGCGAGGGCCATTGGGACGTGTGGTCTGTATTAATTGCTATGTAGGAGAGAAGGTAAATGGTTAATTAATAGCCCCTTAAGAAATATTGTTTTTTTAAAAACTAGGAAAATATAATGGAACAAATTGCATCTTTAACATCCAGATTATAACAGCATGGAATTTCCTTAAAGGATTAAAGGACAGTGGCCATTTAAAACAGCACCCTCAGTTCTAATTCATATGTAATTCTTTATTTCTGAAAGCTACAAATATGGGCTTGATGTCCCATTTTACTGGAAACCAATAGAACGGGTATGGATTTAAACATCAAAAATCCAAAATAAAAATAGGTGCGCTGTACCTTTAAATATTAAAAAGTGCAAATAGTGCAATAATTAGTGCAAATATTTTGTGCAAAAACACAGAGTGTGTATACAATATAATCACATTCAATGTGACATAAGTGCAAAATGCAAATGTGATAGTGTAAAAATTCAATATCCAAAACAAATAACTTACAAGGGAAATGTATATCTCCTTAAATTCTCCAAATCACATAAGAACATACGTAAAAAGAAATATAAAATGGAGAAACATAGTATAATATTGTTTACATAAATATAAAAACCAGCAAATAAAATTAGGAATATCACTCACAAAAAAAGAGCAGTAAAAGCCTGCTCTAACTGATCCAGCTTTAAATCCAAAAACCAGGACTTCAATGTTGGTGCAAATAGGCAGGACACCAGCTTCCAAAAATAAAACAGCTTTATTGAAAGTAAATAAAATCCACACTCTCCGTTTCCATATAGCAGCCTAATATCCTTTTGCCAGTACTGTATAGTAAATATCTACCAGTCCCTGGTGACTTTCGGTACTGTAGGCTTCACTTCCTGGAACTCGGAGTTTCGTCCAGTCACGTGATGGCGTGATGACGTAATCGACGTGATGACGCGTTTCGCCCCAATCGGCTTCCTCAGATCACGGTGATCTCAGATATTAGGCTGCTATATGGAAACGGAGAGTGTGGATTTTATTTACTTTCAATAAAGCTGTTTTATTTTTGGAAGCTGGTGTCCTGCCTATTTGCACCAACATTGAAGTCCTGGTTTTTGGATTTAAAGCTGGATCAGTTAGAGCAGGCTTTTACTGCTCTTTTTTTGTGAGTGATATTCCTAATTTTATTTGCTGGTTTTTATATTTATGTAAACAATATTATACTATGTTTCTCCATTTTATATCTCTTTTTACATATGTTCTTATGTGATTTGGAGAATTTAAGGAGATATACATTTCCCTTGTAAGTTATTTGTTTTGGATATTGAATTTTTACACTATCACATTTGCATTTTGCACTTATGTTGAATGTGATTATATTGTATACACACTCTGTGTTTTTGCACAAAATATTTGCACAAATTTTTGCACTATTTGCACTTTTAATATTTAAAGGTACAGCGCACCTATTTTTATTTTGGATTTTATGTATGGTGTTTTATGAGCTTGTACACTTTTAGGTGCTGCTACACTTTTATTATCTTTATATTTTACATTAGCACTTTCAGCGCCTTTATTGCTTGTTTGTTTTTTAGTTATGGATTTAAACATGGCACACCCTGAGAGTCCATCATCTGAAACCCTCTGCTGCATGTTAGGAGTTATGTCTTCCAGCAATCACCTGACCCATAAGGAATATTTGGGTCTAATATTAGATAGAAGGGGTGAATGTATTTCTGATTAATCTTCTTTCAGAAAATGTATAAAGCCGGGTTGTATTAAACTAATTCCTGCCCTGGATATTCCTGATTTAAAAAAGATTGTCCAGCCTCCATCTGCTAGCGGACACATTATATCTTCCATCACCAAAATAATTATTTTGAAACAAGCAATACTAAAAACAATTACATAAAGAATTACTGTAAATACAATAAACTAGCAGAAATGGTGCAACGAGTATTTGGGTCCAGTCCCTTTTGTTGTGTTTTTGAGCAGTTTGACCAACCCGAAGGTTCTACCCAGGGCATTGCTGATACCCGCAACTGCCCTCAAGATACTAAAGAATTTCCCCTTAAGACTCATTGCACCATATCCTTTACAATTAGATGTTTTGGTACTTAATGTTTCCTTTTGAGATGTATCAGTACATGTTTTTACAAGCTGCTATGTGATAAGCTGTTTAATACATTTGTAATTTGGATAAAGATTTCGCATCTAGTTCATGTTTCTTTGTTTTGTCTTCAGAGAGTTCATTAATGAATTGAAACTTGTTTTTGTAATTTTATTATTTTTACATATTTTTTTATTGTCTACTATTAGAGAGTAGAATGTTAATTACCTTATTGTCACAAAATAGAACATCCAATTAAATACACTTAAAAAGCTTGATCATAATGTTTTACAATAATTTCCATATATGTTGTATTTCCTTGAAAAGTAATCAGCAACATGTAAATAAACATAAATAACTAAATACAAAATAATTTATATATATAGGAACCTTTCAAGTGCTAACTATTCATGATGGCAAATGATGGCACCAGTCCTCATTTGGTTTAAATATATTAATTAGGGGTTTCCGTTATTTCGTCCACCCACTGTACAACAAGTGTATGTGTGCATTCAGAACAATGACTATTTGTAAACAGTGGCGGAACTAACGTAGAGAGGACACTGGCGCATGTACACATGTACACACAATGACACATAGATTCACACACAGATACATACAATGACACACATACAGATAAAAACATAGACACACAGGAGCACAAACTGACACCCATGCAGATACACAGACACAAACTCTTACAGAAACACTGACACACACAAATACACAGCCATCATTAAAGGATCCCGGTCGCGCTGTTAAAAGACCACAGTGACCATCTGGACCCCTACTGCCACATTCCCATTCGGGGGCCACCTGGTAGCCCCCTTTCAGTTGGTGCTGCTGCTGTGTGTAAATGTTTCTGCACAAGCATACATATATAAACTAGATAGCCAAAGGGCAACTGTTTGAATGAAAAAAGGGTAACATTTTAAAATGTGTATTTCTGTCGATATAGCTTTGGAAACACAGTTTAGGTCCTCGGTCCCCCTGTAAGCCATGTAAAAGGAGATTTTACTCACGTCGCGGCTGGCTCTGTGAGTAAAATCTCTGTGACATGAGTAAAATCTCCTTTTACATGACTTATAGGGGGACCATGGATATAAACTGTGTTTCCACAGCTACAGTGGCAGGAATACAAAATTGGTGATCTCCGCCAATGCAATTCTTTCCCATAGGAAAGCATTGGAAAGCTTTTGCGCATGTGAAACAAAATGTTGCAATGCGCCAATCAACATCTACTCATAGAAATGTATTGAATCAATACCTCACTGGAATGTTTAGCGCCTCTATGCAGAGTGTGGCGACACTAAATGTCAATGCTGCACATCATGCAGCACTGATCCAGGAAGCACTTCTAGTGGCTGTCTGAGTGACTGACACTAGAGGTGTTCCTAGGCAGCAATGTAAACATTGCCTTTTTCCTTAAAAGGCAGTGTTTACATTAAATAGCCTGCAGGGACACACTATACACACCACATTGAGCTGTTGTCGTTCCAGTGACTATGGTGTCCCTTTAGCTTTAGGGAGTTGTAGCTTTTACATGCTGGATTTGCAACATTCCCTTACATTATCCATAGATTTAGAAATTCTGAACTGCAGTGAATTGAAAACCAAATTGCAAAATGACATAAAAATAGCCCAACTGATTTATTAAAAACAAACAACAAAAAACAACAACAACAAAAAAACACAGCTATAGCCACAACGTTGCAATCCATTTTTAATTTTTCTAAATTCTGAGTTCTTTCCAGCCTGTTGCACTTTCCTCTGGTGCTAACATAGTTCTATTTCAGTCCAGCTCTGTGGGTCTGGGAGGTTTCCAACACGGCTTGGACATGGCTCTGTTTTCTGTTGAAATCTACTCTTTTCTTTGTGCAATTCCCACTGGAAACTTCAGCTAAAAACAGAAAATGACATCAACCACAAATCAAATTTTAAATTGTTTTCACACTAAAAACACAGAGACTTTGTTCATAGCCATTTAAGTCTCCCATTTGCTCTGAAAGTTCATGTGAACAATCCTTAAAGAAATTCTATTAGATTTGTTCACGATTTTAAAGATCTGACCTAGAGATTTTTTTCTGCCCAATGCCCGGCTCCTCACCAATGACATAAATATTTTATTATCCCTATTCCTTTATCACATCAGGCTGTGTATGTCCTTATTCTTCATTACTGCAGTTTTACAAGACCCTACTCGCCTATAGCCCCATTGTATATGCCTTATCTCCTAGTATGTAAATACACCTATTTTCCCCAGTTTTACTAGTCCCTATTACCAAGTTTAAGTATACAGTACCTCTCTTCAGATATCTCCCCAGTTTTAAGACACTTTATTCCCCCATCTCCCCATTTGTATATTACCCTAATTCACTTTTCCTAAGTTTGTACATGTCCCTATTCTCCTATCTCCCCAGTTTGTACATGTCCCTATTCTGTTATCTCCCCAGTTTGTATATGTCCCTATTCTCCTATCTCCCCAGTTTGTATATGCCCCTATTCTCCTATCTCTCCAGTTTGTATATGTCCCTATTCTCTCATCTCCCCAGTTTGTATATGCCCCTATTCTCCTATCTCCCCAGTTTGTATATGTCCCTATTCTCTTATCCCCCAGTTTGTATATGTCCCTATTCTCTCATCTCCCCAGTTTGTATATGTCCCTATTCTCCTATCTCCACAGTTTGTATATGCCCCTATTCTGCTATCTCCCCAGTTTGTATATGTCCCTATTCTCCTATCTCCCCAGTTTGTATATGTCCCTATTCTCTTATCCCCCAGTTTGTATATGTCCCTATTCTCCTATCTCCCCAGTTTGTATATGTCCCTATTCTTTTATCCCCCAGTTTGTATATGTCCCTATTCTCTTATCCCCCAGTTTGTATATGTCCCTATTGTCCCATCTCCCCAGTTTGTATATGTCCCTATTCTTTTATCCCCCAGTTTGCATTTGTCCCTATTCTCTTATCCCCCAGTTTGTATATATCCCTATTCTCCTATCTCCCCAGTTTGTATATGTACCTATTCTCTTATCCCCCAATTTGTATATGTCCCTATTCTCATATGTTTGTATTTGTCCCTATTCTCTTATCCCCCAATTTGTATATGTCCCTATTCTCCTATCTCCCCAGTTTGCATATGTCCATAATCTCTTATCCCCACAGTTTGTATATTCCCTAATCTCTTATCCCCCAGATGTATATGTCCCTATCCTCTTATCCCTCAGTTTGTATGTGCCCTATGTTTGTATACACCCCTATTCTTCTATCCCCTAGTTTGTATATGCCCCTATTCTTGTCCCCCCCCAGTTTGTGTATGTCCCTATTCTCCCCAGTTTGTATATGTCCCTATTCTCCTACCCCCCCCCAGTTTGTGTATGTCCCTATTCTGCCCAGTTTGTGTATGTCCCTATTCTCCTACCCCCCCAGTTTGCGTATGTCCCTATTCTCCCCAGTTTGTATGCCCCTATTATCCTAGCTCCCCCACCCCCAATTTGTATATGCCCCTATTTCCATTACCCGTAAAGAGCTCTATAATTCTCTTAATAGTGCCTTAGGGGTTACTCCAACCAATAACCAGTCTTTTAATAAAACATGTTTTTTTTAATTAGAGTAACCCTTTCTAGCATGACACCCCAGTAAAAAAAAAAAAATAATGCTAAAACTTACCCGTGATCCTGCTCCGAGGCCACATTGAGAAACGATGCAAGTACAGACTCCAAGCACCATGACCACTTAAAATCACTGATGTGGTCATGGTACTTGGAGTAACCTTTAAAGTACTACATAGCTGTATGTGGAAATCACACACTCCTAATGTGAAATCAATGACATATAATCATGAATCTTTCACCGCGGTTGCAGGGGTCGCAGCTGCGACCGGGCCCATCATTCCATCGACCCCTGCGACCGCGGTAGTTCCGCCTGTGTGTACAGGTGTGCACGCAGCTGAAAAATCTAAGCATTTTGGTGTGGCCCTGACCGTGCGGAAAAACTGCCGGGGCCACATTTAAGGAGCCCATTGGGTGGCCCCAATGCTCTTGGGGCCATCCGATGGCAATGGAATTCCAGGGGGCCCGATCAGCGCTGCGGCGCTTTAAGAGTGCGACCCAGTGATGATGTCAGAGCTTGGAGGAAGCCGTTACTTCACCCCAGTCAACAGAGCACTGCGCAGGAGGAGAAGAGGGAGTCAGAGTGGGAGCTCTGACTCCCATCAGCATGAGGCAGCCACTGGACCCCAGGTAAGTCACTAATTTTTTTTTTGTGTGTGTGTGTGTGATAGAGAATGTCTGTATCAGTATATCTGTGTGTGTGTGTCTGTCTGTCTGTATGTGTGAGTGGGCCTGTATGTATTGTATTGTGGTTTCTAGTTACGCCTCTGCCTGCACATTAAAATAAATAAATATTAAGAACAATCCGTACGGGGTTATTTACTAAACTGTGAATTTCTGGGATTTCAAAGTAAACTTCTAAATTTAGGTTAAAATAGCTGAATAGTAGAAACATCTAAAAGTGATCTATATTTTCGGTTCTGCCTGTTTTGGCCGGAGTGTTACTTTAATTCCAGGAAATCCACACTGTACTGAATAAACATAATAGTTTTAACACAGCTTTCTCCAATTTCTGGCCCTCCAGATGCTGCTGAACTACAACTCCCATGATGCTTTGAGTGAAATAGTTAGAGAATCTGAAAATTGTAGCTGCTGTTCAACAACATCTGGAGTTTGGAGAACCCTGGAACACAACCCCTCCCCCCAATATCCATAAAAGTATATATTATTATTTATTATAATGTAATGATAGACAGGCAGGCTGCAGGCACACAGGTAGCTACTTCCTATATAAACATGCACTGTTTGCAGTTTTCTCTACCCATTTGATTGGACGATGAAAGTCAGCTGATCGTATTCACCATGGGCAACATCTTCTGTCATGTGATCAAGTGACGTCACGACCCAGGAAGTAGAAGACAACATGGCCAGAAATGAGGAGAAGCAGCAGGGCAAGCTGAACAGACTGTGGCTCCAGAGAGAGAGAGAAGGTTCTTTTATCTTTATCCTCATTTCTAGACACTGGTCTTTCTATCACCTATATTCCAATGTCAATGTGTTTTTTTAATGAAGAAACTTAATTAGATTTTATTTTTACTCCTTTAACAGAGGGAAGAATCAGGGATATAAACCATAGCAGACCCAGACTGGTGAGTTACAATGTATGGGAAATCCAGGAACATAGCTTGTAGGATGCTTTTCTTGGCATTTAAAAATGTGATCCATACAAACTCACATTGCAGCACTTGGCGTGTTAATGAAGCAAATTAAAACTGAATGGAGAAATTAAGGTTAAAATAACTAAATTGGAGTAACTCTCCCATTTGGCTATAGCTGCAGTTTGGTTATTTTCTTCTAAGTTTGCAATTTGGAATTAATTTGGTAAAATTCTGGGCTTTGTCAATTACCCTGCTGGCATTACATTTTAAAGAGATACTTCAGTCCAGGAATCCACTATCATCCCTTTTTAACCCCTTAAGGACAGAGCTTCAAAAGCTTGTCTTTCACTTAATGACAACGGCATTTTTTTCATTTTTTGCTATTTGCGTTCAACTGCAATTTGCATTTTACTTATTTGTTGCACCAACACATATTATACATCGTTTTTTAAAGGACAGAAAGGGCTTTAATTTGATGTAACACACATATATATATATAAATGCTTATTTATTATAAAAAAATACAGAAAAATGTAAAAAAAATGAAAATTTTGTGTTTTTTTTACAGTTTTTGCAATAATAATGTGTGCATAATTAGTGCAGGTTAAGAAAAGTAATTAAAAATAAATTAATTTAGTTGTTCTGATTTACAGAATATACAATGTGTCTGGGATTTAAAGTTTTTTTTGGTAGTTACAGGTCACAAAGCACAAGGAGTAAAATAGACTTTTAATGTGGAGCGATTTTAGAATTTGGTATGTTTGTCTTGTAAGCTTAATAGCCATAAAAGAAAACAAAATTGCCACACAAAAGTATATATTTATATAAAGTAGACATCACGGGCTATTTACCTAAGGTTGTTTTGACACTTTCTACGTAGCCATTTCACCGCCAACCTCTGCTAAATATTGGAGTAAAATTGTGTTCTTTTTGGTTTTTGGCACACAAACTTATAACAAAGAAATTCTCGTGTATATTTTGTAAAGTTGGTGTGTGCTATTCCTGTACAAAGTTTTATTTTGTGTTCAGTTACATCTGCTGAGTAAAATGACACCCCCATTGTATGTCTTTGGCACTATTTTGTGAAGTTACAGTGCCACACAGGATACCTGTCCTTTTCAGTATTCACAGTAGAATTTTGAGAGATGGATTTAATGAGCCTTAGCTTCCATTTGGGGTATTATAACAGTTTGACTGTTCAAAAAAACCCCACAAAGGCCTACCATTTGTAAAAGTAGACACTCCAGGGTATCTCATAAGGTGCATATTGTGCCTTAACATACCCCCATTTTTTCACCAATATATGCCAAAGTATGTGGTAAAAAAATTATTTTGTGCATTTTTTACATACGGATTGCATTTTTGCTGGGCGTTTTGTATATTTCATATGTGCCACTAAGTTCAAACCTCCCAAATTATGCTCAGCTAAGTCTTTTGAGTAAAAATACACCCCCAATGAATGTCTTTGTCACTATTTTGTGAAGCTACAGTGCCATATAGGAGACCAAGCCATATCCGTTTTTACCAAACTTTGAATTTTGACGCTGGGCCTATGTGCAATTTCCAAGCATCTTCGCAGGTTTTAAATTCAAACTACCTCACAAAGGCCTACCATTTCTTAAAGTAGACACCCCAGGGTGTTTCAAAAGGTATATTTTGAACCTTAGCGTGGGATCATTTTTCCACTAGCTTGTACCAGATGTAGTGGTAATAAGCGTTTTTTCTGCCTTTTTGACATACAAAGTGAGTTTGCACAGTATATTTTGCAAACCTTATGTGTGCTACGACTGTATAATACTTCATATGTTGCTCAGCTATGTCGGCTGAGTACAGCAATACCCCCGTATGTACCTTTGCCAGGTATGTGTGGACATCGGAGGGGCACATTTGGGACACAGCCATTCCAGTTTTTTTCAAACTTTGAATTTTTACGCTGTGCCTATGTCCCATTTTAGAGTATTTTACCAGGCTATATAATCCAAATACCCCATAAAGCCATACCATTTCTTAAAGAAGACATCCCAGGGTATTTCAAAATTCATATTTTGAACCTTAGCGTGGGATCATTTTTCCGCTAGCTTGTACCAAGTGTAGTGGTAATAAGCATTTTTTCTGCCTTTTTGACATACAAAGTGAGTTTGTGCAACATATTTTGCAAACCTTATGTGTGCTATGACTGTATAATACTTCATATGTTGCTCAGCTATGTCGGCTGAGTACAGCAATACCCCTGTATGTACCTTTGCCAGGTATATGTGGATGTTGAAGGGGCGCATTTGAAACGCAGCCATTCAGTTTTTTTCTAACTTTGAAGTTTTACGCTGTGTCCATGTTCCAATTTGGAGTAGTTTAGACGGTTGGTTATTGAAACTTCCCCACAAACACATACTATTTATTAAAGAATACACCCTGGGGTAATTCAAAAGGCATATTTTGAACCTTGGCGTGGGATAATTTTTTCTCTAGTTTGTTCCAGGTGTAGTGGTAATGAGCGTTTTTAAAATGTATTTTTTAACTTTTTATAACTTTTTTACTTTTAAAAACTAGTTTTTAAACTTTTGTTTTGCGTATTAATTTTTTTTAAACTTTCCTAAACTTTCTTAAAACTTTTTTACAGATTTAACATTTTTCTAAGCTTTTTTTTTACCGTTAACCCCTAACTAGCAGTACGCAGCACTAACAGTAAATTCCCCATTTTCCCATAACTCCCACCCACCCCAGCTAGCAAAATACATAGTTATAAAATATTTTAATTAATTAATTAAATAAATTGAACCCCTGAGGTTTAAAAAATAAATAAAAAGTTAATCCTCAGGGGTTAAAAAAAATTAGATCACAGTATAATACTGTGATCTCTATTTGATCGCTGTAGGCAGTGATCGACTGGCAGGGAAGGGGTTAATTTTTATTTGGACTAGGTAAAGGTTTTTTTTTTTTTTTTTACTTAAACGTTATTAAAACATTTTTTAAGCTTAATTTTTTACTTTTTAAAGGTTATTTTAAAACTTTTTTTAACGTTAACCCCTAGTTAGCCTAACGCCAAATCCCCCAATTCCCCACTAACTTCCACCCACCCCAGCTAGCTAAATATATAATTTTAAAATATTTTAATTAATTAAATAAATTTAAGCCCTGAGGGTTAAAAAAAATGAATTAACCCTCAGGGGTTAAAAAAAAAAATCAGATCATAGTAAAATGTAATCCCTGCCAATTGATCACTGTAGTCAGTGATCAATTGGCAGCGAAGTGGTTAATTTTTTATTAAAATGGGTAAGGGGGGGGGGACTTTAAATAAACTTTATTTTTTTTTCCAGCAGGGGGCAGGATCAGCACTGATCCGGCTCCCTGCACTTCACACAGAACCCGGAAGTGCAGGGAGCCGGTAGGTGAGTATACAGAGCACATGTGCTCGCTCTGACTTGCGGTCAGAGCGAGCACATGTGCTGGGCAGCCTGACCGGGTGCTCCCGGTATGCCTCTAATGCAGAGGCATACCGGAGCACCATTAACCCCGCGATCGCCGCAATAGCGGCGATCCAGGGTTAATTTTACCGCGTGACGGACGAGGTCCATCACTCGTCGTTAAGGGTTTCCCCTGAGTGACGGACCTCGTCCGTCACTCGTCCTTAAGGGGTTAATGCATTATTCAGTGATTGTTTACAATTTGCAAAACCAACCTAAATAATAAGTTCTACAAATAGGGGGAGGGGTTATATTTAACCCCTTAAGGACCAAACTTCTGGAATAAAAGGGAATCATGACATGTCACACATGTCATGTGTCCTTAAGGGGTTAAGGCAATTTAATTATCGTTTAAAAATTTCAATATTTAGGCAATTGTCTCCTTTTTACTATATGATATATGACTGACTAAGCTTTTAACGTGGATATTATTTATTTATTTATTTTTTAAAGCAGGGGTGCCCAAAAGCTAGAGCTCACATGATGCTTTGCATGCCTTTAGAATTATTTATTTATTTATTTATAAAATATTTTACCAGGAAAGATACATTGAGATTTCTCTCGTTTTCAAGTATGTCCTGGGTCCACAAATCATTGCATTGTTACATTAGGTACAACAAAATACAAAAACAATATTAATACACAATATATACAAAATTTAACATAGAACAGGCAGGAAATATATAATCAACCATGACACGTGCATTCTGTTTTGAGGTATGTAGAGAGGGATCTCTCATGGGAATTGGAATTGTACAACATCTGGGGCTCCAACTTTTTTTTTTTTTTAGGCACCCCTCTTTCTAAGCATATATATTAGCAGATCTTGAGTTCAGTAATGTATTTGTTTAGAAGAAATTTACAATGCTGCAATTTTGGGTTTCAAATCACTGTAGCTCATTGCTTCATGAATCAATCCCAAAGTTTTATTATTTTGGTATACAGCCTCCCCACACATTACATGTCATGCAATTCATTCATACTTGACATTAAAATAAAATTGTACTCTGTATTAAAAAAATAATTAATAAAATTTATTTATATATATATATATATACACAATTCAGTTTTAACTGTTTGCATTTATTTTGCAGTCTGCCTTGAATACAGCTTCTAATGTTAAGAAATGGATACCAAGCATTAAAAGTGAGATAAACTACTATTTGGAGGTAAGTCCATATGAGTCAGGTAATCCTTTCAAAGACAAGTATCAGAATTATGATTTCATTCATATATGCTATATGTGACCGCAAACTCCACTGGTAAAGTTGGGCGAAAATGGAATGTAAAATGTTCTATTCTGGTTTTATATCAAAAGGCAGAATGAGAGCATTAATAGGTAAAATTGTAATTTTGAGTACATGGTATTTTAAATGATTGTATACACATTTATCAACCAATTCTCAAATAGGTTCTCATGCAAACCATGTGTTTACACTGTAAACTATAGTCTAAATCAATCTTCCCCAAACTACGGCCCTCCAGATGTTGCTGAACTACAACTCCCCTGATTCTATGAATGCAATAGGCTGAGAATCATGGGAGTTGTGGTTCAGCAACATCTGGAGGGCCGGAGTTTGGGGAAGCCTGGTCTAAATCCACTTGTTTCCCACAAACCATCAGATAGATTTGATGTAAAAAATAAGTAGAATTGTATTTATTTTTTCGGTTTGTTATAATTTTTAGGCTGAGACCAGTATGTATAGATAGATTGATAGAAAGTTTGTGTGAGTAGGACCCCATCAATGTCTTGATTTGTGAATGCATAATGTAGTGCTTGAAATAGTAAAATAATTACTGTTTTATACTCTCAATATATCAGTTTCCACTAGGTAGAATTAAACCTGTAATATTTTGTATGGATTCTGGCCTGTATTCATTGATTTGAATGTGCCAGCAGATATGCATAAATTACCATGGTGGTGCTCAGACAAGATGTCAGAGCATTGTGTTTATCCAGTTACTCACTAGAAGGTTCCTCTGGCCCTGTCCTACACTAAGGAGTTAAACTTTCACACAGTTTGACATTTACCTGGGTCCTCGACTCCTCGCGCTCACACTTCTGGTCTTCTGTGATTTGAGTGAAACTCAGCCAACGAATTCAAGTAGTGACAAAACTGATTTTGCTAAACCTGAATGGCAACCTCTGCTTTATGAATATATGTGAAGAGGGGCCTTCTATATCACATATGGTGGGGGCAGATAACTGCTGAAAATAATTTACTCTATACCATGGGAGTACCCCTTTTTAAACCCAGCCACTCTGTTTGGTTATACTCCTTTTCTATCTTTTTTTTTTTATTTTATTTTTTTTTATTTTTTCATGCTTTACTGGATTCACTCAACGTTTGCAGTATGATTATGCAGGCTACCTGCCACACATTTACTACTTTTTCTGTTCACCTGTTTGTGTGTCCTTTTAGCTTTGACTTTTTCACATATAGTACCAATATAGAGAGTGTTGTTTGCCTTGTATTTTTTTTTTTTGATTGGGACTTTTAAAATTACCTATTAAATATTTGGTTTTATATACATTTTCCGATTTTGTGATCATCTATAAGTTAAGGTTACCCTCTCCATCTTCTTATCTATTCCCACAGGGGTTATCTCCCATCAGGAGAGGTGTAACACTCTGGCTCCATTCCCCTTCGTTCCATTTTTTCTCAGTCTGTTAGATTATCTTGACCAAACTAGATTCACCAGTCTTTAATGTTTACTATATGATGTCAATGGCAGAACTGTTATTCAGTTACCAGAGTTTAATGTATCACTTGTATCAAAATCTTACACACAGACATTTCTTGCAAATGCAAAAACTAAACATCCAACAATGTCATGTATTTTTTTTTTTTTGTAGCAATCACAGTTGTCGCACTACTCAGAGCGGAAGATCCAAGAATTCCAAGACAAGATCGAGACTTTGAGGAAGGAGTATCAGAGTTTTCTCTGGAAGCTCCGTAAGTTGGATCCTTCATGCAAGGAGCACCCCTGGAAGCTGCGAGGCTACTCAAGAAAAAGAGCTGCTGATGGAAAGCTGCCATCTTGGCTAGAATCTGGTACTGTAACGAAGTCTCTACAGTACAACTATTCCCTTACAAATCTGCAGTGATAAAATGAATGTTCTCAGAACCTTGTGTTTCAGCAGCTGATTTATTGAAATTCATTTAGACTCCACAGCACACTCAGTTGCTGCATATTTCAGTTTTTTCCCATTAATTTGAACATCATTTAACCAAGAAAAAGCCCATTACTAAAGGAAAATAAATAGCATTCTCTAAATTCTAGTGGAGGGTGCCGAAACCCTGTTACTAACAACTACAGATGCGCACGGAAAATAAAGGTGCAGCACTCCTGTGGTGTGTAAATGTCCTTTATTTGTGTCTTTAGAATTTAGTCACTCAAGATGGGCTTACTTCTTGTTATAGACGGTCTTCCGCCAATGAAAATGTTAATCTGTCAATGACCAGAAAAATCAATTTGAGTGATGCTTCAAATTAATTATACAAAATATAAACTTCCTAGAATACATAAACAATTTAATTTTAAACCTGTTTAGATGTACTTTTATATATAAACTGAAATGTATAACTTTGACTGTTTTACTTTATTGAACAGATGTCACTATTATATGATTGTTATAAAAATACACAAATGTGTAGTTGATATGAGTGTGCATTCTTGGCATTCTAAAAATGTAAGCAATAATGCACTTTGAGCACGTATATATATATATATATTTTTTTTTTCTATTTTCAAGGAGAACATACGGGGGCGAAATTGGTTTGCGCACCAATTCTTAATCAGAGCACGAATAAGGCCCAGAGTGATTCAGAAGAGACATCCTCTGATGGAGAGAAGAAATCATTAACTGTAGAGAGTGCAACACTAGTTTTGGCAGACCAGGATAAACCTCTTGTGTTTAATAGTGAGAAATCTCACCCAAAACATATCTGGCTTAGGTCATCTTACAATGAAGGTGGAAGTGAAACAAAGCCCATGAGAGACATTCTTCTGTCCAAAAATCCTGCACCCAGAGGAGACCTTTCGGCACCTAGTCTGGAGGGCAAGCAAGGTGACCTTCCTGGTAGTGGAATGAAAGGAATTCTGGGTTTAGAATGTTACATCTCTTCTGAAGAGGAAAACTGAAAGATTATTTATATTGTACTAGTATACAAGTTATCTGGAGAAATGGTTTTATGACTTGCTCAAAATTCTGATCTGCCTGATCATTTTTATTTAATATTGTCAAGCCTATTTGTGGTTCCTGTGGAGATGCCTTTGACATTGAACTCTTTAAGACTGTAAACCAGGACTAAAATGGACAACCACATTCTTATGAGCATATATTAAATTTTTCTATATATATGTTTTTCCTTATATGAATTGCCAGCCTGGCTACGGCCTAATAATACCTTTGGGTTTACGCATACTTAAATCCCAAGCTTTGGTTTGAAAGCCCCCTCAATAAAGGACACATTTGCTTACTGCAGGGGTTTGGCTCCCAAACCTTTTCTTGCCTGAACCACACTTTGGTGTTACATTAGAGACATTGGGTCTAATCAGCAGTGACACAGTTATAAGAATTTTAATTTTATGTGTGCATATTTACTGAAAGACAGTTATAAAATAGTAACCTACTAAATGTTAAAAATGTCTAAACAGATATGGTAGAGTGCGACTATTATACAAGTGACAAAGTATTTAAAAAAAATAATAATTCCATGTGTGTGTACTAGATGGCATCACACAGCCCAAGGCAATTGAGAGGCTTGCACTGTTTCTCAAACAGACATGGTGCCTGCATCCACATACACTACTTCCAAGATTCTCCTTTAGGATAATTCAGTTAACTCTTCAGAGCTAAGCAGAACTGCTGATCGACTTAGAACATCAGCTGAGCAGCCATTTAATGTGGTCCTGGGTCAGCCATACTTAACTTTAACCCCTTAAGGACCAAACTTCTGGAATAAAAGGGAATCATGATATGTCACACATGTCATGTGTCCTTAAGGAGTTAAGGAAACCTCAGGCTTCAACTGCAGGGGAAGGTAGTATGCAGCAGGCTTCCGAAGGACCTAGATAAGCGGTCAACCACTTCTGCAATAGTTTTGACAAACTACCAAAGGATGGTGCCAATGCATTCCTGGTACTATAACCAATACAGTGTAGTGGTTATAGTGCTTGGAGTATTTCCCTAGAGCGTAATTTCAATATTCCAAAGTAAGCACTACTAAAGAGTTTCCTGTGGTAAAACGAGCAGCCGCGCACTTGCCTTGCCCAGATGTCCTTCGCTGGTGAGAAATGCTAAATTTAAGAAACATTGTGAAACAGCACTGCTTCTTTATGGCCTAAAATTTACAATTATTTCTTCTTTTCACTGTTTAGTGAATAAACCCTTGAGTGGTGAGACATTGAATAGCAGGGACCCAAATCACAGTAAAGGAGTACACATGTTGGGTGGCCTGAGACCGATTTCAGTTAAGCTCATGGGCCTAAGCCATACTGTGGGCAATGCAGGATTTAAAATCATGATCTGCCTTTTTAATAACTGACAGAATATGTAGTTCATGACATAGTATGTGGATACAGAACAGTTAAGTATGTTGTAAAACCATGCCAATGATTCACTAGACCTCACAAACCATCTTATAGCTATCTCTAGAACCTTGAGATGGCTTTTATACAGATTACAGGAGTGGTTTTATTTTGTGAAGTTCTGTTCCACAGTACTGTGAAAACCAGAGGCTGTTCTTTGTCATTCCAGATGTGGAATAAAACACATTCAAAATGTGATAGTAATCAGTAAACAATGAAATCCAAAACATCAGATGTTATTTTTCGATTCACCACTATTTGATAAATAAACTCTAGACTTCTTGCGGATGATTCCAGGCTGCCGCCCTGGGTCCTGCCATTTATTCTATTTTTGTATAATCCATGAATGGTGTTGAGGAAGTGAGAGGACATAGATTATGGGAGACTGATAAAATAATGAAACAGCCATGAATTTTGGCTCCAGCAAACCCATTTATCTTGGTCAGCCCGAACTGGTGCTACACTGAGATTAAGGTCAGCTGACACTCTCAGCCAATTAATTCTACCCAAAAGGCAGACACAACACCTATACCAGATGGCTAACCTTGACACCATAAATTGTATCTGGACTACATTTCCCATGATTCTCAGCTAGTTTTTAGAGTCCAAAGGCTAGCTGAGCATCATGGCAAAGGTAGTCCAAAAACAATTTATGGTGTCAAGATTAGCCATCACTGACCTATACTGAAAGAGAACCAACACTTTTCTGAACTCTCTAAAGGGCTGGACCACAGGTGCCTGAGCTACCCAAAATCTGTTTTGAAAAATATGGTGGTTATGGTGCCCCTTAAATGAATTTGGTGACCTCTGTTAACATTTGTCAGAGGAAATTACAACTTAGGAGAGGAAGTTATTAGTATACAACCACTTCCAGTTCATAGCAGCAGAAAACATGATAATTTGAGAAATGTAAAAAATAAAAAAGACATAGCATCAATAATGTACCTACCTTTGCTGAAAATCATCAGGATCTGAAGCTGCTGTATTGAACTTTGTACAGACCAGGAAGGAGTTGTAAAACTCTAAAATCCAATACTAGTACACCATCTTCAGTGGAAGAGCGGTGCATTTTCCTAAATCCTTGTCCATAGTATGTGTATAACAATGGCAGTAGTTTTATTCATGAAATATGAAAAAAAACTATTGTGCATGCTTACTGAAGCAGAAGCATCTTTCCTTTAAAGGCATCCTATAGTGCCAAGAAAACAAAGCGGTTTTCCTGGTACTGTAGGTTTCTAAGGAACATTGCAGCATTAGGTGCAAAAGGGACACAGCACCCAGACCACCTCAACATAGAAACATAGAATGTGTCGGCAGATATGCTAATACCTCTCCCTATACAACCAAGCATTCTGCTGCTCTATTACATTGTCTTCCTACCTTTAAGTCATTAGAAATAATCACCCCTAAATCCCTTTTCTCAGATGTTGAGGTTAGGACTCTATCAAATATTCTGTACTCTGCCCTTGGGTTTTTACGTTCCATTAGCTGAAGTGATCTGGATGCCTACAGTGTCCATTTAAGTATTTAAATAAATTGTTGGGTTTCTAGCAGCAATGTTAAAAAATCTAAAAAATTATGCAAGTGATAATATTTTCTGTAAATGGTATTTAATACACTTAAATATTTATAGTTTGATAATTAGCATTAAGGTCAACACGATATATCAGGTAAACTGTACACAAAAGATATACATCTGCCTAACTTCATACAGGACAGCAAAATATATTCTCAGGAATGCATAATGGTTGTGTTCGGTCGATGAGCCTCATTTCTAATATTACGAGACTGACATCCCAAGACCACAAATGAGAACATTGCTTCTCTAAGCAGTCTTTGAGGAACACCAAGAGTTCAAAAGGCTGTTCCTATGTGTTGATCGATAAACCCCAGACTGTTCATAGTTCTTTCAAGATGACGACATTTAGACTACAATTAAAACATGCCTACTTATTTTGATTATTAACCTTGATTTGTATGATTACAATGTGCCCAAATCATTTACTCCTTCGTAAACTTCAGTGAAGTCGGTGGTATGGAATTGTGGAAGATGCAGTTATCAGTTATTGTCAGACAACAACTCCCATAACGCTTAGATATTTGCTGCAGAGAATTACGAGAGTTACAGCTGGACAACAATTGGGAGTCTCGAGTTTGACACTCCTGGACTAGGCTCCCTTGTGCGGATGGTATCAACTACCCATAGAATCATTGTAATAAATTAACGGGTGGATCAATCATGTGAATTAAACTTCCAGTAGCTAAACATTTGGAATGGAAACAGATCTCCTTTAAAAACCTCACCAGTTGCAGAGTGCCACTTGGTTATTTGATTATAAAACCATATCGATGACTGCCAGTTCTGATGTCCAACCCTTTGTGCAGCAACTGTACTAGGGTGAGACAAACAGGTCACCGGCAGAATAAGATCAGGCTTTTACACTGTTAATTTGAAAACATTACAATATTTCTTGGAAATGAGCTGGAAAGTAGAAATTGAGCAAGTGCTAAGTCTCTGCCACGTAATGACCTTAGAGAACGCATGGTTATATACAATAGGGAACATTTTGGCAAACTTCATTTGGGATTTTGTCAGACAGGGGCTGGAAAGACCGTTATTCTCAATGTTTAAGATCCATTTTTTTTTTTTTTTGCTCAAACCAACTTCTTCAGTTACTCTTTTGAATGTGTTGATATGTCTACCAGTAAAACCAGATGTAAAAGTTTGCTCGATTTCATCACGGAGTGTTGCTGCACAAAATCTTTAGACAGGAGCCAGATTGCATGGGCTAGTCTTCAAAGAAATTATCACTTTCTGACACAGTTGCGACACTACTTTTTTCACAAGTTCTTTGAGCCTCCTCCTCTTCTTTTAAATCCTTAAAACTTTGATAGCTGGTATGAAATAAATCTTCTATTCGATTCAGAAATTCTTCAGTAACCTCAGGGTGGGCTGTGTTTCCTAATGTTCTTTTCATACAGGACAATAGCTGTCAGGAGAACACAATCAATCTGTTAGTGTGTCATATACATATAAATAAATACAGTGTATTAAAAGTAATAGTATCCGTTATTGAGAAAAAGGAAGTAACCTTTCTGCAATTATCAAAATCACTTTGCAATAAAACATACTATGTATTAAACGAAATCGTATCAGTTATTAACACAAGGGAGAAATCTTATATTTAGTGCATTCATTTTGCTTTTTAATGCACTAAACAGTAGATCTGGCTCCACCTGCTGGATAAAATGAATCTGCAGATCCCTTGAAGATAATTTAAGGTAACTAATACAGTGCATTTTCACAGGAAGATGAATACAAAACAGAAACAAACTCAAAATTACAAAACAAAAAAGTATCTCCTGCAGCACATCACGACTGCTTAAAGGGACACTATAGTCACCAGAGCAACTACAGCTTATTGTATTTGTTCTTCTCGGTATAGTAATTCCCTTCAGGCTTTCTGCAGTAAACAGGGTCTTGTCAGAGAAAATGCAGTGTTTACATTACAGCCCAGGGATACCTCCAGTGGCCACTCCTCAGATGGTTACTCTGCATGGAGACAATGCATCTCATAGAGATGCATTGATTAAATTTATCTCTATGAGGAGATGCTGATTGGCCATGGCTGTGTTTGGCTTGTGGTGGCTTTGCATCATTGACAGTTTCAGACAATCGTATGTGAAAGCGTTGTGATTGGCTCAGAACAACACTTCTGATGAAGTCAGCCAAGCAGGCAGATAAGGGGCAGAGTCAGCAGCAGCAGACTATAAAAGTAAGATTTTGACATATTTAGGAGGGCAAGATGGTGGTATTAACACTATAGGGTCAGGAATACGTAAAAAAGACACCCCCACACCCTGTAATCCCTATGCACAAAAAAATAAGCCCGGTCCACAAATATGATATTATATACAATATAAAATGCAAAAGGCCGCAATCCATCTGCTTAGGTGCTACTTTAGGGTCAGAGCATATATAGCCAAAAAGAAAGTAATGCAAAATGCCATGTTTATTAGACACGGCGACTGTGCTTACAGTTGTGAACAAACATGGAATAGAGACACTGGGTAATGTTTGATGTGGACATGTTAGTACAGTCAGTAATTTGTTATTAATAAAGTAGAACCAACTTTTCAGAGAGATGCACTTGCCAATCTATTTGATGGCCATGAACACATTAATAAGTTTAAGTCTGAACGTGGCGGATTTAATTTGGAGAAAGCAGACCTAGAGGCAGGCGACTAGCTGAAACAGTAGTATGTTTACGGTAGTCAATCACTGATGCTATAAATAAATAAGCAGATCCCTTTGTGTTTGGCAAACACGGCTTACCTTCTGTACACAAGTCAGATCACAGTCTTGTCGAAACCTTTTGTTCATCGGGATACTGCTGCTTGACAAGAGAACAAATCATTAGTAAAAACACGATTTTTAGTAAGATTAGCGAGCATGGTAAATGACAAACACTTGGCATAAAACTATACAGAGTTTTTTTCACCAAACTCCAAATTGTATCAAATTAAAAACAGAACGTCAGTAATTATGCTAAAATAGCTGAACTGGACACTCGTCTCAAATTCTGCTATACCATAACTTGGCTAATTTAAACTAAACTTTGTCATTTGGATTTCAACTTGCTACATATCAAAGTTCAGCAAACAGGCCCTGTAGCGGATTACATTGGGCTGTCCCGAGGTTTTTATTGTTACAATGTTATTTCAGCTGTTTTCCCTGTGTTTCTATCTATTGTATGTAGCATTCGTCTGGTTGTTCGGCAAAAACTCCTCAATTCGACATACGAACAAACTACCGAACAACCAGACCTCCCTAGAGTGAAGTGTGCCCCTCATTTATCTCCCACAGTGTTTGGTTGTCGAGTGTCTGGAACACAATTCGGACACCTTCTGAAAGTAGACCGACTGCAAGGCCAAAACGTGTGGATCTAATTTCGGCTACTACCTACTGTGCGGTAAGTCATACAAACATACCCCTGTAACTCCCAAACCCCTGATCCGATCTGGGTGATTTTTCAGTATGTTGTTCACCCAGATCAGGGCTATCAGGGGATGTAACATTTAAAGTTGCATCTCTAGTATTGGGGGTACATCCAGAAAAAAGGGAGAAATGTGTCCTGCATAATGGGATTATGTGTCATACTGAGGGTAGGAGATGGGTGGGTGGCATGGGAGAATTGCTTAAAAGCTGAGTGTGTGGATAAACCTGCAGTTCTGCTCCTGATGCTGTGTCTCGTCCAGTCATTGGGAAAAGTGATGGGATACTTTTGGATTACTTTATTAACCGTGGATATTATTCTCTTGGGTTTTACTACTTGTTCCTGAGCCTCACTTGGATTACCAGCGGAGATAGTCTGTGAGAGACTAGCTCTCCGCTGCAGACCCCTACCCTAAGCATAACTAGCAGTATGACTGGGATAAAATCTAAACCGGTTAGTAATCACTAAACCAGGAATTGAGTAGGGAATTTGATACATTGGCCAAAATAGCTAGACAAACAGCTGAGTTGGATGTTTCGTTTTTTTTTTGTAAACAGTGGTCTCTGTGATTCTTCACATTCAAGCATCCTATATGTCTATTTACTCACAGAATTTACCAAAATAAGAGCAGTGGTGACAAGTACATGTCAGTCTCCTGCCCTGCATTCTGTGTACGGCTTGTGTTCCATAGAACATACAACAAGCTCTTCTGTGTATGGAGCTGGCCAGTGCACATTGTACTGCTCCAGACACAGACACTTACTAAATTAAAAAACAAAGGACTTCATAGACCTCACAAAACACTTTTCAACCAACTATTACTGTATGTGCAGAACAAACATCACAAACAAGTTGACGACGTTTGCAAACAACATTGTTTTACCAACAAGTCCTCGTTGTTGAATTAATGCAGTCATAAGTACTGCAACAACAAAATTACATAGCAAAATCGATAAGACATCACTCAGGAACGCTATACTCAAAATGTCCTTTTTTAAACGTACTTTAAGAAATGTACAGGCATTTCATGGCGAATTGGAGCACAGATTAATGACACACACACCGAATATGCTCACCACTGCACTATAAAGGGGAGGTTCCCAAAATGGACCATTTTTTGTCATAAACTTTATGACCTTATAGTATTGACCTTGAGATCATATAATCAACAGTGACAATTGAAGTTGAGGGGTTACTCCAATCACCATGACAACTTCAGTATTTTGAAGAGGTCATAGCGCCTGGAGTCTTAATATGTAGAGTTTCACTATGAAACGCTGCACATACAGAGTTTAGCTCCTTTGCTGCTGAAGGTGTACTCCAACTCCGGCAGCGTTCAATAAGGCATCATTAGCCAGCCGGAAACAAGAGTTCCCAGATGACTAATATCAATCCTGTGCACATTTCTATGCACAGAGTTGTGTTCATTGGCTGACAGCAGTCAGCTGACGCTCTCAGCCAATGAATGGCCATTGGGATTGACAGTCTTCACCCGCTCTTCAGAAGCTATAGATGCTCGTCATCACATTAAGAGGACCCTTGGCGCCCAGCGGGGTCCCAGGTAAGAGGGTTACACACTGTTCGCACCATTATTGGAAAATTGGAACAGAGTAATCCTCACATCATAACCACCAACGCGTGCTGTAGTAGTTATGAAGTCTGGAATAACCCTTTAAGTTGATAAAGATTTTTAACTTTGGCAGAGGTACTAGCATACAAAAAGTTGTGATATTTTTGGACTGTAATTACCATGAAAAATTCACTTACTTCTGACATTATCAATCAGATAATGACCCTGCACTGTGAACAACCTTAATGTGTCTAGTGTGTGTCCTTCAACTTAATGTTTTGATTGTTCTGGAAATCCAATGAAATACCAACGTATCCTCAAATGTTTGGTTTACGTCACGAGAATGAAAAGAACACATCTGGGTGATGTAAACACACTGTAACAGATCACCTGGCACCCCGACTGGGCACCTCTGTTAACAGATGCTCCCTAGCTGACGTCGAGGACTTTAAGCACCGCACCGGACACCACAACCACCAATGACTCCACAACCACCATAGCTTAACTGGAGTCTTCCTTCCACCCTGGACCAACCTCTGACATCCAGGACTGTGTTGAAGAGACCTCTCCTCCAGGAGAGCGTAACAGGAACAGCTCTTAAAAGAGCTAAGTGATTAAAGCCCAGGGAAGTATATAAAGTATAGCAATTCCCAGTGTGATGTATAGCAGTTCCCCTCCAATCACGAGACAAGACTACGTGTTGAGGGTCAAACAGGAACAGAAGGTTTAATGGCACAGATTGGATTTTCCATGCGTTAACTTAATTATCCAGAGGCAGAAAAAACACACACATTTTTACAAAGTCCAATAAGTACCCCAAAACACAACATATGCCCATAAATCTTACATTCCCTGATAGCACTGATCTGGGTGAACAACATATCCAAAAAATCACCCAGATCAGATCAGGGGTTCAGCAATTCTATGGAATTCATAGTTTTGCCCAAGCAAACACAGGATTTCATGCCCAAAACAGTTCCATAGAATAAGGCTGTGCGGCCGGTCTATTTAAAACAGTCGAATTACCGTTCGAATTACTGAATGGAATGGTGAATGGCCATACTTAAAGTGTGTCTCTTGTTAATGGGCTTCGATTCACTGACCATCGTTCAACTAATCGAATGAATTGTCGAATTTCTATGGAAGGTAACTGTTCGCCTAAATAAGATGGCCGCCGCCACGTGTTTGACTGCTCCGACACTTCGACTGTATCCGAAGTGCCATTTTGCAGAAAGGGAATGAAAGAGGTTTTAGGTGAACAAACAGATGAACCAGAGGATAGATTTATACCCAGAGACAGAGGATCTGTCACACACACCTGTGGGATACTCGGTACTTCTCAATTATCCATCTTGTCTTTTCAAACACTAGATCCCACTGAGGTTCTCCTGGCAGGTGTTCTACTTCAAATTTGTAGGGGATTCCTGGGAGACAAAAGCCATGAACTTGAATTAGCGGTCTATGTTAGCAATGCTAGCAGCCTCATTAATCAGATTCTGAATGCATTCATGGCTAACAAACATATTCAATGTTTCACAGTAAGGACGATCATGTTCTGAACAGTGGAGACTTTAGAGAATGTGTCAGGACAAAAAAGCGAGAAAGCATTTATTCTTAGAAAGCCACAAAAAGATATTTAACAAACAGTATTGATAAAAAAACAAAAAACAAAACACTTTGAGCATTTGCTGTTCCTGCGCAGGAACCCATAAGTATGCAATTGGAACTAAAGCCCATCTGTTGTAAAACCACAATTGCCATGTTGTTTTGACAATCGCAAATCAGTTGGTGGGGTCTACCTTTTGGCCACCCTCTGCTCTATGGGCTGGTTTACCTGAAACAGGATTATTCAAAGGGACGGTATGATCTGAAATCTGTATTTACAGAAAATGGAAGCAAATTAAAGATACCGCTTTATCTGCAATACCTCTGACAATCACTTTTGTATTTATTAAATAAAGTTCAACTCACTCCTTTTCCATGACATAGGATTCAAGCCTGTTTTAAATGAAATGTTAGGCTTCATTCATTAAAAGGTGAACTGTGGGGAAGTAAAAGCCAAATTTGCTAATTTAAAGAGAAACTATAAACAACAAAACAAATTTAGCGTAATTGAGTGGTTTTAATGTATAGTCTAACTGTTAAATTCTCTGCCATTTAGGAGGTTAAGTCACTTTGTTCATACAGCCTTAGTCACACCTCCCTTCATGTGACCTACGCAGTTTCTATGCATGTTTTCTGTCAAGAGCTCTAATTTTTAAACTTCCTTTATTGCATAGTCTGTTTAAATTATAATTTAGTCTGCTGTGTGTGATCACAGTTACATTAACATAGCAGGAGAGTGTGAGAGTCACAGCCAGGAGAGGTGTAGCTAGGGCTGCATGGACAGAAAGAAAAGTGATTTAACTCCTAAATGGAAGAGAATTGAGCAGCGAGACTGCATGTTCGTAATCTATAACTAAAACAACTTCATTAAGTTGTTTTGGTGCTTAGAGTATCCCTTTAAGAAACCATACAATGAAAAAAAACAACATGGGTTTTTACTCTGATTCCAGAGTGCTTCTGGCGCATATTGTATATTCAATCTTGGTATAAAATGTATTATAAAATAAGAAAAAAATCATTTTACCCGATATAAACAATCTGCATTTGTAAACTATTTACATAGCCTACTTACATAACATTTGTGAACAACAAATTGTCTTAATTATGTCATGGTTTTACAAGGTGGCCCATAAGTCCCTACCCATCCATATATCTTATGTACCCAGTGTAGCTGTGTGCTGGATGGTGGCACTTCAAAGGTCCTTTATTTGCTAAATTAAAGCCCTACGTTCTGACTCAAGTAAAATATATAAATTTGCCAAAATAAATGGTTTATAGGACCACTCCAAACCAATAAAGCAATTCAGCTTGCTGAAGCACTTTATGAGTGAAGAGTATCTAACTTAAAAGGCACTTTATAAAAGTGAAGCGTTGTAGGTGAAATCATCACGTTTATCATTAAATACTGAAAGTCACTTCAAGGCTGTCAATCAAACAGTCAGGGATATTTAACTTCTTGCTTACGTTAGTTCAGCTGAGCTAACAGAAGCGGCAGGCAAGCTCTACTTGAACGTGCCTGTCTCCCTTACATTCCTACTCACAGAGCCTAGATCAAGACCAGCATTCTTTCTCAATGAGGTTATTTCCCTGTGAAGAGACTGAAAAGCAGCAGTTCATAATAACTACAGTTTTCACAAGCTCTTTTAAGATATAACTCCAATGAATACATGCATGCATGTAGGTAGGTATAATTACTAAACAGTGATATTTATTAAAAGAAAATAATTAGCACTGTGGAGTGTTCCATTAATGAGTAAAACTATTTGCACACGACTGGCTTGAACACGGTTTCAATGGATAACTTTACACATTTGTAACAAGCGTGTGTAATAGAGGAACAAGACAACATGATTTACAATCATTTCAGACTATGAAAAGTGAATAAAATAATGTACATACTGTAAGAGCCGTCTGCGCTAAGATCATCTCCTATAATGAGACAAGACACTTGGGATTGAGGAAGAGGGTTGCTGCGATTGTAAGGGCTTATGATCATTCCCAAAAACTTTGATCCACCTCTAGAAAAATAGCTCTGTAAGAGGAGAGTAATATTACATTGTTATCATGACGAATAGTAAAAGAAGAAGGTTATCGTTGCAAAGTGACACGTATAAGCAAGTGTTTAATATTAGTTACCTGAACTAAACAATCTGTATTAGTGATCTATTAAGCAGAAATTACGTAACCTAGTACACACACAATTGGGGAGTGGAGATACCATATAGTAGACTTGTGCACGGTGGCTAACAAGGGGACAGACATGTAGGGATAGAACATATGTCTTCCTGGGTTTCATCTCATTGTAATGCTGGTTTGTTTTCCTGTAGCCCAGCTCACTTAAAGGACCACTATAGGCACCCAGACCACTTCAGCTAAATGAAGTGGCCTGGGTGCCAGGTCCATCTAGGGTTAACCCTGCAGCTGTAAACATAGCAGTTTCAGAGATCCCCAGTGCCGAGGGAGCACGGCGCTGGAGAAAAGTAACAGTTTAACCTAGAGCATCAATGTTATTTTGGTGTCTGGAGGGCCCTTTTAAAGGTTCCTTTTTTCTTTGTTTAATTTGTACTCATTAGCATAATTTATTTTAAACTGTTATCTATATGATGTATTACAAAATAGGGGTTACTTACAGTAGTGGAATGTCCATATAAGGTGAAAAACAAACAAACAAAAAAATGTTTAAAATATTCCTTTAAAGATCATATTAGTAAATCAGTCATGCTCTCAGCTTATTGGATATCCATAACCGACTTTAATTTCAGCAATAGTGATGCCACAATGCCATTGATTAAAACAGACAATATTTAAACTGGATTGATTTTGCCTGTTCCATACCTGATACTTAGTCTGTGTGTCAATATCACGGATGGATGGATTGGGATCAAAGGCCGGATGTGAATGGTACCATCCGATAATGCTGTATCCTCGTTCTGCTAAGGCCTCTGATGCCTGCGTTTGTGACACTGGATCCATCTCGCATTGAAGTCCAGTGCTAAGACTGTTGCATGGTTCAGCTGCCCAGATCTGTACAGAAACCACATAAGCCATCTGTTAAAGTCCTGCTATTATGCAAATTGGACATGGAGGCACTAACATTTTATCATTACATTGCTAACAAATGTATAGATCTATCCGATCCTGATTAAACATGCAGCTTATGCATCTATGCCATAGTTTAATGTTTTAATATGAATTGCTACACTATTGGGCATAAACTAGATACAATCCTGAATGTAGAATTATAGCATTAAAATGTAATTATTAAAAACCACACCACAAAAATAAATGTAAAAAAAAAAGAGTAATTGTATTTTTTTAATTTTGAAAAGCCATGTTTATTTTATTTTGTCTCTGTTATCACATATGCATGAATATAAATTGTGTCACGGTCACTTCTAGTTGCAGCAATACATTGCTCCCATAACATTTAAATGCACTGCAAAATTTTGCCCCATGAGACGGTCAGGCACTTGCAACTAAATTGGTGAAAAAACAGGGTTTTATTCGATTTTAAAATATCTGTCAGCTTCGGATTTCAACATGTCAGAATGTCCCCTAATTTACTTGGTGGCTGATTTACTAAACATCTATTGTAACAAAATTGAAACTGAACTGCAACTTTTATGCAAAAATGGCAAATTTGAAAAACAAATCTGCAACAAAACACTACAATTTGCTGTTTAGAGAATAATCTAAATTTATTTAGAGAAATCACTTTGTCGGTGTGTTTTTTTTTCAAGTTGCCTTTATCTGATAACGTTATGTCCCTCTGGGTGAGCCGTGCGATCATCAAACTTGTATGTTACTCATACGTCCCACGGGTGGGACATACGATCGGAATGAGAAAATTTAAATGGTTTTTTTGGTATTTTTTATTTAAAGTCATTTTTTTTAGCTCCACAATGACTTTCTACATCTAAGCAACTCTGAGACTGCATGATTTAATCTAGATTGTGGCAGAAATCATAACACTTACTTCTAAAACACTTTCTGTTTCCGAATATCTTCCTCCCAGTAAGCCGATCACTTCTGCCATGGACACATGAGCGTGCTTAAAAACAAGACAGCCATAACATTAACATTTGCCCAATGGAATCCTTTCAGGATGCATTCAGAATATTTGAACAAAAAAGAAGACAGGTGGCATGTAGGATATGCTGATTCCATTCAGCTTGACACACTTCATCCTAGATCGCCCTGAAATTGGATTCTGATACTTTTGTTTACCCACTCAAAAAATAAATAGATAATAGCATATTGCACAATATCTGGATGTCATATTTTGCCCAACATACACATAACAGGCTTTAAAAACACAAGTACAGCACAACCTTAGCCTTGGGTGTTGGTGCGTGTGGGTTCTCTATTTTACCTCTAAGGTGTGTGTAACGTTGGTGAAAGATGGGTGCTGTATGTGGATGAGTGATAGATGAAGTCTGGGTGTCAAGGAGTTCATGATATCCAGTATTAGACCGGATCTGCCAATTCCCACATATACAAGATATGCCAACAGTATACAAGAAAGGTGAGGCTATAGTGTACAGCAGCGTTTCCCAATTGGTGTTCCAAAAATTGGGGTTCTGCCATGAGTCGCTCCATCCAAGATGGCCGCCACGACCTGCTGTTCCCCGAGGGTTGGAAACAGCAGAGATTGTGCGGCCGCGATCTTATAAAGAGATTGCCACACACTTATGCATGCCTGCCCTGTGTCAGCTCGTCAAGGGTCATTTAAGGTAAGAATTTCTCCCAGCCCAGTATTCCTTCATTCCTCTTTCCTCCCAGCATTCATTAACTCTTCTCTCTTCCCAGGATTCCTTTCCTCCTCTTTCCTCCCTGTATTCTTTTACTCCTTTCTCCTTCAGTATTCTCCCATTCCTCTCTCCCCTAGTGTTAAGCTAACCCTTTCTTTTCTCCAATATCACTCCATCTCTTTCTTAATTTGTCACACCATCTCTATTCCAAGAGTCGCTCTATTTATTTCCTCATCTCCCCACTAGCGTATCTCTCTTGCACAGACCTCCATTACTGCTGTTTTGAAACTCAACACTGTGCACATATCTCTACTTATCTGGAGAGGCATTGTTACTATACACAAGCCAAGTGGTGTGATTCTGTATTTATATGTTTTGAGGGAGTATATTTTTGTTGTCAACATGAGCCAAAAACTTACAGACCAAGAGTGGACAAAGAAAAATAGCTAGCTCTATATATAGTGCACACAAAAGGGCTGAATGAGATTTTATCTCACGTCCGTCATTATAAAGGAAACATACACCATTAGCATTATAGGCTGGTCATCCCACACTACAGTCCAACACGGAACTTGCAGATTTTAGCCTAAATTTTCAACTCACTACAATTCACTATTAAGTGAATAATTTCCAAAGTATAAGAATTGTTCAATGAGAACATTAAAGTTCAAGATTTTTTAAATTTGTATTTATAAATAAATTATTAGATATGACTAGTGAATATTTTGGGGGATATGTCTTTTCTGCAATCTACCACTTACATTTCTCTTTATTATTATCGCCTCCCCCCATCCTGATCAACTAAACTTTGACATTTGGTGTCAGTGCATGTGTGGCTCAAGTAATTGGCTGCCTTACACTGACTTGGCATATTGATCCAAGTGCAATATCAAATTTATTTTGATAAATGCTCCATGTAGTTCCCTACTGTTCTCACAAGAGCAGGTGTTTGACTTTTGGTTGAAGTGAGGCTTACTTGCATAGTGACATACAGTGTTCATGGGAGTAGCTGTAGTTTCTTCTAACTACAAAATAACTGAGAGTGAAATGAGAGTATCCACATGATTTTTGCAATTTTTAAATTATTATTTTTTTTTTACTTATTTACATATAATTTTATATATATATATATATATATATATATATGTATATTTTTTATTTTATTTTTTTTCAGTAGAAATCTGTAAAAGAAGAAAAGAACAAAATGCTACCCAATCTTCTTCTCAAACAAAGAAAAGGAAATATGAGGACAGCTAGTTAAAATTTGGATTTTTTTGCCAGAAATAAAGATACCTCAAGCACAATGCTTACTTTGCAAGAAAATATTGCCAAACAGTTCGTTAGCACCTGCTAAATTACGTCGTCATTTTGAGCAAAACCACGGAGAGTACAAAGATAAAGACATTGCCTTTTTTAAGTGAAAGCTTCAGGACTATCATAAGACTAAACAGTTTATGAGCAAAATATTTGAAAATTATAATAAAAAAGCCACTTATTAAAAGGTTTGTGCTACAGCGCAATCTTTTTTTCGGGGGTTCCTTGATGTTGGTATACTGTGTCAAAGGGTTCCACGGGAAAAATTAATTGGGAACCCCTGGTGTACAGAACAGGCTACCAGCATTATCAAACACAGCATTCTTACCAAATCTAATAGTAACATCACTTCTGCTGCGACTTTCACTCTGAATGGTTCCTGAAACAGAAAGTGCAATTTAGTAAATTCAAAATATGAAATTCTTTGCTACATTACAAAAGGAAGAGATGACAGGTTTTAAAAAAAAAAAAAAAGTGGTCAGGTTCCAAAGAACTTTAATCGTTCCATGTGCTATGAAGTAAGCAGTGTGGGCAAAGCGATAGATCAGGCTGCAGAACAGAGCTTCGATGATCGTTTAGACAATCATGAGGCTCTTCAAGCAAACCTTTTGTATCCAGAATACTGTAACATTATTGGGGATGTTTAGTCTATGCCCCTGAAGGCCAACTCAGGGACTAAGTCTTACGGCCATAACTTTCCTTCTGAATTGCTACCTCCCTGCTGTTATTTTCTACTATTTTTCCTACTACTTTTATGATAGTCTGATATAAACGAATATAAACTTTGCAATGTGTAACCTTATTTGTTTTATGTGGAAACGGCAAGCCTTGATTTCCCTGCTACTGTCATTAGCATTACATCAAACAACATGTATTTGTGGCAGGATATGTTTACTTCCATTTGATTAGGGTTTTATTCATTACATTGGTACCTTTATTTTAGAATTCCCTGATTTTATATGCATACAGAATTTAGTAAAGGTTATGTTTTAATATTAACTTTCTAGGCTGCCTTTCATTTTTCTTTGTGTATTTTTATATTCATTATAGGGGTTACACCCTGATATTTCTGTCAGTCCTATTTCTTTCTATCTAGCGTACAATGTATTATTTTTAGATTGCAATATCGTACACTGTAAGCAATGTGTAGCTATTCAGGATTTCCTCAGTTGATTATAATTAGTGCTAGATTTTCGTTAAAATTCAAACTGCTATAAATCCAATGGGTTGCCTGAAAGGATGGGGATATACATAAGCATACTTTTTTTTTCTTTCTTTCTTTCTTTTTTTCCCTCATTTCCTGATACGTCCTACATTTTCAAACTATTTGAGTTTTGTAAATTTTATTATATGTCAGGTAAACTTAGAACACAAAAGGGTTAAGTGCTATGAATTATATTTACCGGTTTCTCTTCATTAAAAGATGCGCAAGGGATTAATTGAAAAGGGTCAAAAGAGCTAGAAAACAAGAATATTACTGTTAAAAGCAAGTATGTAACAGCTGATAAAAAAAAAAAAAAAACACACAAAAAAACACAACAGCACAGCCCTTAGTTATGTGATCATTATAACATTTGGAAGCCCTCCCCTTCTAACCCAGCCCAGACTTTCTGTGTCTGTCCAATCACAGACCTCCCAATGTAGCTCACGGAGGTCTTTGCAAGGCAGGTGCCTTGGGTAATTGCCAGTAAGTTACAGGAGTGTTTGTCTGATAGCCAGGGGGTGGAACCAGGTTAATGTATAGAAGTGCCAATTTCTATTCAAATCTTGAAAAATGAAAGAAAAAAAAAGACATATGGTTAAAAATGAAGCACTTCAACAATCTGAAGTGTCCCTTTAACCAGGAATGTACATTTTGCTGCAGCTAGTTCCCAAGTACATGCTGGAGTCAAGATAATTGGAACGATGGATCCAAGTTTTAATATTACGTGAACTATTAAGTGGAACGGTCACTAGTGGAATTTGTAGCCCAATTGCCAACTAAAATTATGGCTTATGGGTTTTTTTTTAATGCTACATGGCATGCAAATCAATTTTACCCTGGCACTGCTATGTACATGTATGGCATTATTAAAAATGTGCATACAATTGGCAAGAACTTTGCTGTAAATGCCAAAATGTGCATGCTTGGGGCACCATGTAGTGAAGACTTAGCACTGAGCAGGGAAGTGCCTCAGAGGTCTGTGCATTAAACAACAAAACAAAAAAAAAAAACACAAAATGTATCTATCCTACCTGGTAAGCTGTTTAATAGGTAAAGGAATGACTAATTAACAGTTTCGATTTAAGTGATTAATGTACATTTGCCAAAACATTGCTTCTTCCATTACCAAAATGGCTACAGGAAATGGACGGAAGGCTTCATGTACTCCCCCCAGCAGGTCACCCAGATCATTAAGTAATATACGGAGGTAAGGATAACAACAAAAATATTTCCCTTTAGTAAAGGTGAAATAGCCTTTCACTTAACTTAAAATATTAAATAAATTACAAAGAAACAACAAAAAAACAGAACCACCACCATAACACACAAAAAAATAAATGAAAAAAATAAATAAAAAAAATCGACATGAATGTAAAATATCTGACCTCTTGACCAGCCTTGATCCTTTGGAAGATTTTGAAGATTTGATTTTCTCCTCTCGTCTCCTTGCCAGTTCTTCTGCAGACAGATGCTAGACAACAGAAATGTAATTTTCATTAAGGTGATAACTAGGAAGGGAGCTTCTACTACTTTGTAGTGTTTCATTCTTACAACGCTGCTTCTGGGAATTCATAAATCTTTTCCAATTTAAAAGCTTACGCCTACTGACAAAGTGTGCCACAGCAAGGCATCCACTCTTTCATCTTCACTATGAAGGTGGCTGCAGTCCTCAGCACAATAACTCAGAAAGATTTAATACAAGAGGCACGTTTAGATGGGGTGCCAACCTCTCATATCTGTACTTGTATCTAAGTGCTCTACTTCTAATATAATTGTAATACAAACTAATGCAGGAACGAGGAGGACTGTCACTGCTAACTGTGGAGGTTAATGCAACTATTCTAGGTAGAAACTGATGGTAATATAATTGCTTTGGAACCCGGAAACACAGGTTTGAATCCCAGTCAGACCACTTTATCAGTTGGTGACCCTGGAACCTAACAATTCATATCCCCCTACCTCAAATCCTTGTAGATTGTAAACTTGTTTGAGCAGGGTCTTCTTCATTTCCCCTTTGTATACTTGTAAAGCGCAGAGGAATAAGTTGGAGCTATATAAATGCTAATAATAATGCAATTAATAATAATAATAATAATAATAATAATAGAAGACTGAGCCCAAATCCATTCGCCACTTACTTAAAGTTCTGACAACATGTGATGCCAGAGTCTGCCTCTACTCAAAATGTAGGTGCAATTCTAATCTTTGTTCTCCCAATTACATTTTGAGTTTCATCAAAATATTAATTTGGCATTCTTGAACCCCATTTAACAAACAACCAAATAACTTCAGCCACTTAAAGACTTTTGAAATAGAGGAGCTTGCATACAGCTCAACTCATAAAATAAAAAAAATAAAAAAGAGAAAAAAAGGGATTATTTTGTTGATTGTGGCGGTTTCTTTTCAAAAATGTAAAATGTACAAAGATTGTAAGAAGCACTTAATACATTCCTGAATAATGAGAAAATTAAACAAACCTCAAATGTTTGCCCTTCCAGGTCTTTTGCATCACACCAGTTTCCCCACGGATCCCTGACGCGTCTTCTTCGGGTGCGCTAAAAAAAAAAGAAAAGCTGGCAATGAACATGGACCCATTGACAGTATGTGTGGATGGGAAGGCCAGCTCTAGGTATCTTAAAACATAAACTGTTACAATGTATGGATTCTATGCTACAATTAACTGAAATGATCATCCTATAAGATATTGTGGGTTCCTAATACTACAGTACATGGATTCTGTAGCAGATGGCACCAGGCGACCCTACAAGAAATACTGTATAAAGCTGCATACGTGTATCTGCTGTAATTTCTGTGTATTTAAAAAGAATTGTATTCCTCTGATTGTTCGGTAGTTTCATTCCCTTAGTTTATTCGAATGAAACTACCGAACAACCAGACCTCCCTGTGTGAAGTGTGTCCTCAATTACCCGTTGCAACATTGTTGCGAACCGGTAATTGAACAGTAAGTAGCCGTCCTTTGTTCTCGGGGGTGGCCGCCATTCGACAAACGAACACGTGGCGGCGGCCATTTTAAAACTCCCGAACAGCGGTGTTTTGCCGTCGAGTGTCTGGAACTAAAATCGGACACTCGAGTAGGCGAACACCGCTGAGACCTCCACAGCCCTGGTCCGTTCGGTTCCAAACTACCGAACGGCCCCTCGTTCGGTAGATAGAAAATACCGAACGAGGGGATTCAGGCGAACCCTCCCTAGCCTCTATAGCTAGAGGCTTTCGTGTATTTTATTCCCTTATGCCAGGACCGACCGCAAGGCCCATTCACATGGAACCGAATTCGGCTATCTCTGTTCGTGCGGTCGGTCATTTTATTCCCTCCATACTTTTCCCGAACCCCTGGTCCGATCTGGGTGATTTTTGGATATGTTGCTCACCCAGATCAGGGCTATCAGGGGGTGTAGGATTTAAAGGGGTACCCCTACGTTTAGGGGTACATCCAGAAAAGGGGGGAATTGGTGTGCTGGATAAGGGGATTATGATGCTGGCTGAGGGGAGGGGATGTGTGGGAGGTTACCAGGACAGGATTGGCTACTGTAATAATTACTGTAAGTTCCTCCCTTGCATGGGAGCATGCTTTATAAGGAGACTGCGATTAAAGGCTTGTCAGTTATGCTCCTGAAACTGTGTGTCGTCCAGTTATTGGGATTGCTGTTGGGATATTGCCGTATTTTACCTGCTGGAAACCCTGCCTTTGGATTTACTATTTACTTGTTCCTGAGTCTCACTTGGATTATAAGCGGAGAGAACCTGGGTAATATTGCATCTCCGCTACAGATTCCTTAAATCCTTCCAGTGTGTCTTAATGCCAAGCATTGTGGGAGCACATTTACAAAAGGTACACAAATACCAGAGAAGAAAATCAGACAAAATATGTGTGAATTTATGACAAATGCATGCTTTTGAATAAAATTTGAAAACTCTTGCAGCACAGCTCCACCCCTTCTGCTTCTTGTTCCAGTAGGAAGTGAGCTGCAATCTGGTAGGAAATGTACATCTGTTTAAATGACTTTAGAATATCAGTGACGGGAAACATGTGAATATGCAATTCTGCCACAGCTGGCACTTCACTCACAGAAAGACAAAAATGCAGAATTTCATATGTGCGCCTGGTAATGGATATTTCAATGATTATATTAGTGAGGATGCATGTGTTGTCTCAATATGAAACTACTTTCACTGCAAGTCAACAAGGAGAGAGAGAGAGAGAGAGAAAAAAGTACAAAAATAGAGCAATCTGGATTACAAATAATGGAGGTAGTACACGGTTTCCTCTGTATTTGTACCAAATTGTCTCTGAACTGATCATGATGAACTGGATGAATTCCCTGACAATCCTACCATAACTTAAGGATCACTCAGAAAGAAGTATAAATGACCATCACAAGGTTGCCAAAGGAGTTTACAAGCAGTAGAACTGTAAGTTCCCTCTGAAGTTGTTTGGCTGGCTTGACCTCCTTTCTTTGCTGTGGTTGTGATTTTTCTTATTATTGGGTTTTAAAGATTTTTCTTTTGTAGAGCTAGTGGTTGCTCACAATGACTCACTGAACACAGCCAACATTGGTGAAGCTCCATATTGTACACTCAATCATGAGTGGTACTAAAAAGTTAAAACAGCTGAAAAGCAGAATATTGTGGTTCCAAGGAGATTTTGGGCAAGTATATCACCCCCAGGCTCCACCTGTGGGAGGTTTGAGATAATCAAGATTGATGATCTCAGCCATGGAGGTGGGGGTCAGTCACACGGAGACCGGCATGGCAAGGGAGAAAAAGTAAGTTTAAATACCTTTTCAATGCAATCTAAGGGTGGCTGGGGAACTAAACAGTTTAACACTATAGTGTAAGGAATACACATTTGAATTCGTGACACTAACCTTACTTTAATGCCTGCGTTCTATAATGCATTATGAGAATGCATGAATAAATTTTTTTTTTTATAAAGTTAGCATATATACCCCAGGGTGAGAAAAATTATGTTAATCCCTTTGAATTTGTGAGTTTTGTTTTCAGCCACCCAGTAAACATATTTTAATCAATTTCCAAACATGTTGTGGACCCACATTCAGGTCAGACTTGTGCAATGAATTTACCAACCCAAAGCATGTTTGTCCTACTGCCACAAAGGAGGAGTGTATAGTTTGCTCTCTGCAGGAAATTGTAAACCATTTTCTAAATCACAGCAAATTTGATGTAAAATTGCATGTAAAAGGGTTTATTTTGACAATTTTTCAATCCCTAGAGTGAATAAAGAACTGAAGTAAATAAATCAAAAACAGCAATGAAAGGCTCGGTGGTGCAATTTAACAGGAGGCCACTTTAACATTTTAAAATGAGTAAAGTTAGCTTGGAAAATGTGATTATAAACATTCCTTGTCAAAACACAATATTTCTCAGAAATCTCAATGAAAGCAATAACATGCATGCTGGTTCCATAGAAAGAGAAAGATAGTATACTTTACAAATGTACTTTTTGCAGTCATTAAGTTTAATTCTTCTTTTTATTGAATTGTTCCTCCTTAGAGCGAACCTGACATATTACCTGATTCTCCGACCCACCTCCCCACACAATCAGGATGTTGCTAGCACACAGGTGCCTGTGTTCTTAAATGCCCACTCAATCGCCCTGCTCTGTGCCTGCCGAGATCAATTCTATGAACACACATTTCACTGCCAGAACACTCATGTGCTGATACATGCCAAACAAGATATATACACTCCTATACAGACAGCACAGGAATAGTACGCTGTGCAATTATTGAAAAGGGAGCGTTCTGATTTCGGTTCTGATTATTAAGCGGTCTATGCATTATGAATTTTACGGTTGCAATGCAGCATGTTTAGCATAAAATTATGTTTTTGTTACCCTTGGTTTAGATGTTTACTATAATATAGTAATGAAGTCAAAGCTCATTTTTCTGGGATTGGTAAAGAGAATAATGATTTTACACAGCAATAGTGTGTACGGGAAAGAATATCCTACAAATACATCACACTGAAAAGTCTGCTGTTTAATTCAGAAAGCGTGTTATGGAGATTGTTCTAACTTTTTATGGGATGTACCTCACAGAAGCAGCTGGAGAGAAGTAGTACACATCATTTAACAAATTTAGGATTCAAATTATTTTAAATTCCTGGGGACTATGGATGGTCTATACTGTCATAACAATCTGGTCTTAAAGGGACACTAGAGTCACCAAAACAATTGCAGCTTAATGTAGTTGTTCTGGTGAGTATAATCATTCCCTTCAAGCATTTTTCATGCAAACACTGCCTATTTAGAGAAAAGGCAGGGTTTACATTGCCCCCTAGGGATACCTCCTATGGCGACTGGAGGTGCTTCCTGGGGCAGTGCTGCACAGTAGGTCACAGTCTCCATGCTGAATTTTTCTTGTGGGAAAGCATTAGATTGGCTAAAAATTGTAAATACTGATGAAGTCACCAAGGAGGCGGATCGGGGGCAGAGCCAGTGCTGGTGGACCTGCATGGCATTGGAATTAAGGGATGTTTTAACCCATTAACACTATGGGTCAGGAATACAGGTTTGTGCTCCTGACCCTATAGTTTTCCTTTATTGTATACTATTCCTAGATGGGATATTACATTCATAACTTTAGCACAGTTCTAACCAGTGACAAAGGTAAGTAAAGAGTATTTTGAGACTCACTAGTGATACCTAGGGATATGTAGTTAATCATTTCTGGAGAGTACTATAAACAAGAATAAAGCCACACTATATAACTATAAATGGAATTTGGAATCCAGCTTACCATAGACTGCAATCTGTGTGCAAGCTCATATGCTTCCAGAGTATCTCTTCCTTCCTTGGACTTTGTCTTATCGATTGGCCGAGGTCGGTTATAAACGGCTTGCTCTAGAAATATTTACAATAAGTAAAATTTAGATGCATCATTGGGAAACACAAGCACACCAGTTTCTTGAAAAATATGAATGTCTTATGCCTTACCACACCCAAAATTAATGGCTCCAATTAACTCCAGGTACATGTGAATGCGTCCAATACAATTCACGTCACCACAGTTCTTGAGGCCAGGACGGACTGATGTCTTATTCAAGTATCTCGGCTTACAACTTTCCCTACATACAGAGAGAAAGAAAAAAAAATAGGGTGATTAAGTTTAAATAAAACCAGTCCTGTTTCTCATTCACTCTGAACAAATCTAAAACTAGAGTAATAAGAGTTCAAAATACTGTTCCTCTATATAAACACTCCAAAGATCAGATTAGTAAGGATTGCAATCCTGCTGTTGGAGCAATGTTCTCTATTGTATCTTAAAAAGTTGCTCAAGCACCATGAATGAAATACTGCATGTACAGAGTTTAACAGGCTTGCTGCTGCGGCAGCTTAATTTTACAGCCTGGAGCAAGACTTCCATACGTACATACTGCACATCTGATGTCAGCACTAGGGATGCACCGAAATTTTCGTCCGAAAATGGGCCTATCCCATTTCGTCCAAAAAAGGATCACATAGGTCGAAAATTACACCCCACCCCCTTATGAGAGGGCACAATGCCTTTTGCTGTGAACACTGTCTTTTCAGAGAAAATGCAGTGTTTACATTACAGCCTAGTGATAGCTTCACTGGCCACTCCTCAGATGGCTATTAGAGATCCTTCCTGGGTCATCACTGCCTAAAATAGATCCAAACATTCAGTATCTCCTCCCTCTGCATGCAGACACTGAACTTTCCTCATAGAGATTCATTGATTCAATTCATCTCTATGAGGAGATGCTGATTGGCCAGGGCTGTGTTTGAATTGTGCTTGCTCTGCCCCTGATCGGCCTCCTTGTCAGTCTCAACCAATCCTATAGGGAAGCATTGTGATTGGATCAGACTACCACTTCTACTGATGTCAAAAGGCAGTAGGCAGGTCTACAGGAAACAGGGACAAAGCCTGCAGCTCTAGACTTGAATAAAAATAAGATTTTACTATTTTTAGGGAGGCAAGAGGGGACTAGGGTGGCTAGATATTGGTTTTAACCCTATACGGTCAGCAATACATGTTTGTGTTCCTGACCCTATAGTGCTCCTTTAAGAACGTGAGCTTTATTAAAAAGGCTTGCTTTTAGCACAGAAACTGTCCCCTTGTATACAGTTTACCTCCAGTTTCCCCTGGCTAGCACCAATGTATTTTATGTTTTAACCCCTTGTCTACCTTCCAGATTGATTTATTGCATTTGGGGGAAAAAAGTAATTTTCGGTTTCGGTTTTCAGCCAACGGCATCCTGAATTTACGGTTTCGGCCCAGAATTTTCATTTCGGTGCATCCCTAGTCAGCACACAGGATTCTAGCAACAGATGTCTAGTCCTACTCCTCCATGCCACCCATGTCCTACTCTTCCTATTTTAATCCCTCTCCAATAAAGGGGATTAACATCAGCAGAATAGGATCAGGCTCAAGGGAGATCTGGACCTCAATGCTGGAACAGAGGTAAGAAGTTTTAGCGTTAGGAATACAAACCTGTATAGTCACCCCTGTCTCCACCCTTTCTACTCCCCCCTACTTTTTGCAGTGGAAATTTAAAGAAACAAAAGTTTTACTCAACTTTTTCTGACTTCGCCACCTCCTGCAATGACATGGAATTAATGCTTTTCTATGGGGGTTTACACGTTACGTGACCAAGGTTTATTCAGTCAGTGCAGCGGAAGCACTTCTAGTGGCTGTCATTATGATAGTCACTAGAAGTAGACTTAACTCTGAACTGTAAATGTTTCTAATAAAACTGCATTGTTTTACATTGCAGGGTTAAAGTTAAAGGACCACTGCACCCATTTGTGAAACAGAACTGCAAAGAGTAGGCAGAGGTAGTGCAAAAGAGAGAACAAATGAACAATAATATCAGCAAACCATATCACACACGTATGGTGTTACTCCATCCGACAGGAACAGTTAGACCTTCATCTGAGGCTACAACATTTATCTACCAACAGCATAAGTACACATTGAATAGCCTTTTGCATGCAAACATTTACATTCCTCTTGACTCCACTCATCAAAAACACAAACAATGATTAAAGACAAAGACTTCTAATCTTACCACTGATCCAAAATATAGTTGCGGATTCTAAGATACCGTTCTGGAGTTTTTGCTGGACGCCCCTCAAAAAATTCTGGAATGGCTTGCTTTTCATCCTCCATAATGAAATTTCTGTCTATCTCCATCTCCTGGTCCGGTGACTTAAGCTCTTCCTCGTCATCTTCAGTTTCACACAGTGGAGGAGAGTTTATTGCATGGGCACCAAAGTCAAAATCTTTGGAACACTGCACATGCTCTGGGGTGCTGTAGTGCTCCAGTTTAGAGAAGTATGTGCATGCACTAGTATCATTAATGGTGAGGCTTGTTGATGGGTTAAATAATTCCCGATCTAATATGTCCATCTGTTCACCGATAGCTTCCATTTTGGAATCCTCTGTTTGGGAAGATTCTGATAGGGCAAGAATTTGTTGTGGGATACTATGAGACGTTTCTTCACTTTCATGGTTAGAGAAACCTGCGGATTTTACGGTGTCACAAGAATCTGACTTTTCACCGATCACTTCATCTATTTCATCAGTTATATCAATTTCTTCATCGTCTGATAGCTTTTCTATTTTAACAGCATTAAGGTTTGGATCAGCTCGTCCTCGAAAAGCTGGGAGCTCATATGTGATCTCACTTTCTTTGTTCAAATGTTCTAAATGGAAAACTGGAAGACTTTCACTGCTAAGTTTGGACACCACTTTCTCACTCTCTTCCACCTTACACTGCAGAAACAGAATACAATTAATGCCGCATTTATACAAAATCTAAAATATTTAAAAAAATGTATGTCACCTGGGAGATTTAAAATCAAGATGGAGATAGGAAGAGTGCTCCCTTACTATATTTGCTAAAGTAGTGATGTTTACATACGCTCCGTGGCAAGGTAGGATTGGGACAACTGCCCAAGTTGTCTTAACAGGAATGGAGTACCATCAAATTCATGCACACACACAGGTCTGTAAGAGGCTACAGACGTTCAGGCAACTCACTACAGTCAGCTGATAAGTAATATTAACGTGTATGACGATAAATATGGGCTCTTCCTGTCTCCAGCATTGAGGCAGAGAATATAAAGAGGACTACTGTGCAATATTTGTTTTCAGTGGCAAATAGAAAGAAGACATACGTTCAATTGGGTAATGTAGCATTAATCTTAAATTGTACAAGAGATGACAGGGCAATAATGTTAAGCATTGCACAGTTTTTAAAGCACAAGTAAAAGTAGTAATAAATGGACACTACACAGAGTATAAACATAAAAGAGTAAAAAAAGGAAAAGGGGGAGCATATGTTAAACTTAAAAAGAGGGTCCCTTCTTCACCACAAATCCAGCCTCACTTCATCTACATGGATATTTTCCTTTAACAGATAGTGTTCAGTGTGACCTGGATCTTATACATCTAAAAGCAGAATTGTAGAGCAGGCCTGGATCTGAGTTGCTAGGAGTAATCACATGGCTTCCCCTGCTCAGTCCCAGTGTGCTTCAGGAAAAACCGTATGTAACAGTATTGGTGGTGGAGGCCTGAGCATTTGATCGGGGTGAAGCAATGTCTGGAGTTATGTTAGTACTAACTCTAATCTGTGCACATACAAACATGAAATTACAAATAACCCCCCACACATACCTTATTTTTAAAATAGTGTCTTGCATAGCTCTTTACTTGTAACACAGTGCGACTTCCGATAAGCTGTGCAATGTTAGTCCACCTTCTGCCGAACTCTGCCTAATTATATTTAAAAAAAAAGTAATACTGTATATTACACACTTACTGAATATATTTAGACAATTGATCCCTTCTATAATGCCATAACATAACAAGTAATTACAGATTATGAGAGGACAAATAAGTCTCTAATAGAATACACAGACAATCATGTGTCACATAAATGTTACTTGGCAGAAATACATGAAAGGTCTAGCAATCCTAGGTGGCATGTAATGAAATGTCTTACCACTCCTTGTTCAAAGAGCTCCTTCTCTTCTGCAGTCCATTTCACAGGGCTGGTTCCTGGTTTATTTGGGGAGCGGATCCTACACACACACACAAAAAGAAAACAAAAAAGCCCATAAATACATGAAACATGCCATTTAATAGAACATCTTTAAACCATATATTTCTCTCTGGTAATGCAGATCTGTCATTTGTTTCTGGTTGTAGAAGGTAAAAGAACATTCCCCTAATTTGGTATGGTTAAATAACTTACAGAACAACTACTGCAAAAAACAGCACTTTATATAACTGTACAAATAAATAACATGAGACTTACTATTTAACTATGCAGAAGAAAGATAGTGGATAATTAAATCAGAAAAACGTTTGAAAGAAACTTACATTACTCTTGACATTTTCTTCGGTGGGCTTCTGGCATTAAAATAAATAAATAAATAAATAAAATGAGAAATATTACTATTATTATTATATTTTTCCATGCATTGAACTAAAATTTAAATCCAATATATCATCAATACGCCTGATTAACTACAAATCTGTATCACAATAATAAAGTTTAATTTTTATTTACTATCTTCATTTGTGGGTATTTTGCCTCCATGGATGTGCATTTCTTTATTGACACAAGGAAACACAATTGTTTACCGAGTCTATTATTTCAATGGGTTTCTAAATTGAGAAACTCCAAGAACTATATGTATGAGTGACAGAATGTATATAGTATTTTACTCTGGGTTTAACCCTAACATATAACACCAGCCATTTTAACTAACAAAGACACAAGGCGCAAGGAACAGCACTGATTTATGAAATATAGGAAAAAAACAGTTACACTTTTAACAGCGCCCTTAACCCCTTAAGGACCAAACTTCTGGAATAAAAAGGAATCATGACATGTCACACATGTCATGTGTCCTTAAGGGGTTAATAACCCTTTATGGGTAGTCCTAAATTTAGAATGAAAATGGCTTCAAACAAAAATGATTTTTTAAACTTACCTTTTGATACAACGCTTTTCTCCATCTTTGGACTCTTGCCAGAACTTTGCTGGAAGTGGTTTGCTTGATAAATAATATCTATGGAGATGCTAAGGAAAGACAAACCTGCTTGTCCTAGGATTTCTACTAAAACCATTTATTTCTACAAGATGTGAATTTACTTACTGCTTTTGGGGGAGCGGGAATGATACAGCGTACTCACTTAATCTCAAGTTTTAGCTAACTAGGTAGGCAGAACCTCACCTGGAGCTTTATTATGTTGACCAAAGTCTTCTACAATTATACGATTCTACTTTAGTTTAAAAACTCACCATAGAATCGATGTTAAAGATCCAATATATAAAGAGATATTACTGTTTTGACTAGTGGAGACATGGAGGAGTTTGCTTTAGATAATATAAATAGCCCTGATGATGCATGTGACACCTATTTGCATCAGCAATGCATTTAGCTCTCCATAACCTTTAAACTGTGACGTAATTGAAAATCCCAGAAAGGTGCAAATTTTATTTCTTGTTAACCTCATGATGTCGAGCTTGATAATGCAATATTAACAACAAAATCATGGTTTGGTATCGGTTTTAATGGGACACTATAGTCGACCACTCCATCGTAAAGGAAATCTGTACTGCTTACCTGTTCCTTAAAAAAGTTGTTTAGTTGATTAAGCAGTAAAGATTTCCCTTTAACCCCTTAAGGACACATGACATGTGTGACATGTCATGATTCCCTTTTATTCCAGAAGTTTGGTCCTTAAGGGGTTAATGTCCTTTTACATTGCATTTTTTTTTTTCTTTTTAGAAACTGCAATGTTTATATTGCAAAGTTAAAATGAACCTCTAGTGGCTGTCACACTGATAACCACTAAATAAGTTTCTGCGTCATTGACAGAGTAAAACTCGGTCATGTGAAGCGGAAGAACATTTAGAAAAAATTGAATACAATGCTTTCTTATGGTGAAGCTGTAATACACGCAGAGCTGGCTGCACATGTGCATTAGGTCCCTGATGTACCTCTATGAAGATCATTTGATTGGATCATGGGAGGCAGAGAGGTGAGCAATAAAAAAAGGTAAGTTCATATCTTTTTTGGGGGCCAAACGGGCGAGGGGGTCACGATACAACAAAAGACAGGGACACTATATTGCTAGGAGTGTTCCTGTAAATGATGATAACTATTTTTGACTTCAGCTGTGTTGCCGGAGGGTAAAATGGTTAGTGAAATTTTGAAGGTGATCACTTTGATAAATGTTGCGCAATACCAGCAGAGTGAGAAAACATTTTTGAATGGTTACTGATGCTGCACTGTAACGAAATGATATGTTCTCATAGCTGGAGAATATGGCTTTAATTAAATAAAATGATATAGAGACCTCTGGGAGACTAAGTATCGATTCTGATAAATCATCTATACTATGTGCATCTACATACAATAAATTACTCTGAAGGGATCCCACTATTTTAATTAGACTCTATAAAATGTTTTCTCAATCTACCTATGGATTTACATTGTATCCAGAGAGAGCAGACCCTGGGGTCTATGGGAATGAAGATTTTCCAGTTTGAAGGATACTCTTCTTCAAGCAACATTTTCTCAATGACAGCCTTGTTTTCTTCACTGATAGTACTGTCCAATGTCCATGGCTAAAAAAAAAAATGAAATATAGAATAGTATATACATGGAATAATCTGTGGACATTATTCTTTGTAAAACTCACCCCCCCGTCCCTTCCCACTTGCATGTGCGTTGTCTCAATACTGATTAAACTAAGATAAAGATGGATCACTGCAATTTTAAGCCACTAAGTATCACTGAAGGATACTTTCTAAACCATAAACTTTACAAATCATGCAAAGTTGTTATGGTGGTTATACTGAACCTTTAACCCCTTTAGGACACATTCCCTTTTATTCCAGAAGTTGTGTCTTTAAGGGGTTAAGATACGTTATAATTTGCCAGATGCCTGGACTCTCCATTTGTACTCCCCTTACATGGAAACTCTCCCGTATGGGGTTTTGGCACTAAACGGCATTCAACTAAAAGTTAGCAACAGTTGCGCTATTATTCTCCTGACAAGTGAAACAGATTTTATTACAGACTTATATTGTTTGTCTGGCTGTCCTGACAGTCAGAATATACCCTGTAAATGATTTAACCCCATGGTCCCACACACATAAAGGAAAGTTTGTTTTATAGTTACCTACACACATCTACTTACCCAAATAACCTAATTACTAAGGTAAGGAAATAAGGAGCAGTCAATTCAAGAGAAGTGACATACTTGCATTAAGGGCATCATCACTTCTTCACAGAAGCAAAGAATACATGATACACAAACTACTCACTGTAAGCTCATCATTTTTCCACACTGAATCCAAGTAGTGGTCTGGAACAAATCCTGTGTTCAGGTTTTCAAGAGCTCTGTAAACATAAACATATATAAATCAATAAACCTATACATTATAGAACATTATGTGTGGCAAATCCTGTGAGAAAGGTTTCTTTTAAAATAAAGTGTGCAAGCTTATTTAAAGGACCACTATAGTGCCAGGAAAACAAACTCGTTTTCCAGGCACTATAGTGCCCTGAGGGTGCCCCCACCCTCAGGATCCCACTCCCGTGGTGCTGAAGGGGGAGGAAGAGGTTGATCCCTTACCTTTTTTTCCCAGCGCCAGGCTCCCTCAGTGCTGGGACTCTCCTCCCTCTTCTGACGTCCCTGGCTGAATGGGGAAGCACGGCAAGAGCCGCACGCGCATTCAGCCAGTCTCATAGGAAAGCATTCTCAATGCTTTCCTATAAACGCTGGTGTCTTCTCACTGTGAAAATCACAGTGAGAAGCGCGGAAGCCCTCTAGCGGCTGTCAGTGAGACAGCCACTAGAGGCTGGATTAACCCATAGGTAGAAATAGCAGTTTCTGTGAAACTGCTATGTTTACAGCAAAAAGGGTTAATCCTAGGTGGACCTGGCACCCAGACCACTTCATTAAGCTGAAGTTGTCTGGGTGCCTATAGTGGTCCTTTAAAAATGCACTCTTAGCATCATAATCACTATAGCTCATGGAAGTGGTTATGTTGCAAAGAGTCTCCTGTCTCCAACCAGGTAAACGTCAAAGTGTTTCTCAAATATAAGTTCTGCCAATCTTTGGATGGAAATCATTGGCCAAAAATGTCACCTGATGCGCTCAGCCAATGAGCTTTGTCTAAATATGGACAGAACGGATATATCGAACATGGAAGAGGAACTTCCATTTTAGTTATATCTGTGAAGTGGGGCCTCACAGTAGGCAACCAGGGGAATGAGGTGAGTGTCATACTATTTACAAACCACAATGTTTGGTTTGTGGTGTTTAGAAATGCCTTTTAAAGAGACATAAAATGCAGTAGTGGGGGGTTATGTTAAAAATAAAACTGTGGTACTTTAAAGTATCATTACAAGGAGTGCCATGTAAGGAGTCCCACAGTAAGATATCAACCGTTTTAGCATGGCTTGACAACTTACCTTGGTTCTACAAGGCGCTTGGGACTACATCTGCCGCATTCGGTCTTCACCAGCACAGAAATTCGTGTTAAGCTATACATCAAAGTTAGACTATACAGGCACGTGCTCATTGGCTGAGAGCATCAGTTGAATGCTCTCTGCCAATGACTGCTGTCCTGCATCAGCTGTGCTTAAGTCTACAGAGATGTCCTGCAGGAGAAGATCAATGATAAGCAAGTACCTGGGGACACTAGTAAGTTGTCAAACTATTTTAACACAGTAGCTACACTAGAGCAGTTTGTAGTAATTAATATGGTATTTAGAGTGTTTCTTTATTCTGTTAAACACAGAGTTATTTACCGAACTGAGAATTGTTGGGAATTGAAAGTGCATTTCAGATTTTGGACCAAAATAGCTTGACAGCATGAACTGGAAGCACAGCTGTCTTGGAGAATTTTTCTGACAACTCTCACTTTAGTAAATAACCCTGAAACTATTCAGATAATACAAATCCCATATTTACCTACACTGCAAAAAAGGCAACCTAACTGGCACACACAGCATACAAATTCAACCTAACTACACCTTAAAACTCACCTTATTTCCAGTGCCATGCGGGTCTGCCGGTGCTGGCCCCGCCCCCTTGATGACCATCAGAATAGCGGATATTTTTAGCCAATTCAATGCTTTCCCATGGGGATTGGCTAAAATCGAAAAGGGGGCAGGGCCAAATGCTGTTTTGGCCAATCAATGCATCTCTATGAGGAATATTCAGCGTATTCATGCAGAGTGTGGAGACGCTTAACGGCACTGCTGCCTACTGTGCAGCACTGAGCCAGGAAGAACCTCCAGTGGCCACTTGGAGGTGTCCCTAGGTTGCAGTGTTTGCATGAAAATGCCTGCATACAATGATTATACTCACCTGAACAACTACATTAAGCTGTAGTTGTTCTGGTGACTATAGCGTCCCTTTAAAATATTTTGACTTACTGTAGGACAGCACCCAGTGGACTGATGGCTCACAGCTTTGAAAGCGGTCATGTCTGATGTGTGCACAGGTAAACATAAACCCTTACTACAGAAGTGGTCTCAAAAGCATACCACTTACAGTATTACTACTGGTATTTATATAGCGTTAGCATAGTCAGTAGCGCTTTACAATATTATCAAAGAGGGAGGTTTAACGATAAATGAGACAATTACAAAAACTTACAGGGACGATAGGTTGAAGAGGAGGAAGGACCCTGCTCAAACAAGCTTACAGTCTATAGGAGGTGGGGTATAAAACACATTAGGACAGGAAATAGCCATCAAACAAGGTGGGAGTGAAGCAGAGCTGGAGGAGAGAGTAGACTGCTGCCCTATTACCATACTACCGGTTTTCTCTATGGTCATAAAATACACCTGCAATACTGGAAAATTAGATTGCAAGCTGTTTGGGCAAGAGGTTGTATTTGCAACAAGAGTAGAGAAGAAAGGGGAATAAACAAGGTTGATCTTTTAGCTCAGCAGCCCCTTCTAGACTCCATATTATTTAATGACACTTATCATGGAGCTGGAGCAGCCAAGTCAGAGAACAACACACCCACGTGGGGCTATAAGGGTTAACCAGGAAGCCTATTGTCATCACTCCATGCATTTAAACAGTCAGGTCAGCCAGCAGCAGAGGTAGGTGGCAGGTAAGTGCCTGCAATGGTTAAATAATTGCACATTCTGTCAGTTAATAATAATAAAATAATAATAATATTAATAATACAGCTCATGGTATAAATTCTAATATAATAATAATAATAATAATAATAATAATAATACCGCCCGTGGTATAAATGCTAATATTATAATACTAATATAAATTATAATAATAATAATAGAGCCCATGGTATAAATTCTAATATTATAATACTAATATAATTATAATAATAGAGCCCATGGTATAAATTCTAATATTATAATACTAATATAATACTACTACTAATAATAATAATACAGCCCATGGTATAAATTCTAATATTATAATACTAATATAATAATAATAATAATAATAATAATAATAATACAGCCCATGGTATAAATTCTAATATTATAATAATTATATAATAATAATAGAGCCCATGGTATCAATTCTAAAATAATAATAATAATAATAATAATAATAATAATAGAGCCCATGGTATCAATTCTAAAATAATAATAATAAGAGCCCATGGTATAAATTCTAATATTATAATACTAATATAATAATAATAATAATAATACAGCCCATGGTATAAATTCTAAAATAGTAATAATAATAATAATATAATTATAATAATAATAATAGAGTCCATGGTATAAATTCTAATATAATAATAATAATAATAATACTAATACTACAGCCATGGTATAAATTCTATATTATAATATTTATATAATAATAATAATAGAGCCCATGGTACCAATTCTAAAATAATAATAATATAATTATAATAATAAGAGTCCATGGTATAAATTCTAATATAATAATTATAATATAATTATAATAGAGCCCATGGTATAAATTCTTATATAATAAAAATAATATAATAATAATAATAGAGCCCATGGTATCAATTCTAAAATAATAATAAGAGTCCATGGTATAAATTCTAATATAATAATATAATTACAATAATAATATAATAATAAAAGAGCCCATGGTATAAATTCTAATATAATTATAATGTTAATAATAGAGCCCATGGTATAAATTCTAATATAATTATAATGTTAATAATAGAGCCCATGGTATAAATTCTAATATAATTATAATGTTAATAATAGAGCCCATGGTATAAATTCTAATATAATAATAATAGAGCCCATGGTATAAATTCTAATATAATAATAATAGAGCCCATGGTATAAATTCTAATATAATAATAATAGAGCCCATGGTATCAATCCTCACCCCCTGCTGCACTCATTCACATCCCCTTCAATGTCCACATCTGCTTCCTCCGCCATGATGGCTCCAGTATCCTCCAGGCTCTAAGCACAGGAGCTGGGGCCAGCAGCCCGGTGTGGGGGGGGAGGCAGGCTGCACGGGGCCTGGGTCTGAGCAGGACATCACTGGGGGGCCTAGGCCCCAACACACAAACCTCCGAAATGACGTCTCTGCTCTCACCAGCCAATCAGGAAGCAACACGACCGCCATCTTGGTACACCCGAGGCTTCACGGGCAAAAGCAATGGCCGCGCCGCCATGTTGCTACACCGTACTTCCCCCCCCCACTCTCTGCCAGTGGCACGAGCGTCCATGTTGGTACACCCAAACCCGCTGACTATGCCTCGCGCAGCCGCAAATGGCCGGTAGAAACCGTGTCACCTGCATGTTATACTGTGCTTGGTGACAGCTTGTTACACCCCCGTTACGAGAATTAGTCATTGAGAAGACCGAGGTGTAGGTAGGGTGTACCAATATGGCGGCTGCTGTCAAGGAAGCAAGGACTTTCTGTGCAGTTTGTCAGCGGGCTGCCCCAGGGTGTTATGTGAGTTGGCCACACTAACTCCCCCTGGTTACATGTTCACCAGGACTGGCTGTTAGCTGGGACCCTGATCTACCCAAGCTGAGGTAAGTACACCAACAATATTATAATAATAATACTATAATAATAATTATTATAATATTAGAATTTATACCATGAGCTGTATTATTATTATTATTATTATTATTATTATTATTATTATTTATACCATGGGCTGTATTGTCACATTGTACCTGATATAACTTGGTTATTATAATAATTAATAATAATAAGGCTCAGCCTCAACACAGCTTGTGATTGGGCGATGTCACTTCAGCATCAATAATATAAACCAGTTATAAACTGGACTTGCAATCTGTGATGAATTTGCACTTGAATTGCATTTACAATATAATTGTTTCAAGAAAGAGCTGCATATATGCAAGTGGTTTAGTTTTAAAACTATTTATGTCGTACGTACGACGTTTCCTAACACTTACTTATAAAGCACCAAAATAATCTACATCACTAATACTCACTGGCATACATATAGGACCCCCCATATTACTTAAACAAACACACAGATGTATTCCTTACATTAAAGTGTCTCTCTGCCCACACGGCTTCCCCCTTCCTCGTCCATGAAAGGAGTAAAAAAACAACAACTTTTTATATGTTTCTTATATGCAACACTACTTTTTGCGCGTTTCTAGATTTTTACTAAGTACATTATGACGAGCTCTCGCTGGGGTCAGATTAATTCATTAATTCATTTTGTTGTAGCTTTTAATTTTTCTGTCAATTTTTTTTTACATTGGCACGTCCACCACCCATTATTGTTTTATTATTATTGTTTTATTATTTAGAGCTTCCACATGCCGCCAATGTGCGCCCATAGCACATACTATGCCCTCCCCCAATAATATAACTAGAGCCCCCAAGGGTGGGGAACGGGGGCACAATAGATTCCCAACCCCCTTATATTACAGTAATTCCCACCTGCGACTAGGCAGTTTGAGACACTTAGGTGATACAGTTGCAAGAAAAAGTATGTGAACCCTTTGGAATGATATGGATTTCTGCACAAATTGGTCATAAAATGTGATCTGATCATCATCTAAGTCACAACAATAGACAATCATCGTCTGCTTAAACTAATAACACAAAGATTGAAATGTTGCCATGTTTTTATTGAACACACCATGTAAACATTCACAGTGCAGGTGGAAAAAGTATGTGAACCCTTGGCTTTAATAACTGGTTGAACCTTCTTTGGCAGCAATAACCTCAACCAAATGTTTCCTGTAGTTGCAGATCAGACGTGCACAACGGTCAAGAGTAATTCTTGACCATTCCTCTTTACAGAACTGTTTCAGTTCAGCAATATTCTTGGGATGTCTGGTGTGAATTGCTTTCTTGAGGTCATGCCACAGCATCTCAATCGGGTTGAGGTCAGGACTCTGACTGGGCCACTTCTGAAGGCGTATTTTCTTCTGTTTAAGCCATTCTGTTGTTGATTTACTTCTATGCTTTGGGTCATTGTCCTGTTGCAACACCCATCTTCTGTTGAGCTTCAGCTGGTAGACAGATGGCCTTAAGTTCTCCTGCAAAATGTCTTGATAAACTTGGGAATTCATTTTTCCTTTGATGATAGCAATCCGTCCAGGCCCTGACGCAGCAAAGCAGCCCCAAACCATGATGCCCCCACCACCATACTTCACAGTTGGGATGAGGTTTTGATGTTGGTGTGCTGTGCCTTTTTTTCGCCACACATAGTGTTGTGTGTTTCTTCCAAACAACTCAACTTTGGTTTCATCTGTCCACAGAATATTTTGCCAGTACTGCTGTGGAACATCCAGGTGCTCTTGTGCAAACTGTAAACGTGCAGCAATGTTTTGTTTGGACAGCAGTGGCTTCCTCTGTGGTATCCTCCCATGAAATCCATTCTTGTTTAGTGTTTTACGTATTGTAGATTCGCTAACAGGGATGTTAGCATTTGCCAGTGACTTTTGTAAGTCTTTAGCTGACACTCTAGGATTCTTCTTCACCTCATTGAGCAGTCTGTGCTGTGCTCTTGCAGTCATCTTTACAGGACGGCCACTCCTAGGGAGAGTAGCAGCAGTGCTGAACTTTCTCCATCTATAGACAATTTGTCTTACCGTGGACTGATGGACAGCAAGGCTTTTGGAGATACTTTTATAACCCTTTCCAGCTTTATGCAAGTCAACAATTCTTAATCGTAGGTCTTCTGAGAGCTGTTTTGTGCGAGGCATCAGGCAATGCTTCTTGTGAAAAGCAAACCAAGAACTGATGTGTGTTTTTATAGGGCAGCTGTAACCAGCACCTCAATCTCATCTCATTGATTGGACTCCATGGTTTACATGGTGTGTTCAATAAAAATTTGGCAACATTTCATTCTTTGTGCCTTATTAGTTTAAGCAGACTGTGATTGTCTATTGTTGTGACTTAGATAATGATCAGATCACATTTTATGACCAATTTGTGCAGAAATCCATATCATTCCAAAGGGGTCACATACTTTTTCTTGCAACTGTATGCCCCACTTGCAGCAAAATAGGTAGGGTCATAGGGAGGTTTAAACCCCTCTTAAAGTAATATGGTGGTCTTATGAATTTGAAGCATTGGGCTAAAACTTGAGACATTCATGTCTTGATTTTAGCTGAAATTCGAAACCAATTTGCAAAATCTAGACATTGTTGAATAACGTGAACAGTGTCCAGATTTTGCAATTGAAATGGTATCATATGCGGCTGGATGGTTTTGCCTCATTCGGTACAGTTCTATTAGAACTTTAGTGACTAACCCGACAGAGGGTTTAATCATCATTTTACAGCGCTACGGACATTGCTGGCGCTATATAAATAATAAAATAATAATCAAAACTTTTTGAATCGTAGGGAATTAAAATACCAGTTGTAAAATCAAGGCTAAAAATAGCTTTACTGCAGCAAAGTTGGAGAATTTTTCACTTACCTACATTTTTTTTTAATTCGGATTTCATTTCGCTACAGTTTGGGGTTTAGTCAGATAGTGGATAACCCTAACCGTGTTGTCCAGGTTCATTTTCTAGATGTTACATATATGCATGCCTGCAGTATGACAACAGTTTTCTGGTTAACTGAAGGAAATTGCCATTTGACAAGGAAATTGCAGATTTGATGAAAAATAACGAAATTGGCAATCTTTTTCAATTTAGCTGGTTTGGAATACAAATATCAATTCCTTTCTCAGTTCTGCACATTTCTATTTTTATCATCAACACTGCAGTTCTCTACGGTTAGCTGCCAGGGAGTGTTTTGGGACATGCTAAGCGTCATTGTATTTAGAAGCATGTGCACTTACTGAAACCAACATTTTTTATGGTATGCTGTAATACAGAAAAAAAAGGATAGATCTTAAAAGTATTTTTTTTCTTTAATCAATCTGGTTAAAATTAAAAATCATTTATCTGCTACCACAGATGTATGCTGCCATATCCTATATACTGGATGGATGCATTTTACCTTTTTGCCATAAGTTCTATCCGGTTTAACTTGTAACATTAAGCTGTTATAAAGTAGACATTTGTTATGTTTTTAATCTAATTATTATTATTTTTAACGGACTACAATGCTGTGTTTTTTATTTTTGTTTTCTCATTTTTTAATCATTAGGGAGATCCATTCTGGGGGAAAAGTATGGACATCATACATCATCTTCAAATCTCCAGACAGAAAATATTGACTTTCCAAAAACTCATTTCAGCAAGGTGTTACAGAAACACACTTCAAAGCTCAAAAGCAAAGGCTTCATGGTGCAACAACGAACACACAGAACTTTATCGACAAAAAACATGCTCCAAGCATTTCAACTCATCCCCATACAAGGTTGAAGGAAACCAATGGATCACCCAAAGGAGAATTGGGGCATCATTGAATAATTACCCACAATGTGGAAATCTCCCCTCGTGTGTGCCAATGATTGGTGGCATTTCCTTAAAGTTGCCTGGTCAGCTGCATAGTCACTGCTACAGGCCAATCCACACGTCGGCACGTTTGAATATTCTCTTACCTCCCCATGTTTGGCTATTAATAAAACCAGTCCAGAAGCTCTTTGCAATCATCCTTGGCAGGTGAATTTTTATTAGAGCTGTAGAAAATTTAGAAAATGCAGGATCAAGCATATTATCTTAGAGCGTGAGATGAACATTCACAAGTAATGAGAGCGATCCTATATAGGCTGTGCTGAGCCCTAGTGAAGACTGACATACTGGATTTCAGCATAGGGTTTGCACTGGGATGGTGCCAGAGCACTTCTAGCTATGGCTGTAGGGGATATGCTGCTTGGAGTGTGCCTTTAAGTGAAAAAACTTTAAAGGTTTACTATAACCCTTTTTAGAGGGGGTACCATTTCCAGTGTAAAATGCCCTATTGGGCACTGCGGAGGAGGTCCCCCCCTCTCAATTTGTAGTAAAACCTGGAGAAAAAGGTTTTACTTACCTGGAATCCAGCGAAGCTCCCAGTGCTGATCTTCCGTGCCCCCTTCTGATGTCCCTGAGGCAGTGTGCGTTCCAATTACTCATTGAGAAGCCTGCGATTTGGACCATTTAGTCAGCTCAGAATGCATGCGCACTCACCGGGCGAAGGGAGGGAGAGTTTATCTTAAAAACAACAATGTGGAACAGAGGGAGGCGGGAGGAAATGAGAATGGTTGGGAGGGGAGAGCTAGTTTCCCCTTGCAGGCATAGAACTCTAGGTCTCTTGTCAGCGTGCATTGCGAGCTGACAACAGACCTATTTTATGGACAGAATTGACATTGGCAGCTCGGAACCAAGTTCTGGGCTGCCAGTGTCATGTGCTGAGTTGCTACTAGCCCTCCGGAACACATTTACAAATATCTCAGGATGTGCAGTGATTTTAAAACTGAAAACACACCACATGCTGACTCCTACCACCATGAACACTTCAACTCCCTGAAGTGGTCATTGTGGTTGGAGTAATGGATCTTTAATGGATGTCAGCTGAAATTTTTTGTCGGAATTATTAAAACAAATCCACACTGTCACAAGAACTAAAGGATCACTTATTTGCAGCTATGACTTATACATTTGTTAAGATTCAGGGATATATTCACTAAGGGATTAAACACGGAACTGTAGCAAACTGCACATTTTGCAAAATTCAGGCTCATTTAGCAAAGCTGTGACTATAGAGGAGTTTTTATTTTTTTACAAATTCTGTTTTTACCTAATTTTTGCAATTTGTTTACTAATTCACTGCAATTCCATGTTGAGTTAATAAGATACAGATGTTTGTTCCCTAAATAATCGTTTGCCTGGTAAACTATAAACCAGTCATGTCCAAAGTCCGGCCCGGGGCCCATTGCGGCCCTCGTTCCGGTTTAATACAGCTCCACAGGTTATTTGGCTAATCCTATCTGTTGTGGCCCCCAGTGAATCCCCGAGCGCTGCTCAGGATCCATGGATCTTTGAACGACGCGGTCCTGAGCGGTTCGAAGGGATTCACTGGGGGCAAAGAGATTGCGAGAACGCAGACGGATGTGCAGTCACTGCTCATCCTCAGTCTGAGTTCTCGCGATCTCTTGGACGTTGACGTTGCAGGATTTGGTTCCTTCTCCCAGGAGGCAGAGAATGAAGGGACAGAATAAAAGAGAAAAGGGACAGAATGAAGGGACAGCATAAAGGAGAAAAGGGACAGAATAAAGTGAGACAGAATAAAGACATCAAATCAAAAGTATGCCGCTTGCAATAAATTTTGCATAAAATAGTTAATTTGCATTTAATTTTAATGGTTCAAAATGGTCGGCCCTCACACATGTTCACTTCATCAAATCTTGCCCTCTTTGAAAAAAGTTTGGACATCCCTGCGTAAACTGTAGGCCAAAATAGCTGATATGAGAGAAAATAAAAGTACTATTTTGGTCTTGCTATTATGGCCTCCACTGTAATTTAGTTTTTATCTCACTGTATAGCAGATAAACCCTTTTCATCTTTACAAACAGAGTATTCACTATATTACTGACAGTTATATTACAGTTTTTAATGAACTGAGCAGTCTTCAATGCTGTGCTTGCTTTTCTGGGTTTACCTTTCTTTATCACTTCGATCTTTCTAATTTACGTGGCTCATGTGGCATATACTGCAGTCTTTCTTATTTGTGTTTTGGTTCTCAGGAGTGTAAGAAAATGGTGGAAAAGTCTTCCCTCCAACAAGCGGCAGATGTTCAAAGAAAACCTAAAACAAAACAAGTGGAAGCTGATTGCTAGTATAACCTCACTAGGGATCGTCTTCATCCTATTTTATTGCACCCATCTGGAGGAGAGTCCGATTACCGGACGGAGCCGGCTCTTACTTTTCAAAAAGGAGCACTACAATTTTCTCACTACAATGGAATATGAAAATGTGAGTAAAATACAACGGAGAGTTGTGTTATGACTTATTTTGTGTTAAACAAATATAATTATAATAATGTATTAACCCCTGCACCCTCTAGTATGGCTGTCTTCTTTGTTAGACTTCAGTGAATTACTGCCAAACCTATGGAGCAGGTAGCAAATCAAATGCACTCACAGAGCTTCAAATTATTTTCTTTAAAGGACCACTATAGTGCCAGGAAAACATACTCGTTTTCCTGGCACTATAGTGCCCTGAGGGTGCCCCCACCCTGAGGGCCCCACTCCTGTGGGAGGAAGGGGTTAATCCCTTACCTTTTTTTCGGCGCTGGGACTCTCCTCCCTCTTCTTCCGTCATCGGCTGAATGAGCATGCGCGGCAAGAGCTGCGCGCGCATTCAGCCAGTCTCATAGGAAAGCATTCTCAATGCTTTCCTATGGACGCTGGCGTCTTCTCACTGTGAAACTCACAGTGAGAAGCGCGGAAGCGCCTCTAGCGGCTGTCAGTGAGACAGCCACTAGAGGCTGAATTAACCCATATGTAAACATATCAGTTTCTCGGAAACTGCTATGTTTACTGCAAAAAGGGTTAAACCTAGATGGACCTGGCACCCAGACCACTTCATTAAGCTGAAGTGGTCTTGGTGCTTATAGTGGTCCTTTAAAAAAATAAAATAAAAAATAATTAAAGACTTTATGTGAAAGAATCAATGTTTTGACTGTCTCTGGGTCTTTAACAAAAATACAGATTTAGGGTCGGAATGTTGCTGCATTATTGTAAATGTCTATTGTTCCCCTTCCTTCTGATCAAAACCACAAACTTTGGAATTAGTAATTAAAGGAACACTCCAGTGTTTAGTATTTAAACCGCTAATGAAAACATGTATGCATTTAATTATTCATTTTTTTTTTTTTCATTGGAAATATATCTAAAAACAGCTTGCAAAAATCTGCAGATCTATTGTCAGAATCCTTTGCAAGCGCTCCCATTCTAACCCAGTCCAGGCTTTCTGTGGTTGTCCAATCACAGATTGGCAATTGCATGCCTCTTGAGTTTAGCTCCACAGAGTGAAAAATCCAGACCAGGGGAGCGGGACTTGACCTCAATGACAACCAAACTCCTCAGGAGTCACCGATTAAATATCACTTCTTGGCTGTTCTGGCTATTTATTTATAGCTGTCAGCTCATACTCCACTTATTGAGTTAATAGTTCGGCCTGGGAATGCTTCCCGTGGTCTATAAGCACTCTGTAGTCACTTTTCTCGGTTGACACATCTGAGTTCTAGTGGGTACCAAGGCCCAACTTGCGTAAGCAAGGTTCCAAGGAATCTGATGCCCCATTTACTCCTCATCTCAGCAGCTATCCTGCTCCAACTTTGTACTAGCTCTACCAAAGGTAGCACAAACAAGATAGCGGACGACGCTGCATGCACTTTGGACTTCCATGGAGAGATGTCCAACACTCTCTATAGACTGGAAGCACTATTTGAGCCTTTCTGGAAGTGGCTGCATGACAAGAGATCTCTACCAGCTCCCGAGGCTGCCACAATACCTCTAAGAAGGTTCCAAAGCACATCACGTCACGTTACGATACACCTTGAGGAAGCTGGTAGGCAGCCCAGCATTGGCACTATACGATCATCAAATTAGTGAGGAGAGTAAGCGGAGAGATGCAGTATGGAGAAGGAAGGGATTCTATAGAGGAGAACTGCATATGACAATGTTGGCACTGGACCTACAGCCTAGCAATCTTGGATGGGACTGTGACCTGCCTGTAACGGGCATTGGTTGACCATACGTTGGAGTCTCTTATTGCATGTCGGCACACAGCCTATCAATGCAGAATATACATCATTATTGTATGCCTACTCTTGTTAAATTACAATGTTTACTGTCCTCATGCAACACAGAATGGACGTTTCCTTTGTATTCCTCGAGCTCCCTGGAATGGTATACCCTATAGTTGTCTACTCATGTAAATCCAGCATAAAAACATAGAATGTGATGGCTGATAAGAACCGTTCAGCCCATCTAGTCTGTCCAATTTTCTAAATACTTTCATTAGTCCCTAGCCTTATCTTATAGTTAGGATAGCCTTATGCCTATCCCATGCATGCTTAAACTCCTTTACTGTGTTAACCTCTACCACTTCAGCTGGAAGGCTATTCCATGCATCCACTACCCTCTCAGTAAAGTAATACTTCCTGATATTACTTTTAAACCTTTGCCCCTCTAATTTAAGACTATGTCCTCTTGTTGTGGTAGTTTTTCTTCTTTTAAATATAGTCTCCTCCTTTACTGTGTTGATTCCCTTTATGTATTTAAATGTTTCTATCATATCCCCCCCTGTCTCGTCTTTCCTCCAAGCTAAACATGTTAAGATCCTTTAACCTTTCCTGGTAAGTTTTATCCTGCAATCCATGAGCCAGTTTAGTAGCCCTTCTGTAATGTGATTTTTGATGCCTCAATAAAAGATAGATTGACAAAAACAAATCCTGATTCATTGTCTGACAGCCACGGGGTGTAACAACGTTAATTTATAAAAGCCAATTTCAAGAAAGGAAACACTCTTAACATAAAAAAAAAACCCTTAAGCAAACTAAAGTGCTTGATGGGTCTGGAGTGTCCCTTTAAGTGTATTATTAATATAGAAAATAAATAATAGCAAGTTTGGTGAGTCACATTATTTATGTATATATTCTCTTGCTCACTCCTATGACATCACATTCTAAAAACATTGACATTAATATGTAGTTGCTACCCTTTTTGAAGGTCTTCCACTCTTATGGGAAGGCTTTCCACAAGATTTTGGAGTGTTTCTGTGGGTTTTGCCCATTTATCCAGTAGAACATTTGCAAGGTCAGGTACTGATATTGTAGGATAAGGCCTGTCTCGTAATGTTAATGTCCACTCCAGATTATCCCAAAGGTGTTCGATGGGGTTGAGGTCAGTGTTTTGTGCGTACCAGTCAAGTTCTTTCACACCAAACTGAACCATGGACCTTGCATTGTGAACTGGGCATGCTCTGTGTGTCCAGTCTAATTCTTTCACACCAAACTGAACCATGGACCTTGCATTGTGAACTGGGCATGCTCTGTGTGTCCAGTCAAGTTCTTCCACACCAAACTCAACCAAGGCAACGTACTTTACACTAAACAAGACAATGCTTGGCATTGCACTTGGTGATGTGAAGGTTGTATGCAGATGCTCGGCAATGGAATCCCATTTCAAAAAGCTCCTGACACATAGTTGTTGTGCTGATATTAATGCCAATGGAAGTTTGGAACTCTTCAGCTATGAACTCAGCAGTACTTTTTTTACGATTACGATTTTTACGCACCGTGTGCCTCAGCACTCCCTGATCCTGCTCCTTGACTCTACGTGTTCTTCTGCTTCGTGGCTGAGTCCTAAACGCTTCCACTTTTATCAAACTGACTCCTACCACAATACCACAGTGCCATGCTTTCACTTTTCACTGAATTCACTGAGCTTTTCATAATGATGATTTTTTTTCAAAAGTGTTTCACAAGTGTTTGTAAATGCAGACTGCGTGGCTAGGAGCTTGATTTTATAAACCCGAATCAATGGGTTTGATTGAAACACCTGAACTTAATTTAAGTGTGTCCCAATACTTTATTCCATATACTATACAATAATATGCCTCCTTAGCTTTGTTCTCTTGCTGATTACACCAGCAAAGCAATCGCACACAATGAGACTACTGTGGAAACTATTTTCTGGCACCGTTTTTTGCTAATTTCTATGATATAGCACCCTATCCCAGGTGTCACAAGAAATGCACTAGAGAGTGAATAGTATACTTCTGTGATGTTGGCAAAAGCTGCGCATTAATTCCTTGAATAACGCAGCTTAGATCTTGGTAAGACTGGACAGTGAAACAAAACTTGATTTGCATCACTGATCCCAGAATAAGGAAAATACTTTTTTACTAGCTGTTTAAATTGAATGTTTCTTATTTGAGCTGCGTGGTTGACAGCTAATCTGTGCCGTGCATCTTACAGCATCCCGCAGTCTGTAATCAAAAACTCCTTGTGCTTGATCAAAGGATCACAGTTTTGGGACTAGAGCCTCTAATAAGTAATTATTCTGGTGTTCAGGAAACCTTAGCTTACGGTTTCATGTTTGTCTCCTGCCAATTTCAAATTTTTAACAATATTATAGGAAAAAGAATAAAAGCCGACGGGCTACCCAAAAAAAGCAAACAAACTTCAACAACATTACACAATCTGTCTGTATATTTTGTTAACAATTCTTAAAACAGGATAACATTTTATCGATCTATTTAATAATAATGATGATAATTTAATTAACTGATTATCCTAGGAATATAATATTTAAACAGATGACAGGATCCTTTTCCATTAGAATAGAAATGTAAAGGGTCACTGCAGCCACTCGAATGTTCGGTGCAGTGTGTCGGCTAGGTTACACTTTGTTGCTTTCTAAGAAAAAATCTCCAGGGAGGAGGAAGAGCTTTGTAAAAGTTGTGTGGCATGCCATATTTAAAAAAAACCAAAAAAAAAAAAAACCCTGATATAAGGTACTTGGACAAACTGTGCCAGTTCTAAGCCACTTGCAGAAGTGAGAACTGGAGCATAGTCCTCTATGTACCATCAAGTTATTCATGGTGCTTAAAGTGCCTCTTTAATAGTAACTTATACCTCAACATGTGTACCATATGTTTGTATCTTATGGTACAAGCATTTCAACCTTCAGGATGGCCTGAATTCGGCATGTGCAATTTTTGTGACTTGCAGGGTCACAGTCAAAATTTAGTAAAACTAATGGCGCTAAGGCTGTTATATATCTGGGGATGTTCATTTTTGGGGTTTTTTCTTGTCTCATTGTAAAGCACAACCCCAGAGGGAGCCCATAGGGCAGGTCACCCATCTTAGCACTCTCTTCATGTAGGTTTACTAACTCTAAATAGGACACAGCATGACCAAGAAAGATTATGGCATTTACTATTGTACAAGGAAGTCTTCCGTCTGTCTTTGTTCTGGTTGTACATAATTACAACTATTTACAAATCACTCCAAAGCAGATCAGCCATGTGGGTATATGCGCTCGGGGTTAGTGCCCTATATGTTCATTACCGTCACTGTCCATAAGTAAAATCTGGTGTTTTATGTATATTTACTATTGTGTATATTTTTTGTTACATGTACAACGGTTATGAAAGACAATATTTGATGTTAAAGGGACACTATAGTCACCAAAACAACTACAAATAATAAACCATAATCCCATGCCAATGAGGATGTGCCTAGTAACCCATAGCACATAAACAGAGCACTTGGACTAGTTAAAAGGTTTCACTTGTAAAAACTCTCCAACTCTCTTATTTTGTCCTAAATGCCGAAATTTTCATTGTCTATTTACCGCGTGTGACATTTTAGTGAAAGAGTGCACACAGGGATTTGTTTACATTTTAGCGATATTACTTCGATATCCTGTCTCCATTTTATTTCCTTCTTTTTGTTATTTGTATTAATATTATTGCCGCTTGCGTATAAGTAAAGGGGGAATTAGTCTGTCATCTACTTAAGGAATATAAAATGGATCTTGCACTTGCGTTGTTAAGTGCCAGCTGTGAACAATTCTCCTTGATGAAAAGCTAATGAATTTAAAAGAACCACTTTTGTGCGAACAAAGGGAAAAAGTAACATTTTTCAAACCCAAACTAGTAAAACAGCATGCCATTAATGTGCTAACAAAGATGCTTAAAAATTTCCTTGCACCAGTTTTTTAATAGTTGGATCAAGCAGTAAGTGTTACAGAACATGTTTGGATAATAAAAGAAAATACTTAAAATATTCCCTGTGGATTCAAAAGCAACTCACCATGGTGAAATTATAAACAAAGTCCCTTATAAAGGGACTTTCTTCATGTCTATAGTGAAGTGTCTCAAACCCTCTAAACCAGGGGTGTCACACTCATCAACTATGGAGACAAAATATTAAAATAAAGTGTGAATGGGGAGCAGAATGTAGAAACATAGAATGTGACGGCAGATAAGAACCATTTGGCCCATCTAGTCTACACAATTTTCTAAATACTTTCATTAGTCCCTGGCCTTATCTTATAGTTAGGATAGCCTTATGCCTATCCCACGCATGCTTAAACTCCTTTACTGTGTTAACCTCTACCACTTCAGTTGGAAGGCTATTCCATGCATCCACTACCCTCTCAGTAAAGTAATACTTCCTGATATTATTTTTAAACCTTTGTCCCTCTAATCTAAGACTATGTCCTCTTGTTGTGGTAGTTTTTCTTCTTTTAAATATAGTCTCCTCCTTTACTGTGTTGATTCCCTTTATATATTTAAATGTTTCTATCTTATCCCCCCTGTCTCGTCTTTCCTCCAAGCTATACATGTTAAGATCCTTTAACCTTTCCTGGTAAGTTTTATCCCGCAATCCATGAACCAGTTTAGTAGTCCTTCTCTGAACCCTCTCTAAGGTATCAATATCCTTCTGAAGATACGGTCTCCAGTACTGTGTACAATACTCCAAGTGAGGTCTCACCAGTGTTCTGTACAATGGCATGAGCACTTCCCTCTTTCTACTGCTAATACCTCTCCCTATACAACCAAGCATTCTGCTAGCATTTCCTGCTGCTCTATTACATCGTCTGCCTACCTTTAGGTCATCTGAAAAAAATCACCCCTAAAACATCCTCGTACACTATATAGTGAAACGTATGTGGACAACAACTATATGAGTATGAAGTTACCCCCTCTCCTCTGCGGTTAGTTGCTCCTCCGTCTATGGAGATTTCATGGCTGAGTGGATACATTATTTGAGGAATTTGGAGACCAAGGCAACACCTTTTTCATGTTGCTTAAACCATTCCAATTTTTGCAGTGTGACAGGGTGCATTATCCTGCTGAAAGAGGCCATCAGAGAATACCATTGCCATGAAGGGTTGTACATGGTCTACTGTAATCTCTATGTAGCTGGTATGTGGCAAAGTAACATCCACATGAATGCCAGGACCCAAGGTTTCCTAGCAGAACCCGGGCACTGATGCTAGAATTTTACCTGAATAGAAGGTATGGAAAGTAAACTCCCTCGACCAATCAGGAGAAGGCAAAATGTCTGAAGGAAGCTGTCCGCAATTAAGACGGTGGAAGTGTTCGTACATCTGTCTGAGTGAACTCCAAAACAGGAATCTATACCTGTCATAGTGAGAAGCCACTTAATCCAATGAGCAATTGTGGGGCACAAAACAGGTATGTGAAGACAAAAATAATAAAAAAAAAAAAATTGGGCCTGCTCAGATGTCGTACAAGAAATGTATTGTTGAACACAACAAACTATACAGAGAACTAAGTGGAAGTAGCTTTTGTGCGCTGAATAATGGAGAAACGTACTCCCTCTGGTGTAAAGACAATAGCGTGAAAGTCAAAAGCTTGAATGTCAGGTACCCTCTGAAAATAAATTAAACAAAGAAGTAAGTGCAATTTGATTGAAAGCTGATGTAGGAAAGAGTTCAGTGTTGGAAAGCCATATCTTCAAAAAGTTAAAACTTGTGCAGCATCACAAAATCAGGTATATTTAGGAACAGAAGGACTAGCGAGACAAATGCTGCGTACGAGTCTGCAGATGGATCAGTGTCTGCCCACAGAGGAATCCTCAACAGGAACATGTGCTGCAGAAAAAGTGTAACAAATCTCATTAAGAGACCTATAAGACACTAATCGAAAAGCGGCAATAAAAAAAAATTCAAAATGTTAGAGACGTTGAAAAGGGATCAATATCCCTTTCCACACACCAGCTATCCAAGATGCACTGCGCAGAGAAATAGGAACGTCTTGTCCCGGGAGACCATGAATCCCATAAGAGCTCTTGAGCAGTATCAGAATGTCCTGAGACATTCCAGGATACCCTGAAACAATCTAGGCCATGAGAGGAAGGTAGCTTTGAGGGCGAGTGGGTGAAAGTTCCCTGTTGAATCCCTGAAAAGATTGTAGGTTAGAGGCAATAGTGAGGTAATTCACTGACATCTCTAGGAGGTTGGGAAACTATGGCTCTCTATAGAAGAGTTACAAGTGTTATCTTGACTTAAATAGTTTTAAGATGATGAGTGCAAGGAATCATGGCACGGTGGAAAAGTGTAACCTCTGGTCATTGGCCACAATTGAAGGAAGGCGTCAACTGCAAGACAGATGGGATCCGTCAAACAGCTGAAGAATGCGAAGGTCTAGGATGTGCCGCCATCGAAATATGTGAGGATTCAGTTGCCGATCCCTGGATTCTCTCCGCTGGCAAGAAAACCAGTCTGCGACAAGATTGTCTGAACCAGGAAGATATTCTGGCCAAACGGAAAGGTTCTTGTCCAGGCAAAACTGATGCAGTTCTCTCGGGAAAAAAGAGTAGTTTTGCGCAGGATACACTAAGGAGATGTAAAGAGCTGACCACCGAAATGTTGTCTTCTGTAGTACCAATGCACAGTTGTAAGTCTCTTTGGTGAAACTGTGGATCATAGCAGAATCTGCAATCAGTTCCCGGTAGAGAAGTCAGAGCATATTGCGCCCCTGTTGAGGCTGGCGTTTAACTCCAGTATGAAATGCAGTTGAGAAGCAAAAATAGCATTCCCATTACAGATGTCCATAGGAGTAAACAAACCGTATATACTTGAAGTATATGAAAAGAAAGCGCTAATAAATGAAGCACACAAGTGAAAATAAGAATAACCATCAATACAATACAGGATAAAATAAAAAAAAGCCTAGCGAAAACAAACTAAAATAGAGAAAAAAAACTGACTGCATATGGTGTAATATAGTTAGGAAGCATCAGGGGGTGGGGGAGTGGGAAGAGGACTAAAATATATACAGGCCTGTCTCCCCAAAGGGGTATATTCCATGTAAAATTATAAAAGTAAGGTAAAATCAGGTATATCTCCACCAAAACTGGATCTCACGAAAGAACCAGTTACAACTGGAATCAAAGGTAAAAAATAATCAGAAATAAAAACAATGAAAGCGTGTAGAGTGTACAAAGTAGAGTGTAATAAACCCAGGTGTTTCGTTCGGGTTGGGACATCTTCGGGGAGATGGGACACCGTTACTTGATCCGGTTTATAATGAGCTTCTGTGTTAGTGAAACCATCTGGTCTTTCACCTATCTAATAAAAAGAGTGGCGTCACCCTGTAAATTATACTAAAGGAAAGAGCGACTTACCCTCAGTATTTGGCGAAGACAAAACCCCCAAACTGTTATTACAGCATAGAAGCTAATGTAGGTGAAGAGCCAACATATAGTAGTTGCCAGGAAAAAGTACTTGCTCTAAAAGCGAAAAAAACGATCCTCTGAACGAGCCAGAAACTGTATGCTGATGAGCTTGGAACAGTGTTTCGCTTGAGTGGCAGAACTGAAAAGCATGGAAATCCAACAGTTGTCAAAATTTGCTGCACTAAAATGGCCACCAGCACTAACAAGAGAGACGGAGACTGTGCATCAATCGTATGACTTGTGTGAAGGAGGACACGTGGGAATGTGTGTTAAGATATTAAGGGGAAAACTGCTGCGAGTGCCATGCCACGGCCACCGGCGTAGTTAGATCGGGCAGAAGAAACTGTAAAACTAAACCTGAGGCGAACCTGGAGAAGAATAAAAATAAAAAAAATATGAAAGGGGTAACATGAATAACCGCTCAAATAAAAAAGTTTTTTGCAAAATATATATATATATATAATAAACTAGGACTGTAATTGTAAAAGACTTACCTTGGAGGTAAGCAGCAAAGAAAGATGAGTTCGGAGGAGTTTCATTCTAACTACTTATCGTGTGTGTGTGTGTGTAACATTTGTATGCTGAAAGAAAAGAATATTGCTCTTTCAAATGTACTTCTTACTAATTAACTTCTTTCCCCTGTCACTTCTACTGTTTGTCTTCCTTAATCTGAGCTATTCCTTCTAGTTCTTTTAGTGTTTACAAGACTATAAACCAGCAATTTATTTTTATATTGACTAGAAAGTACTTTACTCCTTTTTGTGTAATTTAATCCCATTTCCTTTATATTGTGAAGTCATAGGTTTCTCACCTTTCTATTTGTCAAATTGGTCATATTGCCAGTTCTTGTATGTTTTGCCCACCTATTGTACTGAACTGCAAAATATGTTGGCGCTTTATAATAAATAATAATAATATTAATATAGAATGTATTGTTAACAGGCCCACTATAAAGATTTTATCATGATGTAAGTAAAAATGCTCCAGTGGTTTTTAAAGAAATCCCGTAGTATGTGCGCCAGATTCATTTAAGCCCAGAATTAGAATTTCCATTAATCCTCTGAATTTAAAGCAGAAAAAAATATAAAGCTTCAAAATATTGGTTGGGGTTACTTTAAATACTATCTCACACAAAAGAAAACCTAGTTTGCAGCAAGCTGTATATTATCTACCTGGAACAAACGATGGAAGCAATTATTTATTTTTACAGCGGCATGACAAAACGCATAGCTCTGTGTGCTTTGAATGTTCCTCATTCGTTAAATCTCCCCTTCATTGTAATTCCCCCTCAAAGATAAAACTGACTTAGGTTATAGGGGAATATCCTTTTAGGTTCTCCTGCTTCAAAGATGCAGCCAGCACAGTTTATTCCCCAAAGAGCTGCAAACCACATACAGATATTTCCTTTAAAATAGAAGTAGGATTAAAGAACCCAATGTGCAGAGTTGCACTTTTCCAGATTGTCCATATCTTTTTATTTTTGTTACCTTTTCAGCTGATTGAAGAGTATAAGGATATTATGCTTCCCAAGGAAGATCCACGTTATCAGCTTGTCCAGAAAATTGTAGACCATCTTATCGCTTGCAACGGCGACCTACCAGAGGTGTCTAAGATGGAGTGGGTCGTACACGTTGTAGAGAAGTCAGAAATAAATGCTGCTGTGATGCAGGTAAGAAAAATCTGAATATATTATTAAGGTAGGTGGTTGGAGTTTATTGTACAGAAAATGCAACTCAGTGCTTTCATGTGTGTATGTATGTATGTATGTATGTATATATGTCTATGTGAGTGTGTTTGTGTTCATACAGCCTTGTGCTTCATGTATAAACCATTTTGCACTCACTGACCTTTATAGAATCAGAGTCAGATTTTTAATACATACAGATAAGGTCCAAAATTTTTAGGGCCTTTTTTTCCCATTTTGTGTACGGTATCTATTTCCTATCGGTCAATAGTTTATTGCACACTGGCTTAATGACCACTGTTTTCTCAGATTGCTCTTTGGACCTACAGTTTATTTCTGTCAATTGTTTTTTTTCTTTTTTGTTTTTTTTAATACACTGTTGCATACATTTTAACTGTGATGTTTGAACACCTCAACCAGCTTTTATCAACGTTGATAAATGTTCGTTTTGCACAAAAAACATTTCCAATTTTTTTGTTCCTTGTTTTTTTTTTTATATAATATAGATGTTTCACACAAACTCTCTTGTTGTTTTTTGAAGGTTCTCTTGGTGACCAGTAATCTTTAACAAAGGTTGGAATTCCACAGTTACAGAGCACAGAGGGATTTAGTAATTTTAATGTGACTAAATAGCTCCTGCTGGTCTATTGCTAGAAATTAAAATAACGAAAGGTGAAGCGCTACATACAAGTTGAAGTCCAATTGTTTTAACTGTCGTTCTTGTCGATCAGTATTTTCTTAGTGGTATATGGATCTTATTCTAAAGAGAAAATTAGAATATACTTAGTGCAACACTGTAAAAAATACTTTTGACACAATGTAAACTCTATTTATGGAACCACTCACATATTACTGAGCTTACGACCAAGCTCAGGGGTATACACCTTCAGGTCCGTAAAGGCGACCTTTCACCTTCTTTCATCCAAATGACAAATTCCCTGTTGCGGCTAGGGCTCAAGCAGAGATATATATGGTGCAATATAGTTTCAAATCCGTTTATAAAGTAAGAAAATATGCATATATACTCACAAGTCTGGAGCCTTCCTCTTAGGCTCTTTTCCAAAGCGTTGTGTAGTTTAGGACTACACACCTAATAGCAGGAACCGATATCCCAGTATGAATAACACAAAAATATGTTTATTGTATTTAAAATTCTAATGTATCTCTTGTATTTCTCATCAAATGACTGCTATATCAAAGTATTGTATGTGTCCATAACTAGATTGTACACATATAACAAGGAAAGTAACTCTTATACAAAATACATATACATAAAAAATACATAAAAAATACCTTTAAGTATATATTGCACAATAAGGTACATTTCTTTACAACATGAGACATGAATTTTTTATATATTATAATTGCTATTTTATTTTGTTTTAAATATTATGAGAATTATTTATTCTGTGGGTACTGTATTAAACTGGAGAGATTGTTCTCACTAGATCTCATACATAGGGATTTTATTAGTATGAGTATCAACGATATCGCTATTTTTATTTAAAGAATGTGATAAATGTGAAAGGTATTTTTTATGTATTTTTTATGTATATGTATTTTGTATAAGAGTTACTTTCCTTGTTATATGTGTACAATCTAGTTATGGACACATACAATACTTTGATATAGCAGTCATTTGATGAGAAATACAAGAGATACATCTGTGAAATATGGAAACTTTGTTATGGAAATCAGATGCACTCGGTACGAGAGACCAAGCACGGAGGAATTGTAGCGTGACGTCATATGCGGAAGTGAACCGCAATGAGAAAGAGGCTTGGAACGCATAGGGTCGGCTAGCCGGAAGAAAGAGCATCAGCACGCCAAAAACAACACCGAACGCCGAGCCCTAAAGTTGCAGACAAGATATAATAGCAGGACTTCTGTAAGTAGGAGAATTTGTTTGTGATTTTTTTCACCCAGCTGAGGAAGCCAACAGTAGTGTGGCGAAACGCGTCCTGGGGATTGTTTTATATTACCTTTATGCCCAGATTTTTATATTACTGTATATTACTGTATATTCATCATATTTTGTTTTTATTGATTCTAATTGGCCATTAGAATTTTAAATACAATAAACATATTTTTGTGTTATTCATACTGGGATATCGGTTCCTGCTATTAGGTGTGTAGTCCTAAACTACACAACGCTTTGGAAAAGAGCCTAAGAGGAAGGCTCCAGACTTGTGAGTATATATGCATATTTTCTTACTTTATAAACGGATTTGAAACTATATTGCACCATATATATCTCTGCTTGAGCCCTAGCCGCAACAGGGAATTTGTCATTTGGATGAAAGAAGGTGAAAGGTCGCCTTTACGGACCTGAAGGTGTATACCCCTGAGCTTGGTCGTAAGCTCAGTAATATGTGAGTGGTTCCATAAATAGAGTTTACATTGTGTCAAAAGTATTTTTTACAGTGTTGCACTAAGTATATTCTAATTTTCTCTTTAGAATAAGATCCATATACCACTAAGAAAATACTGATCGACAAGAACGACAGTTAAAACAATTGGACTTCAACTTGTATGTAGCGCTTCACCTTTCGTTATTTTTGTTCTGTGGTTGGTGTATATGGAAAGACTACACGTGGTGATATAGCAGCTAATAGCATAGTTATATACTGTGAAATTATTGTATAGCGCCAGTATATTATTCTTTTGTATTGCTAGAAATTGCCAAGATGCAAGAAGTTGTGGACCGAGAGATGCTAAAGGACTTTGGGTTATGTACCCATTGTTTAAAGACCCACTTCTGGTCTTCAGCATTTATAATGTTTTTTTTTTTTTTATAAAGGTCTGTGTTTTTATAAGATATGTTCATATGGATTGGTCATTATATTAGGAGATGTAAATGATGGTCTTCTCAGATTTGTTGTCCACTGTCTAAGTTCCTGTTAGCTGTGTTGACCGTAACACAGTCATTTCAGAATCTGAGTATATTTGTAGCGTTTCTTCTGTTTTACCTTGCAGAATGGGCAGATATTTGTATTCACCGGCATGCTCAATGCTGTGGCAGATACCCACCAACTCTCCTTTATTCTGGCACATGAATTGGCTCATGCTGTTCTTGACCATACAGTAAGTTTAAATGTTATTAACCCTGTGAACCAAATATTACACATACACACAAGTTACTCACATTACTATACAGTATTGTAGTTATACTAAAGTTCAAAGCCTGGAATATATTCTGCAATGTATGTGTTCTAAGATCTCATTTACATTATGTGAATTTAGGATAGCTGCAATACCAAAATTCCTAGGGTGCAACTAGGCATTAAATATTGTGAGTTATATATGAAATTAATATTCAATACATTGTTAAATACAGATCTGCACACACCATTCAAGCCACAAGACTTGCTTTACCAACAGAGATGTTAGTGCTGCAAAGGATTCTGGGTGGGCATGTGCAGATTAGTTCAACAAAGAATGAGTTTTTGCCTCATTATTCCATTTTAAACATGGATTCCTTGGTGTTTGTTTGCTGTATACAACAGCTTTGAAACACAACTCAGCAAGAGATGCAAAACCAGTGAACCATTCGTGGACAGCTGTTTCATTGTTAATGCAACTCATCAGCATGAGGTTGGTTACCTCTGAGAGATGCAATATAATAAGCTCATATAATGAAACGCTGTAATATGAGATAAGCCAATACTCTTCGCTTGCTCTACGTTTTATTAGAAGAAGTGTTTATATATGATAGAAAAATTGCCGACATTTCCTCCCCTCTTCTGGGTCTCCAGTTCATGCATTGACCCTGGCTATAAAAATCTAATTGGATCATTTTATTGCAATAATCTATTTTCATGCTGTCCAGTCCAGGCAAGTGGTGAATGATGAAACAGCTGTGAGATCAATAATTGTGCCTTCCCTACTCTCAACAGAATACCTCTCTAGGTTTGTGGACATTGCATGTTACAGCAGCTTTAAATGATCTGAGAATACGCTCAGGATGGTGACTGAACCTTAATGTGCATGAAATTATACTTTTTGCTTCACATGGGATTTATGTGGCTGCTTGATGCTTTTTGCCAGATCCATTTGAAGTCCTGAAATTGCATACCTGTACTTAAGAACCTAACAGAAAGTGTTGGATTACTCAAAACCAGGGGTGGCCAAATGCTATGCCACACTTAAGGCTGGCAAAGCATCATGGGTGTTGTAATTTTGCAACAACTTAAAGGAACACTGTAGGCACCCACACCTCTGCAGCTCATTGAAGTTGTCTGGGTGCAAACTCCCATCACCCTTAATCCTGAGCATGTAATTATTGCAGTTTTTATAAACTGCAATAATTACCTGCTAGGGTTAAGTCCTCCTCTAGTGGCTGTCCGGTAGGGACTGGTAGGGACTTCCAAGTTCTAATACGACTTTTGTCGTCTAAACGACGCTGGACTTCCTCATGTTATGCATAAGGACTTCCAACGTCACCAGAATCCCCACAGGAAAGCATTGATTAATGCTTTCCTATGGGGAGATCCTAATGCCAGCGTGGCCAGTGCCGTGCATACGCATTAGGTCTCCCCTGCTGGCCTTGCCCCTTCTGCACCACTGGGGGAGTGGGGGAATCCTTGACAAAGAGGGAAGCTATAGTGCCAGGAAAATGAGTATGTTTTCATGACACTATAGTTTACCTGTAAGTGCTTCTGCTAGGAAACATTCTGACCCTAACGTAATGTGTGCAGTGTGGTATTCAGATGGAATAAACATGATAAAAGCTCTTGTAACTTGAACCCATAAAAGGACCAATGGCATGTTAAAAAAAAAACCCCAAGACAAGTTTCGTTGGGATTTAACTGCTAAATTAGGAACTCTAAAGCCCTGACAAAGAGTTTGCAAATTTCAAGCTTCAATTAGCAAGATGGGAAAATAGTTAGGTTGTAGAGTTTTTCTGTTTAACCCGTTTGATGTAATATTTGCATTTCCTTTGTCAATGCTCCACAATTCTCACTTTAGTTGATAAACCTCAATGTAGTAAGTAGGAATATTGACAGCTGTGGAACACTTCCATCAATTGTATAAACCGGCATCTGGTTTATACAATTCAGTAAGGCCTGGCTCTTGTTCCCCTGTTAACATATTTTACTGCTGCACCAGCCAGAACTGAATGACTGCACATGCTGTTAGCTTCAGCCTAGCAGAGCTTATTACTACCTTGCACACTAGAAAGGTGAATTGTGCTGGCATTCTATAAATCATCGGCTGTATATCAGTATCAAGTTCACAGTTCTGCTGGCTGCAGTGGTCTCTGAGTGGTATATATTTGTCTAAGGCTTTAATAGCCAACAAGATGGTGCGTCAGCTATAAAGAAAAGATTGGGGAGCTCTCAAAGCTTCATTGATTCCTCTCCCAGCAATCCACAAATGCTTTGTTCTGTTTAAAGGGCTCCAAACACTGTGTTTAGCAAAAAACAATATTGTATGTATCATAATATTGTATGGATGTATGAATATAACCATGCATTGCACAGTAAGGCATTTCTCTGCCTGTTTTGAGTTCTAAAAATATATATATATACACACACACACACACACAACTCAATATTTCGATCTTTAAAACCCAACATTGTTCTTCTGAGCAGACCATATATTAAATGTAACCTTTTCTTAAATGAATATTTTTGACCTGTTGCTTTTGTCTAAAAGGCAGGTTTTAAAATTAGCCCTTATTTGACGAATTTACAAAACAAGATAATCATCCGTCGCCCTGAGTTTTTTTAACAAATGTATTTGTGCACACACTACAAGTTTGTAATTATTATATAGTAATGGCAAGAGCTTTCTTTTATTTGTTTCAGGCCGAGATGGGTAGTGTGACCCACTTTTTGGACTTCCTGCTTCTCATTTCTCTTGCCCTGATCTGGGCTCTTTGTCCAATGGACAGCCTGGCAATTGTTGGTCAATGGATTCACTCCAAATTAAAAGAGGTAAGAATACATACTAGCAGCTGCTGATCTCCTTCCCCTCTTTTCCTGATCTGGACATTTATTTGGTTAGGATGTGATTGAAAGAAAACATCAGATAGCAGTATGTTCCATTTTTAATGCTTTATGGAGATAGCACATAAAAAAATTACAAAGGCAAATGTAAGCGCAACACGCGTACTGCACTTTTCCTCTCTTTGCTGTAAACCTGCAGCTTTCTCCGGGACATTGGTTAATCCTGGCCTATTCTATTGATTTTAAGAGGATCCCTGTGCATATCTGATCAATTTGTGTTCAGTAGAGGTTTATGGGATACACCGTTCCACTAGTATTTTCCATCATGCAAAGATGTATTATTGCCTGAGATGTTTCTCAATGTTTATTAATGCGAACTGCAGAATCTCAGTCATTGGTTCGATTCCTTGCTTAGTCATCTCAGCATTTCATCCTGCGCAGATCAATAAAATGAGTACCATGAAGCTGGGTAATAACTCTCCAGGATGTATTGAAAACTAGCTATTTGGTAAAAGTATCTTTCCTGGCCAAATACTTTATTATCAAACGGCTTCATCAACCCTTTCTTGTATGATATAGAATAATGCCCTATCGGTATTATCCTGTATGGCCCTCAATATAAACGCTCATAGAGCATTTTAAAATAAGTTTACTTAACATAATCCAGGGCCAGGACATCACGGGAGCCATGCCGGGGTCCAATCAAAGTCTTCTCACAGAGAAACCTGTGACTGGAAAATGTAAAGGACTCAGGAAGCAGAGTTCTGGGCTGCCAATGTCACAGGTGCTGAGGGTACCTCCCAAATACCTTTTAAAATCTTCTGCACTAAATCCATATCATTTACATATTGTGCTTATTGTGAAGCCATGCACCTGCAATAAAAATAAAATAGACTTATCGGCATCAGTAGGGAATAGGCAGAAGTAAATGTTTCACAGCTCATTAAACAGAATGTGCTGTCCACGTCCCAACGAAGATTTAAAAAATAAAAAAAGTAATGCTAAAAGTCTAAACTGTCCGTGGTTATTGACTTGTGTTCCGATATTGTATCCAGAACTCGGGTAGATAGGTGGGACTGCAGCTGGGCAGTGGTTTGCCAATATAAAAATATTATAGTTTTGATCCATATTTAGCCACTGCAGTGGGGTTATGGTTATGCCCATATAATCTACTGATACAAAAGTGTGTTTTAAAGTCAAAATGACTCCCCAAAAAAGGTCAGCCTACGGTATTATTTCCAGTAAGGTGACATTTGGAAATAATTGGCAATTATTGCTATCCACACCTTGGCATTCATTTAAGTGAGTGGGACGAACTCGGGGTTTCACACTATCAACACTGTATTCCGTTGCATGGCAACTGTGAAACAAAGTACTTGCACGTACGGATGCCCTTTGTAAAACTATTATTGACTGCTTGCGTGTAAAACGTCAATAATGCTTCACATAAATATGACAGCTTCACTGGTAGATCTGGTTGGGTCACTGTGAAAAATGTCAAGGCTGGATAACAATCTAGTTTTATCTGCTGAAGCAGTGCTAAATACACTAAATGTTATTTAAACTCATGAAGGGTTTTTTTTTTTTTGGCTTTTGTGTGTGTATTTTCTGCAGTTATCGGTTCCGATAAGTACTAGAAGATAGTCATTTTTCATCAGTGTCCATTATTTTACATTTACCTAAGGTTAATTCTCTCAGTATCAAGAATTACCCATTGACGTATGAATTGTTAGTTTTAACGTGGTTGAGAAGAAAGATTAGAAAAGTTGTTAATGCTACATTGAAGGTAAATTAGAGGGGAAATTATGACATTATTTATATATGTATGTGTATATATATATAATGCCAAAATACCAGAGTATTGCAGTATGCAATGAAACCTTTTTTTATTGGACTAACATAATATTTCAAAGACAAGCTTTCGAGAGTTTTCCTCTCTTCCTCGGGTCGAAGCAATACTGATCAATCTGATAGAGTTTAACACTTAAAACAACTAATGTTAGAGAAGGGGAGGGGGGTGAATAGGGGGGGGAGTGGGTTGTCATAAATAGCAGAAGGTGCGACTGAAAGTAAAAGGTGCTGGTTGGCTGAGAATAGCCAGAAAAAGTAAATAAACAGAGAAGAGTCAATAAGCTAGTTAAAAATAAAAAAATTACCCAAAAAAACCCAGCAGAGTTGGGCATGCAAGTATATAGCGGCATATATGTATGTATGTATATAAATTGATTCAATTAAGGTGAAGCAAGATATTGAAAAAGAACTATATAAGACATTAAGATGTGTGTTTATAAAAAGTTTTGGTAGTGTGTGAGAAAGCCAGAGTCTACGCTTAATGTCCTTCATTTCTAGTGTGGAAATATGTGATCGTTTTCATCTCAAATGTCTTTAGTTCATTCTTCAGTCTTTGAAATTCCGTTTAAGAACTTTAATCCTGAGGTTTTGGATGGAGTGACCAGTGTGGGTGAAGTTATGACCAACAGGGGTACAATATCCATTTTCTAGTGGTTCTTGATTGTCTGTCTGTGTATTCATTCTGAGATGCAGCTTAAGGCCAGTTATTTGAATGTAGCAACCTTTGTCACACACTGTAAACTGTATCATGTACACCACATTTGCAGATGTGCACGAATATGATCCCTTAAAGGATCACTATAGGGTCAGGAACACAATCATGTATTCCTGACCCTATAGTGTTAAAACCACCATCTAGCCACCCTGAGCCCCTCGTGCCCCCCTAAATATACAAATCTTACTGTATTCAAGCCTGAAACTGTAACTCTGCATGCTGTTAGACTCAGAAAAAAACAAGCAGTCTGCTGACATCATCAGAAGTGGTAGCCTGATCCAATCACAATGCTTCCCCATAGGATTGGCTGAGACTGACAAGGAGGCAGATCAGGGGCAGAGCCAGCATGATTCAAACACAGCCCTGGCCAATCAGCATCTCCTCATAGAGATGAATTGAATCAATGAATCTCTATGAGGAAAGTTCAGTGTCTGCATGCAGTGGGAGGAGATACTGAATCACAGGATGCTCGTGCACAGCAGATCTGAGTGGATGGAGGCATATTATGCCTCCATCAACTCAGAAGTCCCTCTGGTTCACTCTGAGTGACTGCAACTGGAGGTGTTCCTAGCTTTCAATGTAAACACTGCATTTTCTCAGAAAATACAGTGTTTACATGAGAAAGGCTGCAGGGAGCTATAGTTCTCACTGAATAACCTCATTAAGCTGAAGTTGTTCAGGTGACTATAGTGTCCCCTTAAGTTTGAGGAAGTCTGTAGTGTCCTGTAGCTATATATCTCTCTCTCTCTCTATATATATATATATATATATATATATATATATATATATATATATAATATAGAGAGAGAGAGAGAGAGAGACACACACACATAATAGAAACTGTTTCTGGTGACCTTCATTAACAAGGTTGTACAAATGAGAACGGATACAAAACGGAGACAAAATTACAAACATATGATCTTTTTCATCTGTGTCCCCCTTGGGTTTCTTTTCCTATTTTTAATTTGTGGTAAAATCATTTAATTGGTTAGAGAGTGTAGGCCAGCTGGTGGAAATTTAAAGTTGTCCTTTTCGTTCAATCTGCTGGGATTTTTCTGTATCTCTCTACCTGACCTAAGAAGAAGGCATGCTCATCACAGTGTCGGATACAGCATGTTAGATTGCCTTTTTTTGCAAAATCCTATTCTGTGTGCACATAGCAAAACATTTATTGGGTACAATGTGTTTTATAAAAATAAAGTATTTGTTATTAAAGTTTTGTACATATCTTGGAGTATTTTGTTTATTAATTGGTGTTAAGATAATCAAATGATAACATATGTATGTACACCCACCTATCCGTAAACATGTTGAAATGTGCTGATTGACCCTGTTATCATAACTCATCTGCCAGTATTTTACCACATGCTGTTGAATGCCAATATCTGAGATATAAAAACGTTGCTGTCACCTCCATACTGCTCTGGATAACAGAATTTTTCACACTCACAGTATATGTTCGACCGGCCCTACAGCAGGAGTTTAGAGTCAGAAGCTGACCGAGTGGGACTTCAGCTGGCTGCCAAGGTACCAAATGTCTCTTTTCAAACAGCATTTCATGAGATGTGATTTACTAATTAAAACACATGATTAAAAAGCAAAATAAGTGTGAATCATAATGTGTCTTCAAAGTGGGAAATCTGTTTAGTGTAAACCAAACATAAGACAGGTCAAAATATCTCCACCAGGGAATAATTGTGGCTGCACGGAGTGACTTCTCGTAAGGTCTCTTTTAAAGTCTCCTTTTCTGGTTCTTCATCTCCTCCACAATCCTTCTCTGTTGGTGTTCTGTCCTCAGCCCCCTAAGGTTCTCAGTCTATTCTATCTCTCTTGGCTTTCAATCCCACTTCCATGCTGATGACATGTAAATCTCTCTTTCTCCATTCCTCTTGAATGATGTCTCAAACTGCCTTTCTGCTATTTCTAACTGGATGGCATCTCGCTTCTTTAAACTCAATCTTTCCAAAACAGAACTTCTTTTATTTACTCCTTCAAGCACTTCTACTCCCATGTTTATCTTTCTTCAAGTCAACGGCACTATCATCTGCTCTACCTCAGAGTTCACTCTACCTCAATCAGTTTTGTTTGATTTCAACCTCTTCTTCACCCCTCACATCCTGTCAATTGTCAAATTCTGTTACTTCCATCTCAAAAATATAGCTTGTGTCCACCCCTACCTGTGCACTCCCTGCTCACTCCTCTACAGTCTATAATGGATGATGCAGCAAATTCATCTTCCTGTCCTCCCGCACCTCCCATAGCTCCCCCCTCTGTTAATCTGTACATTGGCTTCCTGTAAGATATCGATATTAATTTAAAATTCTGGTCATCGCTTACAAATCTCTTAACAAAACTGCGCCTTTCTGCCTATTTTCAATAATTCACAGAATGTCCCATTCAGACTCCCACGCACTAAAAAAATCACTGAAAACTCTATTAAAAAACTAACAGCTTTCCACCCCCACATCTCACTAACCTACATCCTTTCCTGCAACTGCATCATCATAAAAAAAAAGAAAAATTAGCCTTCATTGTAAATACTTCTAGCAACCTAATTTTTTACTCCATACCCTTACCTCTTGTGCCATTGTACCCCACTCACCTTCTGTTCCTATACATCTAACTTGTCTTGTTGTAACTACTTGTTTGTTAGTGCACCTATTTACAGCGCTGCAGAATTTGTTAGTGCTTTATAAATAATAATTATTATTTAATGCTATGACCACAATACTCAAGTGAAATCTGCAAGATATAATAGATGTCCTGTTTGTATGTACAAATGTGTCTGCTCTCTGTCCTAGTGCTGGAGCTAGCGGATGCACATCTCGCAACAAAGCACAATGATGGGGTATGAGATGTGTTTTCTTTCATCCGCGAAATACCGGAGACCATGTCAAAAAAATGATTTATATTTATATATCAACACTAGAGCATTAATCAGATATCATCCTGTTAGCATGGCTTGTCATATACTAGCCTTTATTGTTGTCATGCTGGCAGCATTATATCCGAAGGATGAATGTGGTCCTGAAAACCCAGAATTCTTAGCACACCCGAGGCTAGCACTAGTGCATGACATCTTTTAGACACACCTAAACTTTTCATATTTCTCGTTTAGCAAAGTCCTGAAATCTGTAATTTGTAACTGACATATTGTGCAGATTTAACTTTCTGCAAATCTGGATATTGTGCAGTAAATGGACAATTACTCTGGTTGTGACATCATATAAGCAAGTGGTCTGAATGTATGAATTGACGTCATAGCCAGTTCCCTTGTATACCGAATTACCATAATTTTGTGCAGTTGGTATCAAGGCATTTTCTATCTATTGGCAAGCTTGAAAGAGCAACAGTCATTTTTCACCATAACAATCCAGTTTATTTTTTTATTTTTTATTTATTTTTTTTACCCAAGTCGTTCGTGGGACGAAATGTTGTACCTGGAATAAGTAAAAAGACGCTTAACTATATGCATAAACTGAGAAGGCTGGGGCAACCATGTTGGCGTCTTCTTTCCATAATGCAGAACAAGTTCCCAGTATTCCTTAAAGGACCACTATAGTGCCAGGAAAATATACTCTTTTTCCTGGCACTATAGTGCCCTGAGGGTGCCCCCACCCTCAGGGACCCCCTCCTGCCCGGCTCTGGAAGGGGGAAAGGGTTAAAAACTTACCTTTTTCCAGCGCTGGGCGGAGAGCTCTCCTCCTTCTCTCCTCCTCCGTTCCTCCTCCTGGGCTGAATGCGCACGCGCGGCAAGAGCTGCGCATTCAGCCCCGCATAGGAAAGCATTTACAATGCTTTCCTATGGCGTGCTCTCACTGTGAAAATCAATGAGACAGCCACTAGAGGATTAGGGGAAGGCTTAACCCATTCATAAACATAGCAGTTTCTCTGAAACTGCTATGTTTATAAAAAAAATGGGTTAACCCTAGAAGGACCTGGCACCCAGACCACTTCATTAAGCTGAAGTGGTCTGGGTGCCTAGAGTGGTCCTTTAGGTTCACGTGCAACATATCTCCATTTTTGTTTTCTAGACCCAATGTCAAGTTAGGTCCACTTTCTGCATCGATTGCCATTTTATGTTGTTCCAGAAAACCTTTACTTAAAAAAACAAACAAAAAAAAACCCCCCACTATAAATAAGTAAAATAACTAATAACTAACTTTTATACTGCCCTACTTTGACATGTACCGCTTGCTGTTTAATTAGAAATGTCTGGTATATCGCAGACGCCTGAAATTCATTTAGCACTCTTAGGGTTAGTGTATTACGACTGTAATAATTGGTGCTGATTAAAATGCACCCCGCACATCTTGTTAAAACACCTGCCCTTCAACAAAGAACAGGTGAGAAGCTGCAGAGGATTGCATGATAATTTGTTAGCTCGACAGCCCGTTTGACTGGGATGATGATGTACAAACCACAGCACAGTAACCTTCTTTGTCTGAATCCTTGTAGACATGCAAATAGCTCCCGTATTTTGAATAACAGATTTCATTCCCACGAGGCTCACCATATTCTATCAAATCATGCACTGCCTGTTGGAAGTCATTCTTGGAAATGTCAAGCCACGAGGTTGGGCATTGCAGGAGGCACATTTTATGATGGCAGCCCTGATGTAATCACTGTGTTTTTGCTTCCATCCGACATAACATTTGACAGAAGCACATTGCTGGAACGTACACTTATGTTACATGCTCAGACTCTTCATTTGAATGCCAGGCAAATCTCTTAAATTCCTTTATAAAGAGTACCATCTAGTGGTTATGTTTTGTACTTACATTTTTTTTTTTTTTTTTTGGTGGCTCCGTAGAATTAACCCGTAGAACATGAGAAACACTCTATGTATTACGTTATTTTTAAAATATATTAATCAGTTTTATACAATTTACTATAATAAATACAGTATTGTTTAAAACTGATTTATAAAAAAAAATCCTTTCGGTGTTTTGGTAATTGCATAATTTTGTCTCCATTGCCTAATTATAAAATACACTGTTTAGTAGATCTCCCTATAATTTTTAATTGGGGATAAATTTGAACAATCTCTTGTCTGAAGCATTCAGAAGCCCTTCACTTCAAACCCCGCCCAGACTTTTTGTGGCTGTCCAATCACAGACTTCTCAATGCAGCTCAATTGCCTGCCTTTTGAGTATAGCTCCACAAAGCTAAACAAACCAGGAAGTAACAGGGCCAGTAATCTGAATGACGGCAAGAAGGTTCAATTAAAAAAGTGTCAGTTTATATTGAAATCTGCATTTTTTTGGTAAAATTAAAAAAGAGGACACATTTCTTCAGACTTAAAGCATTTCAGCAAGCTAAAGTAATTTTAAGGGTCCAGATTGTCCCTTTAATAAGAATCGCTGTCAGCAGCAAAGTTTATCTAATCTGCTTCAGTATAATTTCCTTTGTTTTTAATATTTTTTCCTGAGTGCTGTAGTTTTCACAAAATTCATGAGGAAAGGCTAAAAACTTTGATTTTAATATTTTTGGATAAGCTTTACAAATGATTTAGTGTTTTTGGACATATGTATATTTAAAGGACCACTATAGTGCCCTGAGGGTGCCTCCACCCTCAGGGTCTACCTCCCGTCGGGCTCTAGAGTGAGGAAGGGGTTAAACTTACCTCTTTCTCCAGCGCCGGGCGGGGAGCTCTCCGCCTCCTCTCCTCCTCCTCGGCTGAATGCGCATGCGCGGCAAGAGCCGCACGCGCATTCAGCCAGTCTCATAGGAAAGCATTCACAATGCTTTCCTATGGACACTTGCGTCTTCTCACTGTGAAAATCACAGTGAGAAGCACGCAAGCGCCTCTAGCGGCTGTCAATGAGACAGCCACTAGAGGCTGGATTAACCCTATTATAAACATATCAGTTTCTCTGAAACTGGTTCTCTAAAGTGGTTCTCTAAACCACTGAAAGGTGCTTATTTATATGAATACTTTTATCTCTAATCTACTTTTTACAGCGTGTAGAGAAATGGCTTTGACTTGGCTGCAGTTAATTGAAGTGTTACTATAAATACATAGTGGCTCCAGTCCGCTCAGTAGGATGCAGAACAGGTAGATTCACTAGACACTAATAAACTCTGAAGCCTTATAATGATGGATGCGCAGACACTGGTCATAATACGTTCACTCAGATTCCTCTGTCACTGTTGTCTAACCTTCTCACACAGGCAGAAAATGTGTACAATTTGTTGCATACAAAATATCTACCAATGAATTAGCAACAACAATGCGGTGGGCAAACAGTTGTGTAAATTGTGTGCTCAAAAAATAAAAATGAATTTACTTATGCAGCTGGGATTTCAATTTCTGAAGCAGGAACATAAAGCCAGATGAAAAACAAAACAATGCTGAAAGTCTGTGTATATAATTATTACCTGAGAATAGTGGTGATGGGGGTAACTTACAAACTACCGAGTAGAAGATCTGCTCTGATTTTGCACACTACTTTTATCTTGATAGAATCTCAAGGTAAAGGTGAGTTCTATCTTTTATAGAATCTCAAGGTAAAGGTGAGTGGCCTATACACAGGGGATCTGTAGTATAGGCCAGTGTTTAGCAACTTTTTACAGAGTGGTACCCCTGCAGGTCTAAAAAAAAAATCTTCTGCCTTGAGAAGGTATATTCTATTTATTTATATTCCAAATGAAATGTGTAGACACATAATTCTATATTGGAGAACAAGCCTGGTTAAAGGACGTATAGAGTATTTTTAAAATAAATATAACATAATGTGAATATTGTGTATGTAAGGAGGTGTGAATGAACTATTAATTTGAAATATAAAAGTTACAAAATGAAAATATAATACACACTTAATAGTTACAAACAGAGGACAATGACATACATTTACACAGAGAGGACACAGACTGACAGACACGGTTACACACCGAGGACACTGATACAGAGACACATATTTACATACAGAGGAAACTGACACTCACATTTACACGCATACTGACAGACATACTCACTGACACACACTCTTGCTGATTTGACACGCACCGACAGACATATGTACTCACAACTTATTATATAGTGGCCTATATGGGCAGAGTTTAAAGCGGAACTGTCATTTCCCGCATCCCACCCCAGAAAATTAGCATTGTATAAAAAATACTCATTGTGACTGTGTTATGATTTCACTGAAATTCCAAACCAGTCAAGAGACATACAGAGACAAAGAAAGCCTGACTTTCTTTGGCACCAGGCCGCGTGGCAGAAGACATCAGTGAGGGCTGCAGGGAATAAGCTGTGGGAAAGTACAGCAATGATGTCTGTGCCGAAAAGGACTTTCCCAAGATGGAGGTGTGTGCGAGGGACAGATTCAGGTAAGTAAACTCCCCACGGCCACCAGACCACCAGCGATGATGTCACTGTTGGCGGACTTTGCAAATTCAACAAAGCCCCTAAACGATGACGGTGTCACTTTAAAGCAAGTTTCCGTTTCCATTGCCAATCAAATTTGCTCATAATGAATCGGCATGACAGGGCCGCTTTAAACAAGGCACGACAGGTTAATTTTAAATAATTAATGAGTATTTTTGCTTGTGATATTGCTAGCACAGTGTGTGTGTGTGTATGTATGTATGTATAATATACACTACAGTTGCAAGAAAAAGTATGTGAACCCTTTGGAATGATATGGATTTCTGCACAAATTGGTCACAACAATAGACAATCAGTCTGCTTAAACTAATAACACGAACTGTTGCCATGTTTTTATTGAACACACCATGTAAACATTCACAGTGCAGGTGGAAAAAGTATGTGAACCTCTAGACTAATGACATCTCCAAGAGCTAATTGGAGTGAGATGTCAGCCAACTGGAGTCCAATCAATGAGATGAGATTGGAGGTGTTGGTTACAGCTGCCCTATAAAAACACACACACCAGTTCTGGGTTTGCTTTTCACAAGAAGCATTGCCTGATGTGAATGAAACCTCGCACAAAAGAGCTCTCAGAAGACCTACGATTAAGAATTGTTGACTTGCATAAAGCTGGAAAGGGTTATAAATCGGACACAGCAGATTTGGGCAGAGTAGGCACCTGATGTCTGGGTAAACCGGTACTTACTCTGCCTAGCGCACATTTGCTGCCCACTGCTTGTGGTGCACAAACTCATTGAGGTATGCGTATCACAGATTTAGAACTTGTGGTGTAGATTACTAAGAGGATGTTAAAATTAATTTGGTAAATAAAAGCCTTGTACTTAAAGGGACATTGCAGGCACCAATAGATCTACATTTGATAGATTTTGAACGTATCAATATGCTGTATTTTTTTGCAAGTTCGAGTCCTTATTGTTTTTGCATAAAGGTCCAGCATTATATATTTAAGTATTGTCCATATAATCTTGCTCTGCTTTGAGAATTTAAAGAAACTCTATATCGTTAGTTATACAAAACTTATGCTATAGTGTTCCTGTCCCTATTACTATGCCCCACCAGTGTACAAAGGGTTAGAAATCCTTTTTAAAACTTGCATCTTTCCACAGTGCTGGCTCAATCATTGCTTTCCTATGGGTTTTGAAGTTGTTGCTTTGTATGAGAATGTCAAAAGTCATTTCACTGAGTTAAACTCTGTTAAAATCCAGGAAGCGCCTCTAGTGGCTGTCTGGTAGAAAGCCGCAAGAGGTCTTAACCCTGGAAACTGGTGTGTTTTACACTGCAGGGTTAAGGGTGCAAGGGCACTTCACCCAGACTACTTCATTGAGATAAAGTAGTATGGGTGCCTATATTGACCCTTTAAAGTGGCTCTGTCAAGATGATGGTTTTGCTTTTAAATTAATCCCTTTTTGTCTTTTTCTTAATTTACCTTTGTTTTTTTTTGTAGGGACAAAAATTTTTTAATTTCTGGACGTTTTTGTTGTTGTTTTTTTCTTTTCTTACACAATGGACTGAGCTTAAGTACCATTGCATATGCTAATTTACCCACAATCTATCAGTCCAACGAATCTCACAGAAGGGCAAACTGCAGACATCATGGAGATAGGAGAACAAAATGGTGGTGCCCAGATATTGAGATCTGGCGCAAGGAAGAATAGATTAAGCAAAATAAAGGCAAATCGCAATGGGAAGAGTGTAACTTATGGTACAAGTGGTGTAAGGAAAGGAAAATACATGACAATGCTGCTTTTATTTGTTTCTTGGTAAATGGAAGATTCTGTGATTATGGAAGAGTGTACAGAGTGTCCTCACTTACCGACCGAGTTCCGTTCTTATGACCCTGTCGTAAAACAGCAAGCATGCGCAAGGGAGCCGGTCTACTTTCGGAGGAATACTTGAATCCCTGCACTAGGGAGCTGGTCGAAGCGTGAGCCGTCATAAAACAGGTTGGTCATTACATGAGGACCACCTGTCTATGAGTTTTAAATTACATACTTAACCTGTGGAAAATAGAGTTTTATATATAAGCAGACCTGTAGCATTTACATCACTATGTAACAGGAGACCGCAGCTGATATTAAGAGTGCTGTTTTCAAGGACTGTTAACTAACGTAAACAAAATGATTTGTAAAGTTTCCTTTCGGGGTAGAACAGTTTGATGTTAGCTACATGCATTTTTTGTAATTTATTTTTATTATTGGCCAGTGGTTCTTATATAAAACTGAAAAAGAATTATGGACGTAACTTGTGTAACACTGGATGTGTAACCGGCTCATTGCACAGGGATCTGTCTAGCAAAAAAAGCGTTCAAGCTGTTTAGCTAACGAGTAGCTTGCAGTACCAGAGAAAACAGGCCATAATGTTTAATAGACCTCGGCTGCTCTGGCGTGTAATCCTCTTGGGAGACAGGATGTCATCCTTCCAAATGTGCCCTTTGCATTCGCTTCCTGACTTGCTTTGTGCCACAGAAGAAGCATTGGGCATTTGTAGGTGGGTGAATGAGCCTGTAGCTGCTATTCATCTGTACCTGTGCCATCAGAGCTCCTCTTATTGCAATGCTGGGGAAGCGATCCTTAAATGACCCACTTAGCTCAATCACTCCGAAAATCCATTTTAAAACTCACTTATCTTCTAATAGTCCTCTTTAATGCGAATAATGAATGCTAGTATTTAAGAATTCTAGATGCATGTTCTGTTACGGAGACTGTCTAATGCTGACTTGTGGCCCTCTGTTTTCCCTGCAGTGTTTTTTTTGTTTGTTTTTTTAATTAAGTACATGTTATTTTTGTTTTGGTTTTTATTCCATGCAAATCTAGAACCAGAAGGAAATAAAAGTGTGGATTAGACTATTGGATAAGGCGAGCCTGACCAATCCATGCTTCAGTATCAATGTACAAAATCTATACTCTTGTTTTTCTGCACATCTGTTAACCCCCGCAACTATCTATACACCCTTAATGCATGCTCTTGGTTTTCTGCTTTATTGTAAAGTCTGTTTTTAGGATTCTAAAAAAATCAGGAGACTACAGTATATACTCAAGTATAAGTCTAGTTTTTCAGCACATTTTTTGTGCTTAAAAACCCCCACTCGACTTATACTCGAGTCACTGTCTGTATTATGGAACCTTAGAGAGCCGCGGCCGTCAGAGCCATGGCAACGATCCGCGCGGCAACCAGACCGCGAGACTTACAGTGGAGCTGACCGGAACGGAGGAGAAGGTAGCTGACAGGAGCTGCAGGAAAGGTAAGTAAATGCTTCCTGCTGGCCCCCCCCACTTCACAGCCCATGCCACTGGACCACCAGGGATTAAGATAGCCCCCCTCCCTGACCAGTTAACAAGCAGGGAGGGGGGACAAAAACAAATTAAAATAATAAAAAAATAATATTAAAATAAAAAAAATTAAAATAATAAAAATGCCATCCCCCCACCTAGTTCACACACACTACACAAACACACACTCTGCATTATATACACACTCTGCATTATATACACAGAGTGTGTGTATATAATGCAGTGTTTTTTTGTATGAGTGTGTGTGTGTATATAATGCAGAGTGTGTGTTTGTATGAGTGTGTGTATATAATGCAAAGTGTGTTTGTATGAGTGTGTGTATATAATGCAGAGTGTTTGTTTGTATGAGTGTGTGTGTGTATATAATTATAAAAATCACAGAATTTCATAGCCCCAACTTTTACCCTCGACTTATCCACGAGGCATAGCATATTTCACAATTGTTGGTCACAAAACTGCACTCGACTTATACATGAGATCGACTTATACACGAGTATATACGGTACTTTCCCTTAAATTTGTGCAGAAAAAATTATTGAAGCGTGTAGGCTTAACAGCCCTCTGTATCAAAAACATTGGGTGCTTAAAAAACAAACAAAAAAGTCAGCAACAATGTTATGGGCAACTAAGGAAGTAGTAGCTACTAGGGCAAACAGAGAAATGGCAAATATTTTTATATTTCCAAATCTAAATTACTTGTTCCACCCCAAGCCCACCCCCATACACACAAGCACTCAAAATTTTCGGTTTAAATAGAATTGGAATGATTGAAAAGCCCTTTTTAAAAATGTATTTCCTTTTTTTTTTCCTGAGTATTTGCCAGACATGTTTTTTTTTTTTGTATACGTCTGAATTTTAATAATTAGTATGTGATTCACGTACGTAGCTTTGGGCTGCGTTTCCCAAAATACTGCCCGAGGCACTTCTTTTGTACATAATCAAATGTAGCATCAAAATCCGATTGCTCAGTGAATCCTTGTAGGAAACACAATACAATTGCAAAGTAGTTTAATTGTGTTGTTTCTTTTTTCCTTGATGGTCTATTACTGCTTTTTAATCTGCCTTTTGCAGACAAGGAGCTGGCAGAGGTTTAAAGGGCAAATTTAGTAAGCACCAGCTTGGAGAGATTTTACCTTCTCTGGAGCCAGTTCATCTACATAGCAGCATTGGTGTTTTTACCAAAGCATTCATAATATATATTTTTTTAATTGCTAAAAGGGACACTCATGGCACGTAATGTTCAAATCTGTATCAGAGCATCTTACAGGCCTTCTCCTCCCTTCACAAGGGAGTAGATGAAGTTGTTAAAGGCCCCACAAACTGTTTGTTTCTTCCAATGTCTACATATTGCCATCATATAAAAAATCAAAGAGAAATTAAAATCAATGATACGTGTATATGTTGCGTTTGTGGTATATATGTGAATGCAGTATCTGTGTGCAAGCATTGTGTGCATGTGAGATCAGTGTCAATATTTTTTAATTGTCAATAAATTATATGTGTGTGATTTATGTTGAAAGTGCAAATGTATTGTGTGTTCTGTATCTCTAAATGGGTTTATGTGCGTGATATGAGCCGGTAAAGGGACAGAGAGAGGCAGGGGAAATTTAAAAAAACAACTAACATATGGTATAGGGGAGAGAGGGAAGACAAACACGTTGCCGTGCAGACTTTGCCTGCAATGGAGATGCTGATCACATCTGTTGCCAGCACACTTGGTGCCCTACAACAGACAGAATCTTTGCACAGCATTGACCTTAGAATTGCATTGAATTGTGTGCCAGGGTATAAACTAGCCCCCTAGAACAGGAATTAAATGTAGCCATGCTCTATTAAATACAACTAGAAAACAAGGAGCAGAGACTGAATCTCTTCTCGTCGTCTGGATGCCAGGACGTCAAATCCAGGAGAAAGACAAGAAAAGCCAGAGTTAGTTTGAATCTAGAGGTCTGGGTGAAATAATTAAAATGCAAGGGCATGTAGCTGTGACACTAGTGAAGAAGGGGTACCAGTAATGCAGGATTGGAACACTTGGCTTTAGGCAATTGAATTTAAAAATAACTAAGCATTTGTCTTAGGGTGCTCTGGGGTTTTAAAGGCCTTTTGTGATGCAAGTACCTTCCATGTTTCCTAGGAGGTGATGCAAGAGGAATAATAATCAGTCAATAATAATCCAGCTTTCTCACATCAATGTACGTACATGGTCCGTGGTGTTGGAAAGATTTGGCCAACATGGTGTGACGTTCGTCATCAAAGATGACAAGTCATCCAATTTTGGATCCAGCATGGGTTATCACACAAGATTTCAATTTGCCTGGCCACCTCAAGGATGTCAAGGAAAATGTAAGAGGTGTTGTGACAATAACTCAGTGACACTGCATTGAGTAGGGGAGAGGTATGTAGTTTCTATCCTTAGAGGATTAGAATAGTATTTTTGTTTTTTCTTTTCAGTGATTGTATTCCCTAGAGAAAACATGCATATTTTCTTTGGGGATATAAGAAAAGAACAAAAAAAAAAAAAAGAGAGACACTCTTGCAAAAGCATTAGCCTTTGTAAGGAAGCCCCTATTTCCCAGGTACCGACTTCTAGGGAAATGATCAGTCAGAGGCTTCTCATCGAGAAGCTTCTCTGCTCGAGTGCACCCAATTATATAAGACTTCTACTGAAATCTGCACTTTTATAAACTGTCAAAACTGGCAGACTCCAGTCACATGAAGCAATTCAGCAAGCCGAAGGTTTTTTTTTTTTTGGAGTGTTCCTTTAAACCCACTTGTCGGGGGGCAGGGCCGGCCCACTGACTGAGCAGGACGCAGGTTGAGGGAGCTCCTCAGCCTAAATACTTTTCAAAGCGAAAAAAGGACAATCTACCCCTTAATTCCTCCTGACATGGGCATGCATCGACAGGGGAGTGTATGGGCAACCTATGGGGTGAAACCTCAAAGGCAGAGCGCACTCTTGAATATGAGGGCTCCCCGTGGCCTGCAACTTCCTACAGGGCAGGGGATGCGGCCGGTCCCCCGTCCATCATCCACCCCCCGGACAGTTTGGGTCCCGCTTCCCCTCCCTCTGGGCTGGTGGGGGTTATCCTGGCCCCCGCTGGGCTACACGCTGAGGCCCCCCGGACATGGTGGGAGATGCCTCAACGACAAATTCAGGGAACCTCCAAGCTCACAGCAACATGGTGCAGGCCCTGGAACTAGCCTGGCTTATGGAGAATGCCTCTATCCTGAAAGCAGCATGGCTCACGCCTGTGGACAGTGCACATGTGGAAGCTGGGTGCCCAGCCAAGGTATTGGCTGACTCTCCCACTGTAGGAGCTGGCTATTAATTAAGCTAAGTCTGACAAGGACTCTAACCCAGGCTGTAACAGACCCAGCAGCACACAACACACCACCTTATTATTTGGTTTAATATTGTTATTTTATTACTATGTTTTTATTAGCCTGTCTTACTCATTTTGGTCACTCATCCCTATCAATCTGCCTAGGATCAGTATAGCCTCGCTATTCTCTCCTACCACTGCTCCACTTTGTGGCATTAATACCACTATTGTCAACTTAGTAATACTCGTGGGCCCAGCGCCCTTACTCAGCATTACAATAAGCTCCCAGTGCATCTGAGCCTCCTGCTATGATGGATAGGCAGTTATACTCAACCTGCTCTACCATACCAGCGTTACTTGTCGGCAGCTCCACCTGTTTTACCTAGTTCACACTAAAGGCCCAGTTTATTTGTCTGACCTGCCATTTTAAGCGCAGTCGAACTAATGAGCCTGTATTACTCTCGTTTTAACACTATCGACTCAAATTTAAAATTGTGCATGTATGCTGGACTACCCCATTGTTATATGTGTTACAAAATTGCTTGAGGATTGCTGTCGGGGTACCTCACGCACGTATGTTATTCTTGATATGCACTACAAAAATAAAGAATTAAAAAAATAAACCCACTTGACAACAAAGAGGTAGGGGTCCAGGAACCGGAACTGAGAAGTTGACTGGTATATTGATATCGCTGATTTAGTGAACTCATTTGGTCAATCAGGAAATCCAGGCATGTGTGCCTGCCAGTGCAAACAAGTAGGACTGTGCATTCAACTGATGACTATAAACATGTACTCTTTCAACAAGGAAAAAAATAACTATTTTATTTTTGATACACAAAGTGTTGTAAATCGTCCGTTTATCTTAATCGAACAGATATATTTATTTGATATGTTTTAGTCGCAGAGAGAAACTTTTCATGGCTCTCTCAAATAATTGCTAATCTAATTTCTCTCCAAATCTGCCATGACATTGGTCTATAATTTTAATTATTATTTTGCACTTTTTATTAGCCAAAAAATGCTCTATATCAAACAAATTTTTAAATAGGCCTGAGAAGGTAAGAATAATACTGTCAATTAGACATTAATCCAAGATGATCACAATAGCACAGTAATCTTTGTATCTCACATGAGCTGTCCCGGGAACTATTTAGCAAGCTTTATTAAGCTACGAGGACTGCTTATTAAAATCAGACAAAGATCTAGGGACGGATTTGCAAACAACAAAGATAATGCCATACTGAGATGTATTGCATATCATCTGAACCTGTCAAGTTGGATTATAAAATCCATTTTCCTGTTTTCCCTGTCACAGTGGGATATGATTTAGTGAGTTGCTTTTTAACCTGGAAACCAGGTCATATGCTTCTCTCACCCAAAAGCTAATAGTAGTTATGAAGTTACCATAAAGACAGCTCTTTGTGTATTATATGTCTGATTTCTGAAAAGATTTACTTCATGCTTATATCTGCTGGTGGAAAATTGGTAACAGTCTGGACCCTTCACTAACATAAGGACTTTTATTCAAAGCTTTAAAGATAAAAAATGTTGTTATAGATTGTAAATGTAGCTCACATGTAAACTGCTGAAAGTACACTACTGTTCACAGGCCTGCGTTGATGTCAGAGCAAGTTCTGTCTTCTGGAAACAAATGGAGTTTTCCGAGAACTTTGGAGGACTACCTCGAACACCAGAATGGCTTTCTACGCATCCAGCTCATGAAAACCGCGCTGACCAGCTGGACAGGCTCATGCCAGAGGTAAGTGGAATTCTGCACCCCTGAGTCATTTTGCACCACAAATGGCCTCTGTAAACACTCTAGATTATTCTACAGATTGGCCCAACCAACTACTTCATGATTTTATCAATATTGTGATAATATTTAAAGGAAATAGTTAGCCAAGTATTGTTTTTTTTTCTTCTCATGAACATGGCATTCCCAGCACTCTGCCATAGGTTCAATGAGTAACTGATTATTTAGATCTGGGAAAAATATATATGTAGACCACGTGGTTGTACCATCAAGAGCCTCTGACGCACCACGTTTTTGTCAATTTATTGAATGCTCCACCTACTACTGTATGTATTTTCCTGGGGAAATATATACAAGATATGAAGCTTCCGTAACACTAGAGGACCAACAATGGGATAACTCCATCATAACAAACCATACTTTTAAATATCCTGCATCAACATGGAACGTTGATTGTGGTCCTCATAGGGGATACTTTATGAAGTCCCAGTCAGCTCACTATAAGTTCTATGTAAGTGACTTCAATGTCTTGGTGCGCTGATGCCCTACATATTGTTAACATGGAAGGCCACGCCGCAGTCTGAGCATTGATATTCATCTCATCCACAAAGTGATTCTGAACAAAATTGTATTGTAAAATTGTCAGTGGAGCTTCCCAATGTTAAGTTGTTTCAATTCTTGTTGTCAAATATGGATAAAGTCTGTCAGTTTTTCTTCTTTCCATGCGCCTGCTGTAAAAAAGAAATAAATATATATAAAACAATTTGCTTTTAATTTAGCATTGAAAATCAGATGGCTAGCACAATGAAACAAGTACAGTTTCCAGCTGTAAACACACAGGACACCTACCTACAGATGCTTTTAGTGTTGTTCCTGCAGTCAAACTGGCGCACAGGTTCCATAGGCACGGTGCCATCCTCACAGATCGGTGCCCACGTGCAGCCAGCCAAAATTCCATGTTTGCTCGGCTAATGTATCTAAGGGCATCATTCCCTACTGTTAATGAGAGCTGCTTGTCCTATTATCTTTCCTCATACAGAAGGAAAATGTTTTTTTTTAATCACTTAAAATATTGTTTTCAGATTTCTTATTTCAAAGGTATTACAGTTTGTGATATTTTTTTGCTCCATTTGCGAAAATACTTTGAAACAAGTTACAAAGGTTTAGAAATGAGCAACCAATCAAGGAAAGGCTGTCAATGGCATGCTGGGAGTAATGTTCATACTAGTTCTTACTAGAGGCAGATAATGTGTGTGAAACTGTCTCTCACAGTGAATGAGTGAAGTGCTTATTTTTCAGCTCCGTAAATGTGAAAAATGTGCTTTTAAAAATGTCTTGAACTTAAAATATATTTTGGCAGTGAAAGTACAAAAAAATAAAAAATAATAATAAAAAAAAGGTTTCTGCCCTAGATCGCAGAGATTTGTGTATAAAATATACATACAAACAAATAACAATGACTTTGGGGTACAATTTATAGATGCAATAATAATCCTGTGGCTGTAGTAGTAACTATGAGTACAACATATAATAATGCATATATTACATAGATTAATAATCGGTGGCTAACAAGAAGTTGGTGGAAAACTGCATACCTGTCCTGTTGTCCTCTAAAACCATAAGGCCCACAATGCATTTAGTCAGCCTACTCCCCAAGTGGGTCTTTCTACCATCGGCCTAGTAGAAGCTAAAGGGACACTGCAGGCCATGAATACCAACCGTCCCAATTTCGGCAGGACAATCCCAATTTTCGGGTCCTGTCCTGCCGTTGTCCCCTGGTGTCTCGCTTTTGGGGACAATAGGGAACTGTCCCCAACAGTCATAGCATGAGTACATCATTATACACGTTTGCGCGGTGTTTAAGGCATTAGGAAATTTGTCACTGTGAAACTTCCAGGTGGTCTAAGCGTTGATGAGTACTCTTGTAATATGGACAATAAAGGTTCGATTTCAGTGCAGAAAGTTACATGAAATAAACCAAAATGGCTATTCCTACAAATCTCTAGAAAGCATATCCATTAATCGGGGGAAACATTTAAATAAGTTTTAACTGTACATAACACAATGCCGTTGTCATTAAATGATAAAACACAGCGAGGACCAACTATTAAAGAATATATACACATACGAGCAAATGTGATCTCCGGTTATTAATATGCATATTAAGATATTATTCTGCAGCTGAAGATTCTGTTAAAGAGCAGTAATAACCTGTGAAAAAAGTGAAGAAACCATATCAACTACACATTAGTGCATATTTGTGTGAAAAAAATATTAAAGATTTAACAGAGGTCAATTCAAAAGGTCATCTGGAATATAGCTATGCCTCTATTATTCCACACGTGTATGAAGCACAAGAAATCTTATTAATGCTTCGATGTGTTTAATGGATGTGAAATAACGTGTAAAACCCCAGAGTTTATGTACAAAGCCCCATTTTGGACCAGATTTCTGATTCCGAGAAGCCAGAAATATTTATGGCATTATTTGTAAAGCACTAGTAGGATGTAAGAAACCTCTAAGGTGGACCCTTGTAAATTAAAATTCTTTCATCACTGACTGATCCTTCAGCTAGGAGTGGGCATCTTTCTCTTTATATAGATGCTATTTCTTGTCTTCATTCTTTGTGCAGACAAACCTTTAAAAGTATGTTTCTTCAAGAGATTTAGCTTCATTTTAAAGCGTACCTGTCATGGTTATTTGTACTTGGTTTAAGGAGAGGAATTACATTAGCTCTGCATAGTGCTGGTGAAATCACTAGGCAATGTATAGGTCTTTAGAAAAACAACTACGTAAACTGCGCTCCAACCTTCTTTCGCTCTGACAATCATCATCTGTCGATATCTGTTCTAGAGATAACACAACTACCACGTCAGCATCATCAAGGGGGGTGGAGGGGTTGTGTCAGGTGCAGCAAGGCATTTCAAAAATGAGCTTAGCTAGAGAGGAGGTAGCAACCCTGAAGGAGGGGTGATGGCGGTGCTGGAACTGTGGAATATGGCAAAAAATGTATAATAAAGTCACATTGAATTGACCGTAAGAGATGATTTAATCAGGGATGAATTATGGCATTATGGATTACAGTAGCTACTGGTAACCATTAGTTTATAAAATGATTCGGTTAATTTCTGATCCCCAATGCACAATGTTAGCGGCTTCCAGTGAATAGAAGTCCAATATTATTACAGAAGGCAATTTCAAGGACTAAATAAACGGATTTATTCCTCCAACTACATCAACACTATATTTAAATGTATTTTCCTTTATTTATTTATTTTAATTTTAATTTTCTTTTTTGCCTTGATATGGCAGATGGGCTTTCACTTAATGGCCATTGGAATGAAACAAATATGCATAGGGATTTGGGCTAGTCCACAAGTAACTCTTTTCTTTGGTTTTTATTGTATGTATTGGGGCTGATGTGTACTGTGGTCATTGCTGCCACCTGGGAGTAGTGGGAGTCTGAGCGCAGGACGTATTTTTGTGTATTTGCATTTTCTGTATGCACTATTTTTTATGACTAAACGTCCTTCTGTTTTTGCCTAAATTCTATTCCTAATACATTTAAGCCTTAATTGAACACATCAGTGTTATGAATAAATAGTCTTTATATGGGCAGAAAAGCTGTTGAAAGCATGTCTAATTATGGTCTTAGGCTGCACTTTATCTCTGATGTCGATTGAAAAGAGACATCCAATATCAAATCCAGTATGGCTGGGTAGGCTCCCAAAATCAGGACTGTGTTGTTAAATCTGAGACAGATGGACAGACATTCTCAATATTAGGTTTTGGACTAATCATTGATTGTAATTAAAGCATTCTTTATTTTTTTTTACTGACATCTGGGGGAAGATTTATTAAAGTGACATTTCATTGCCCAAATACAAACAAAATCACTGTTTTGCAGATTTAACGCAAATAAAAACATGCATGCATTGTTAAGCTGGAGGTGTAAAAGCTACAGATCTTTTGTCTGAAGACTTTGCAAGCCCTCCCTTTCAACTTCGCCCAGACGTTCTGTAGCTATCCAATCACAGACTTCCCAATGCAGCTCAATGAGAAGGCAGGTGCTCTGAGCAATTGTCTATATCTTGAGTTTAGCTCCACTGAACTTAAGAACCGGTAAGTGACAGGACTGGTTGTCTGATTGACAGCCAGGTGGTGTAACGAGGTGAAATCTGCACTTTTTGTAAAATGAAAAAAAGAGGACACACTCTTCACACATGAAGCACTTCAGCAAGTTAAAATGCATTAGGGGTCCGCTGTGCCCCATTAAGGGGCGATTTGATAAGTGGTGCAAACATTTTAAAAGTGGAGCACTCACCAGTGGAATATTATTATTTTCCTTTATGGGAAATGCCACACTTTTAAAACAAACTGCACCACTTTTCAGATCATAACACTTATATAAATATATTCCTTTTGTGTTTATGTGAAATGAGTTTAAAAAAAATAAAAAAATATTTGTACATCTGACCATACCTGATCAGTCTTCTAACTGGAACAAAATCGTCAAGTGGAAATTAAAAAATAAGTGCTTTCCTTGGGCGCATATAATAAATTCCAAAATTGTCTTGTGTATTCTAGCATAAGGCAAGAAGACAAGACAAGTGCATGGTGTATCTACCATTAGTTGATTGAGTTTAGTCTGGCTTTGAGTTGGAGTCTCTACCCTCTAAGATGCTTTCTAAAGAAATGTAGAATCACAAGAAAAGGAGGAGAAAGCACAGCATTGCCATAGTGTTGTTTTTATTTATGATTACACTATTGGTTTTCTCTTTTTGCAGTCTTATTTATACTTTTTAAATACACATATTAAAGTAGATATTATAGGCTCTGTTTTCACCTTTTTTATTAAATAGAAATAATAAATTTTTCTTACTTGGGAACGCTTTTCCTCCATCTTTTTTTTCATATCCAGAAACTAAACTTGTTTGATGAAGAACATGAAATCTAACCATTGAAATGGAGAAAGATTTTTTTGGTTCAATGTCTCCTCTGCCAGTTCTCCCGCGCCCATTACGAACTGCCCGTCGTATTAAAATACATAAGAATAACATTCCCTCAACTCGATTTCCTCGCGGATGAGCCAAGTAATGTCTGTGAATACAGATGTAATTGGATATACATTTGTACTCGGTTCAATTGATCTTATTAAGTCCATATACTTATGATGTGTAAGAGCATATAAATAACAGAGCCAGACAACGCTTGCTGATTCTCGTAATCTTTATGGTTGCAGACAGTCACACTACTTCTACTTTGTGAGCTTAAATATGCAGAAATGTTCATGGCTTAGTACTAAATTAAAAGTAACTGTGCTGAAATTTTAATGGTAGTTATTAAGAATTTCACTTAATGTGGAGACACCCTTATTGCATACTGTACGTCTAAGGTATGTGTGTGTATAAATATATTATAGATTTAGGTATATGTCAACCTATATATAGATCTATAAATATATCTACCGTGTGTGTGTACACACACACACACACACACATATAGATAATATATGCAATTCATCTCCAGATTTTTTTATATCCTGAGTTCCAGATTTAATTGGGATATTATATTCTGTTTGACCTAGAAAGGGATATAGAAAAGGAGCTGTACAGCCAAGTCAGTCTTTTGTCCAGAATCTCCATACTTATAAAGTATTGTTCTTAGAATTTTATCCAGGTCCCACTAACAAGGCAAGAATTCAAGAATATCTCCACATTCGTGCAGGTTCGTTTACTCACCTGCTTTACAACATTAATATCATCAAAGTCCGTCCCGTTCGTGGATTATAAGAACACTAGTATAAATGAGTGGAATTTCAATGATCCATCATAAGTAAGCGCTAAGGAATCTGTTGGCACTGTATAAATGGCAATAATAATAATAGTTCTACTTAGGGGCTAGTCAATTGTGGTAATACTGGTTCCAATTAATATTTGGTGCCAAATCATTCATTTGGAAGACCTGTTATATCTGGGTCGATTATTAATCAGCTTCCCTGAGATTGTTTGGTCGTGAGAATCTGATCATTCACCTACATGCCTTGAAAATTGCACACAAACACTGCAGACCTCTGCCCATCCCTTCAGATTGTCAGGATATTGGAATAAACAGGCAATTTATATAGTCTATAATATCCAATAATATTGATTTAGTTAAATATTTAGTATTATTAAGTAATTCAGATTTTTGATAAATTAACGTGAACTGATTTTAAATCCATTTGTCTTGTGCAAAAATCCAAGTAACTAATTTATAAACATAAATATTGGGACTTCAAAAATATTTTTCTTAAAACCCCATTTGTCTTTGCCTCATGATTGTACACATCAGTTTTTACATACAATGAATTATTGGATGACCTCTCCTCCCAATATGGAAGAAATATTCAGATTATTGCATTTGACAGCACTTTTATCAATGCAATGTATAGATCATTTATTTATTTTTACTCAAAGAATACCTATACTATGGTGCGAGTTATCTGCTTGCAGGTCATAAATATTCTCTCTCTTTTTGAGTGTCAGATGTAATCTTCTGTTTTATATAACTTAGATATACAGAAAGCCTCCCAACATGCATGAAATGCTTGTCAATAACCTTTTAATTGTGAGGTTTTTTTATTTTTTTTGTTTGTTTTTTTTAAGGGCGATATTTTTTTTTTCTCTTGTCATATTAAGAAAGATGTTGAAAAAATAGTTTCTGAGGTGCTGTAGTAGAGATCTGTGTAACGCTCGTTGCCTTGGTATTATTTGAACATAGACTCGTTTCTTGGCAACAAGATACTTCCCAAAATAGTTGCGTCTCGGCCTTTTCTGAAGCTGCCTTCTTTTTGAACTGAAGATGTGAGCAGTGTGATCTGATTTCAGAATGTAGGAAAGAGAGCTGTACTGCATTGCAACCCGCTTCTTTTTGTTTAAGAAATTAAAAAGACAGAGTTGCATTGTATTACTCTATTTCAGGGGTTCCCAATTAATTTTTACAGTGGAACCCTTTGACATAGTGTATTAACATTGTGGAACCCCCCTGTTTTTTTGTATGTGCCGATATATGTGTCAAGGTGTGTGTATCTGTGTGTTTATCTGTGTTTGTGTGTGTGTGTGTGTATGTATCTGAAACATAGATACACACAGTGGCACACAGTGTGTATATATGTGTGTGTGTATCTAAAAACCAACAAATTAGAGTGGTGCAAATAATTATAAAAACAAGTGTTACCACCAAAGGCAAACTCAGAGCAATTGTGTATAAAGGCAGCAACCTACAAGGGCCTCTGATATATTAAACCCCCAAAGCAAAGAATCCCCTTAAAAAGTGCAGGAGAAGTAACAAAGTATCTGGAATACCCAAAGATATACACATGAATATCTATTACTGTAGTGAGCAAACAGTTCTATCAATATCACACTGTGAAAGAGTATAGAGGACAAAACTGTATACTTGCACTCTCCTTATGAAGCAGGTCTCAGAAATCTATAATACATAGACACAGACTTAGTGCAATATAGCCAGAATACAGTACAAAATGTGGTGCTCTAAAGGAACTACACTCACAATTGTGGGGTGGTTATAGTACCACTCCAGACTATCCGGCCCAGGGAGGATCAGACCCTAGAGATCGTTAGATCCATAACACAGGTTTTCAGATGAACTCTCCACCAATCGGAAGCTTCAAGTAAAAGGCATTATTGATCACCAATTCAAATAGTGTAAAAAAGATAAAATGTCACTGCACTCGGAGCACTTAGAGCAAACCAACGACCTGGTTACAGTACAAGTGTCCTCTCTGTATCCTTCAGTTGGTCTCCATCTCTCCACATGTGCAGGAAGTTCCGCGTTCGGCGTGTAGCTATGAGTTTTCCCACGGCATCCTTTTGTATGTTGCAATTGTGATGGATCGCAACCTTATGCTACATCAAAAGTGTTTGAAAAAGTCTTCAAAATACATACATACTCATCTCAATAGTCCTCATGATAAAAAAATATAAGGAAAGAAAATAAAAAAGTTATTGCAATATTATTATTATTATTATTATTGCCATTTATATAGCGCCAACGGATTCCGTAGCGCTTTACAATATTTTGAGAGGGGGGGGTGTAACAATAAATAGGACAATTACAAGAAAACTTACAGGAACAATAGGTTGAAGAGGACCCTGCTCAAACGAGCTTACAGACTATTGGAGGTGGGGTATTTGAAACATTAGGACAATAAATATCAAGTAGGAGTGAAGCAGAGCTGGAGGAGAGAGCAAAGCACTGTCCCATAGGAGAGAGCAGGAGACAGGTATGTAAGGTAGAGATTACTCTGGGAGGCCATAAGCTTTCCTGAAGAGATGGGTTTTAAGGCCCTTCTTAAATGATTGAAGACTAGGGGAGAGTCTGATGGCAGTAGGCAAGCTATTCCATAGGAGAGGAGCCGCCCGCGAGAGGTCCTGCAAGCGCGAGTTGGCCGTACGGGTGCGAGCAGCGGTCAGGAGGTGGTCACGGGCAGAGCGGAGGGTACGTGGAGGGGCATATTTATGGATCAGTGAAGAGATATAAGCGGGGCTAGAACTGTTCAGTGCTTTAAATGTATGGGTTAGCACTTTGAATTGACTCCTATAGCATACAGGGAGCCAATGTAAGGACCGGCAGAGGGGTGAGGTGTGAGAGGACCGACTAGAGAGGAAAATCAGTCTAGCTGCAGCATTCATTACAGACTGTAGCGGGGCAATACGGCTTTTGGGGAGACCAATCAGGAGAGGGTTACAGTAATCCATGTGGGAAATTACTAGAGCATGGACAAGCTCCTTGGTAGCATCTTGCGTAAGAAAGGGGCGAATGCGGGCTATGTTTTTTAGTTGGAACCTACAGGACTTGGCAACAAACTGGATGTGAGACTCGAAGGTGAGACCAGAGTCAAGTATGACGCCAAGACAGCGCGCTTGCAGGGATGGACTTATGTGGATATCATTGACTTGAAGGGAGAGCGAGAGAGGAGGATCAGTATTAGGAGGAGGAAAGACAAGGAGTTCAGTTTTAGAGAGGTTAAGTTTCAGAAAGCGTGAAGACATCCAGTCAGAGATGGAAGAAAGGCAAGCAGTGACACGTTGCAGGACAGCAGGGGAGAGGTCCGGGGAGGAGAGGTATATCTGAGTGTCATCAGCGTACAGGTGGTAGTGGAATCCAAAAGAGGCAATCAGTTTACCAAGAGAGGCGGTATAAAGAGAAAATAGAAGGGGACCAAGGACAGACCCTTGGGGAACTCCAACCGAGACAGGACGAGTGGAGGAGGTATCCTTGGAAAAGGAGACACTGAATGAGCGTTGGGAGAGATAGGAGGAAAACCAAGAGAGGACCGAGTCACAGAGACCGAGCGATTGAAGAGTTTGAAGGAGGAGAGCATGATCAACGGTGTCAAAGGCAGCAGAGAGGTCTCTTATATACAATATACATGTTCAACAAAGTACATAGATAATCAGATCATTTTTATAAAGATAATTCCAATGTGCTTGTGTAGTTCATCATATGTGAAGTGAAGATAATAATAAAGACTTATTAGACAGACGTGTATAAGTTCTGACTCCCAGAGACACCCAAAATGGCCGATATTTGGCTCTCGTTTGTGAGGCCTACTCCACCGGCTCCCGACAAGATGGCGCCTGAGGCACACAGCGAGGAGGAGGCATCAGAGGACTCCCACGATGACAGAGAGAGTCTTACCTCACCTCCAGATGAAGTTGGGGCCCTCTGCCACAAGTCAGATTCAGATGTAGACTCATCCCCAGCAACGAAGAGGGACATAAGAGATCTCTTAACAGAAATGAGGGAAGTGTGGAAAGCGGATCTGCTGAGCACTCAGAAGGAGGTGGTGGATCTCCAACAGCGGCTTACAGCAGTGGAAACACGCAAGAGAGCACAAACTACAACACTCCCAAGACAAAATGCAGGATCTTACCTCACAGGTCCAAAAACTCACTCGGACTGTCACAACACTGGAGGCACAGCATAGAAGTCGGAATATCTGCCTCTGAGGAATATCATAAAGCATTGGTGAGGATGCCTTACTGCCCTACAATCAACACCTATTGTCCGTAATGGGCATTAAATGGGGCACCGAGCCAAGCATGATACCCTCTGCGTTCAGAATTCATAAAGCTGCAACAGCTCCAGGAGACACACCCAGAGACACTATAGCAGTCACCAGGGATGTGGCAACCCGTTTCGCTATCATGTCCCGCTCCAGAGCCCTGGGCTCAGTACAAATGGAAGGAAACACTGTGGCCATATACGGCGTTCTCCCTTTCGCAGCTCTTGTGGAAAGGAGACAGCTGGCACCATTAGCCAAACAACTACAGGATGCAGGAGTCCGATACCGTTGGGGTGCACATGGATACCTGGCGGTACCGCGGGGAGACCAGACACTTACCTTGTCCTCCACAGACGACCAAACGCTATTCTTCTGGCAGCTGAACTTAAACAACGCAGACAAAGGAGAAACCAGTGATGTAGGAGCTCAGACAAAAGCAACCTAGGACCGAATAAAGGCTTATCTGTGCTGGCATTGACACAATGACACTCATAGGCTCTCTTATATAGCAGCCGCACTCTTCCTCATGGCCAGACGCAGCCGTAAACCTAACACGCAAGAACAATCAGAAGTAGCGCAATTGCTACAAACGCTATGATCCTCCTAATACTACAATGTTATTGCCTACACATTCATCAGTTATTGTTTAATGGTTTTAATGTCATATGTTCATAGTAGCTCTAATCTCACATAACTACTTCAGAGCCAACATTGCAGCCTCTAACAGATTGTTATTGCTATTGATGTATCATTATTACTTTTATACCACGACAACGCTGTATTTTGAGTATTTAAACTCTAATAAAATACAAATTACAAAAAATAAAATAAATAAAAATATTAAAAATGTATTTAAAAAAATTACAAAAGTGGGGCATATCTTCTAAACCATTAATATAAAAAATACCACTATTGGTTCACACATTTTCTTGTCTATAAAAAATAATTAATTATAAATACACCATAATAATTAATAGGGTCCTTGAGGAGAAAATAAAAACAAGAATCCTTATAGAAAATTAAACAAATCAAAATCTATATTCAAGACTATATCTTCATAGCCCAGGAATACCTGACAATCCTACGGGACTCAAACATCTGACTCATTGACCTCACAGACCATGCCTCGGTGTCTGTAAATACGAGTTCCCCACTCAGTAAACCCGGTAAACGCCACTGGAAACTGAACGAAAGCCTGTTGAATGACGTAGGGTTCACAGACAAAGCCGCCCAAACACTCCGACAATTCTTTGACACAAATGACACACCCGACATGAACCCACTGACTCGATGGGAAGCTCACAAATGTGTCATACGCGGACACTTTATCACAGAATGCACCCAACGCAAAAGGGGCAGGACACAACACATGACCGAACTGACAAAACGCATAGCTAAACTAGAACAGGACCACAAATGCACATTAGACGACACCACATACCTACAACTCGCGGAGGCACATAGAGAGCTCAGTAGAATCCTTTCCAAAGGGCTCTATCTCACCTTCAGGAAGTCAGCCAGATTCTCCTACGAACACTCGAACAAAAGTGGTCGCTTGCTGGCCCGAATGCTGAAGGAAAAGAGGAGGAGGCCTCACATCCATAAGATTCGGACCAGGGGTCAAGACATCACTAGGCTCCCGGAGGGCATCCAAGACGCCTTTCGCGAATATTACACCAACTTATACGACCAAACACAAGATAGGAGAGGTGCAGCTGCCCAACGACACTTACTACGCATCACGGACTACCTAGACCGACACATAGCCCGCACAATACCCACGGAGTCAGCGACCGAACTGGAACAACCCCTGACGCTTGAGGAACTAGCAGCAGCCCTGAAACAGTCCAAACCCCACAAGGCCCCAGGCCCCGACGGCCTCCCATTAACATACATAACCACCTTTAAAGACATTCTGCTGCCGAGAATCCTCACAGGCCTCAACTCGATAAGCTCAGGCGGACGGTTCCCTTCTGACACTCACTGCGACTGTGACGGTCATACCTAAGGAGGGTAAGGACCCGACCTGTTGCTCAAGCTACCGACCAATATCGCTCCTGAACGCAGACTTAAAGCTCTTCACGAAGGCACTAGCTCATGCGGATCCTCCCAGACCTGGTCCACCCCGACTAGGTCGGATTCTTACCAGGTCGTGAAGCGAGAGACAATACCATAAGGGCCCTTAATGTCATCCATCATTCGAAGCACGCCGGGAAGGACGTGATACTCCTTTCCACTGACGCTGTAATGGCTTTCGACCGAGTGGACTGGACTTTCCTAGCGGAAACCCTACAGCACATGGGCTTTGGCCCTACCCTGCGGGCCAGGTTGCGGCGCTATATACCACCCCAACAGCACGCATACGCGTCAATGGCGCCCTAACAAAAACTTTCCCCATCCACAGTGGCACCAGACAGGGATGCCTCCTATCCTCCCTCCTGTTTGCCCTCTCTCTCTAGCCTTTTCTTGAGGCGGTCAGACGAGACGGGGGAATCATGGGGCTCCGCATGGGGGAGGTTGAACATCGAGTGACCGCCTATGTGGATGATATGCTATTTTTCCTAGAGCAGCCGAGAACCTCCATTCCAAATCTCCTAGAAGCCTTCCGGAAGTATAACTTGGTGTCTAAGCTCAAACTCAACTTGAGCAAATCTGAAGCTATGCCAGTCTCGAGAGTCCCCAAACATCTACACCAGCTCATCTCGCAACTCCCATTCAAACTCTGTGTGAACAAACTTCGATACCTCGGAGTCTGGCTGCCGGCGATCTCACACTCCTATACCGAACAAATTACCTCCCAATCCTATCGAAGCAACGCTCCGCGTGTGGTGCTCCATACGATTTACCAGACAACTGACGACGTCACCTAACCCGCTCACCCCCATCACACATAACCCCACCGCCCTGAAGAGTTTCCGAGCCTCAGACTGGGAATACATGCACAAGTGGAGCACCACACACACACTCAAACCAATAGCAGATTTGCTCGTGCAACAAAGAGCGACACAGCTAGACAAATTCACCAGATCAGGAACTACTACTCGACTATCAGAGGTAAGGGTCACCTGCACAGGCCATTGACATACATGGAACACACATGCACGACCAGACAACACCTCCAACACAGGGTGTCACTACTATACACCACACTAATGTCCAATGACGGAAGGCCCCCATTGGGATTCACAACAAAATGGGAACGGGACACGGAGATCACACTCACTGACCAGGAATGGGATAAAATCTTCCTACTAACACACAGGGGATCCATTTCCTCAAAATACCAGGAAACCAACTACAAACTACTGACGCATTGGTACAGGACCCCAGACACCCTTCAACATATCCACAAATCAATCTCTGGTAACTGCTGGAAATGTGAGAGAGACATCGGCACCTGAATACATATCTGGTGGACATGCCCACTCATAGCTCCCTACTGGCAGATGATTAACAGTAAGATCAAAGAAATCACTGACACAGACTTACCCCTCCGGCCACTGACGATGCTCCTTAACCACACGACACTCCCCACGGCAATCTACAAGAAAAGCCTAACGATACATCTACTCACAGCAGCAAAATCCCTAATCCCGATACACTGGAAACACACAGTTGCACCTACCTTCCAGCAATGGATAACCAGAGTAGAAGATATTTGCAACATGGAAATAATGATGGCCCCCCTGCAGGGCCGTTCCGACAAATGTGCTCAGACCTGGTACGCGTGTATGGAGTTCATCTCTAGGGGGCCAGGGGTGGACCCGAGGCTTCGTAGCAACCCTAACTGACTCACCCCGCTACCAGTCATCTTTACTATCCAACTGGACTACCGAATCCAACCCCTCCACCCTAACACCACAAGTTACCCCTAAGATACGGAAGCACAAAACACACCACACTAGAGGGAACAATGCTACAATCATACGACCAAGGCACCCAACACAGCCTCAAATAAAGCTACAAACCCAGGATTACACGGCCCGCGATACCCAACCATCCCATGGGACACATGTTCTAGTATAGACACCCACGAACTCACACCCACAAGCAGAAGCCCAGCAGGCACGGGGACATGGGACGGGAGGTCGAGAGCCGACCAATCCCATCAAACTCTAGAAGGAAATAATACCAAACACTACAAACTCTAACAACCGACGCTACAAACACCCTAAAACTAGTAGATGTAGGAACACGTTCTCACGCACTTAGACTGTGATAGCCTACAAAAGTCGAGTAAAGACCACTGGGATAACCAACATCCTAATAGATATTGGTCTTCAATTCAGCAAACAAACTAGACAGAGCAGCTACTCTCAGGTACGTGGCAATATCACTAGCTTACGAATAACCAATAAGTACTGTGCACCGACAAATAGCTACAGTTAGCGAGAAGAATAATGTCAAGTAAGCACGAATGGAAACTGAGAAAGAAGGCGCCCAAGTTACGATTGCCTGTAAACAGCCACCTAAATGATACCACACAACCTGTTCTCATGTTCAAGTTATGACAAAGGCCTGCGTGCCTCACATTATGTTCTCTTCTGAACAATGTATTTAATGCAGAAACCTTAATAAAAACAGATTTACACAAAAATCTATATTCAGGCTGGCAGGGGTTAAAGTATCCAAGTGAAAAACCCACTTAATTTCTCCTTGGCCAATTTTCTTAATAAAGTCCCCCCCTCTCCAATCCTTGAAAAGTCCTTAATTCCTACAAAAACTAAGCCTGTGGGGTCTCTGTTATACACTTGTCTGAAGTGATCAGAAACACTGTGACTGATTACTCCTTTACGTATATTATATACATGTCTTGTTCTGCCAATATACTGTAGTTTACACGGACATTGTAACAGGTAAATAACATTATTGCTGTGACACGTAATGTGTTCTCTAATGGTACATTTTTGTCCTCTCTGATCGAAAATTGTGATGGATGCGTTCCATTCCCCACTTGTTGTGTATTTTTCCAACCTAAACACATTTTACATATGTAAAATCCAGTCACTTCCCAAAAGCAGTTGTTCATAACTCGCTTTGGTTTTTCTCTTAAATAGCTATTGACCAAAAAATTTTTTAAATTAGGTGCCCCTCTAAGTGGTTTCTCTGGTAGTATTTCCCAGAAGTCTCTATCCGTTTCAAGAATTGCCCAAAATGTATTTATTATGCGTTTTATTGATTTATGCTCCGTGTTCTAATCAAAGACTAAAACGTCACTAGGGGTTATTTGAACCCGAGAGTGATCTTTATATAGCAGTTCTACTTGTATTTTATCGTTAACCTCATCCCAAGCCCTTCCCAAGATGTCTTATGGATATTCCTTTTCTCAAAATGTACCCAGTAGTTCTTGGGCTTGTGTTAAAAATATATTTTCTTCCGTGCAATTCCGCCTTAGTCTGAGAAGTTGTCCCTTCAGGATGTTATTGAGCCATGGTGAATAGTGTCCACTGCCATACATAACATAACCATTAGTATCAGCCTACTTAGTTTTCAGGGATCCCCCCTCCACATAAATTTTGAAATCTAAAAAAATCTATTTCCATGGGACTTATATTACTGGTCAGTTGTATGCCCCAATCATTGCTATTAAAAATCTTTAAAACTGTCCTCATTGCCATCCCAAATAAAAAACATATCGTCTATATAACGGCGATAGACAAGTACATGTGTTCCCCAGCCATGGTCACCATAAATGAAAGTCTCCTCCCAATGTGCCACACAGATACACACACACTGGCACATAGTGGCACACAGATACACACACTGACATACAGATACACACACTCAGATACACATACCCATACTCAGATGCACATAGTGACACATACACACATGTTGACTCACAAATACACACACACTCAGATACACACATTGACACATACACACACTGACATACAGTGATCTTCCTGCTCAACTCCCTTGCGCACCTCTTAGTGATACCGGAGCCGAAGAGACGTCATATTCCGGCTCCGGCATCACTGCTGTGTGTGCCGCGATAATGGCTGCCGCGATAATTGATGCGGGCGCCGAGGGAGTACTCTCCCCTGCTCAGCTCCCTCACCACATGCCTCAATTGTCGTGGTGGCTATTTTGTTAACAGAAATTTTGGCAGAACCCCATTTGTGTTCTCGCGGAACCCCAATTGGGAAACGCTGCTCTATTTACTTAATAACAAGAACATGCCCACCATCTGGTGTCAGAGCCTCTATCATGTAGGTTTTACTGTTCCCGATGTCTCCTGCATGTCTACTATTCTCAAGGAGTGAAGATTTTGACTTTGCCTTTGATTAAAGGTGATAATTTAATAAATGTTCACCGGTTCTTAGAACTGGGTATCACTGGTTTTCATTATTCAACACACACTGGCTTTTCATCAAGGGCTTAGTCCAAGGAAAGGGTTAATTCAAATGTGTTTTGATCCTATAGGTCCTGAGATTATGGAAACCTGAAATTACAGCCGAGCGAAAATTTATTCATTTTTTAGTTGCAAGCTATTCCAAACATGTCTTAAGTGTTTGCCCCATCCTGGACTTTTTATGATCTTCAAGAGAGACCACATGTTCAAATATACATACATATACATATATATATATATATATATATATATATATACACACACACTTTTTTGTAATGCATATAATTAAATAATATAAAAATATGCATTTACTACAATTGGTTACTGTGGTTATTTTTATCATTTAAGTGCTTGACATTGTCCAATCAAATGCTAGAGTAAGCACTTAGATTGTAGCAGCAGGGATCATAGTCCAAAACAATCCCTGAAGTTCTGCATTAGTACATATATTAATGTTTTAATTATGTTACATCATTTTTTTGTTTTTCTATAAAATGTGTACGTGTGTAAAACTTCAGAAATGTTTTCAGCAAATTAAAGGAACAGTTTAGTGTTAGGAATACAAATATGTATTCCTATCGTGTTCCTCTGCCCCCATGGCCCCCTCCCAGCATTGTAAATGGTTAAATATCCCTTAATTTGTGTACCGGATTCCAGCGCTGAGGTCCTTCGGCACTGGATCGTTGTCTGTCTCCTCCGACATCATACGATTGGGTGGACCTAATGTAGCAAGCATAGCGTGTACGTTAGGCCTTCTCCACGGGAAAACATTTTCTCAATGCTTTCCTGTAAGGTTTTCTCTGATGCTGGACATTCTCCTCCAATCACTGTCCGCCTCCTCCTCACATGTCATCTGATTGGAGGGACCTAATGTGCATGCGCAGTGAGCATTGCGTGCACATTAAGCCATCCCCATAGGAAAGCTTTGCCTCAATGCTTTTCTATGGGGTTTTCTCTGAAGCTGGATGTCCTCATGGAGAGCGTGAGAATGTCCAGCGTCATTTCACGGAGTCAAACTTCAGGAAGCTCCCCTCGTGGCTGTAGATAGCCACTAAAGGTAGTCAAGTCTAAAACGGCAATGTTTTACATGCAGGACTAAAGGGGGCAGAGACACTGCACCCAGACCACTTTAATCAGATGAAGTGGTCTTGTTGCCTATATTATCTCTTTAAGTGCAGAATACAAAATAAGAGAGATTTCTGATTGCTATTGTGTATATATTTGTTTCTTAATTAACTGTTTAGTAATTTGTATTTATTTTTTTTGCAGAGAAAATAGAGTTTGGTATTATTCATTGAACCGTGATTTGTAACAAATAGACAAGGGAACTGCACAATAGCAAAGTTGCAAAAATTCTCAGTCATCTCTTTTCCCTTTGACTAGTTTTACCTAGACTCGCAGTATTCTTGTCAACTCTCCACAATTCCCAAGTTCGTAAATAATTCCATTGATTAGTTTGTCCCATTGTCCAATAGCCGAGAACAGCAGATATATTTCCATTTGGACTAGTCGTGTTGGAGGCGTCATACATTTTTTTATCACAAAACAGTGGGGGATATTTATCAAAGCGTTTAAAAAAAAAAATATGATCAAAATAAAGATGGAATTAACCTGTCATTTTTTTTTTGAAGTGTTTAAAAAAGTGATGGTTTTCTTTATAGTAAATTCCAACAGTTCTCGCAGAAATTCCCATTGTAGAAAAACGGCGATTTACAATGACAGGAAAAAGAAACGTGAAACAGCACTTTACTGTCTAAAAAGGTGGAAGAAAAAAATCAAAACTCAATTCAATTGTTAAAAAAAAAAATGTTTATTCACAAACTATGGTTTAAGCGCAAAAAAAACCAACAGATAAAAACATCTGGCAGATTTAATACATTTTAACAAACATTTTTCCCGCAAATTAGACAAAAAAGTGTTGGTGACACTTTGATAAATCTCACCAACCAGTTGACAACCAGCCATCAAATTTTAGATAAAATATCCAACTTTTGTAAAATCTACAACTTCTAAGAGTCAGAATTAAAAAATATTTTTTTTTTTTACACCTTCCAAGTTTGTTAACAGCAGGACAGCTCACTATACAGCAAATAAAACCCAGGTTCATCTAAGAAAGCTCAGAACCTTCCTTTTTGCATTTATCTACGGCATGATCTGGAGTTTGAGGTTTGGGATTTAAGGTCTGCTTGACCTGCTATATTCAGTGCTATTTAGCAGTTTAAACATCTCTGTCTGGGATGTAGGAGTCGACCTGACAGTCACATCAGTGATATGAGGTTTGAGAGTGAAGTGATCTGGAAAATCACTCCAGTCTTAAAGAAAAAAAAATGTCAGATGTCCTTGAATGTTTGTTGGTTCAGTGACGCCTCTTACTGTGATAAAGCAAAACCGAATTATTTAGAAAAATGGCTTTAGTTATTTATAATAAAATGTTATTTAATGACCAGCAAGGAGGTTAATTAAAGAAAGGTCTAATATTAGTAGATAAGATGAACAAATGCATATTTCATTACATTCTATTCTTAACTTCAACAGTTATCAGAGACGTATGTGTCAGATTGAATTTAATTAGGATAATTAGAGCAAGCGGTGTATTAAAAGCGACATCAGTTTCTGTATACAGTGGAATTTGATTGAGTTTGTAATGCCCTTTAAACTTTTCTCACAAGCAAGGCTATTATTTCCTTTTATTTTATCTACGGTATTCTGCAGTCAGCCTTTTTGATATTGTGCAGAGCTGTGGAGCACACGGGTGTTTTTTTTTTTTTATATATATATATATATATATATATATATATATATATATATATATATATTTATTTAATACAAAGCAAGTAATTAAATTAATTAAACAAAAATCTGCTCACCAGTCAAGCCATAAGACTTGCTTTTCCCACAGAAATCACAAATTTGCAGTGATGTTACTACTGCAAAGGATTCTGGGTGGGCATATGCAAATTAGTTAAACAAAGAATCAAATTTTTGCCTCATTCCATTTTAAACATGGATTCCTTTGAGTTTGTGTTTGCTGTATACAACAGCTTTCAAACACAACTTAGGAAAATATGCAAAGCCAGTGAACCACCATTGTTAATGCAAATGATCAGCATAAGGTTGGTTACTGGTTTGCTATTGAGGCTTGGTAGTGCTTCGGAAGCAAAAACCAAATAGGTTATGGTGGGGAAAAAATTGTGATTGAAAACCCCTTCCACCTGAAGTCTGTGGATAGTTAATACAATGTTAAACCAAAATCTGTTCACCAGTCAAGCCATAAGACAGACAGGGATTGTACTTGTAAAGTAAAATCTTCATAATTATAGTGTTACTTTAAGCATCATAACCATTACAGCACTGGCTCTCCTTAAACAGGACAGCATATGCTTTTCAAGTTCCCATTTGTATCACAGATTCCCATTAAAGGAATGATTTAGGGACAGGAACACTAACATGTATTCCTGACCCTGTAGTGTTAAAACCACCATCTAGCCCCCCCACTGGCCCGGTTTGCTCTTTAAATATTGTAACTAGTATTCAAGTCTGCAGCTGCTGCCTCTGCCCCAGTTCTGCCTGCTTGACTGACTACATCAGAAGTAGTGGTCTGAACCAATCACAATGCTTCCCCATAGGATTGGCTGAGACTGTCAAGAAGGCAGATCAGGGATAGAGCCAGCACAAGTCAAACACAGCCCTGGCCAATTATCATCTCCTCATAGAGATGCATTGAATTAATGCATCCCAATGAGGAAAGTTCAGTGGCTCTATAGAGAGAGTGGAGACCGTGAATGTCAGTACTGCACAGTGTGCAGCACTGCCCCAGCAAGCAACTCTAGTAGCCATCTAAGGAGTGGCCACTGGTGTTATGACTAGGCTGTAATGTAAACACTGCATTTTCTCTGCAAAAAGCCTGAAGGGAATGATTCTAGTCACCAGAACAAATGCAATAAGATGTAGTTGTTCTGGTGTCTATAGTGTCCTTTTAACTAAAGCTTTGACAGTAAATTCGTCCCCAGACCAAGAATTGACTAAAACCTCACAGCCAATCCTGGTCCTCTGATTGCTTTTAATGGTAGTGCTAAGCAGGCACTCTTATGGAAACCTAAGACACAAACCTTTTAGGACTGGAAATGTCAAAGAGAGCATTGGATAAGCACTGCCCACCCTTAAATATACAAACCTGGTATTCTATCCATAACCTGATCGAGGTGCCTTTTGTTTTGTACAGTCTGGGAAATTTATAAGGAACAGTTTTTAAGTATCGTCCAGCTACAGTGTAAGAAATACAAACATGTATTCCTAACTCTGGGATATATATTTAGGTCCCTGGCCCCCCTCAGATTTGAGTAAACGAGTATTAAACTTACCTTTTCCCCATTGCTGCACCAGTTCCCGCGCTGCTGGCCACACTTCCTTGGCTGAGATAATCAATCATTACGATCTTTTTCAATCCAATTCCCATAGAAGAGCATTGTGAGGCTATTGCCCATGCGTGGCAAAATGCTGCACTGCACCAATCATCATGGAGACTCTGAACGTAGGTGCTGCCTGAGATATGAAACACCTTTAGTGGCCATAACTAGTAGGGATCGACCGATTATCGGTCTGGTCGATATTCGGTATTTTCATCAGTATCTGCCTATAGAGATACCGATATTGCCGATAATACAGACCAGGACTGCCGGGCCCATGACAAGCCCGACGGTCCTCGGGGGCCCACAGCAAGCTCTTACTTACCTTCCCAGCAGCTCCCTTCAGCTCCCCTTTCTAAATCTTAAGAGTCCCGCGGCCGTCAGAGCGTTACCACATGATACCATGGCAATGCTCCGCGTGGTACGCTGGCCATGAGAGTTAGACAGGGGAGCTGAAGGGAGCTGCTGGGAAGGTAAGTAAGAGCTTGCTACGGGCCCCCACTGCACAGTCCATGCCACCGGACCACCAGGGAATGCCATATCCCCCCTCCCTGGCCAAGTAAGAAACAGGGAAGGGGGGACTAAAAAATAAATAAATTTAATATTTAAATAAAAATGCCCTCCCATTTTACGCACTTAACATAACTAAACAAACACACACACACTCTGCATTCATTTTATACACACTATACAAACACACTGCATTCACTATACACACACACTACACAAACACACTGCATTCACTATACACACACACACTCTGCATTCATTATATACACACACTACACAAACACACTGCATTCACTATACACACACTACACAAACACACACTACACAAACACACTGCATTCACTCTACACACACTCTGCATTCATTATATACACACAATACACAAGCACACTGCATTCACTACACACACTGCATTCACTTTACACACACCACACACTACATTCACTATACACACACTACACAAACACACACACTCTTCATTCATTATATACACACTACACAAACACTCACTGCATTCATTATATACACACTACACAAACACACACTGCATCCACTACACAAACACACACTGCATTCACTGATCAAATACTCTCACTGCATCCACTACACACACATATATCCTTGAAAACATAAAAAAATTCTGACTGGCATGTATATTTTGTGATTTTACCTCAATAAAAAAAAAAAATAATAAACATGTTCAGTAAACTGTAGATTTGTGTAGAAATAGTTTATTATTTCAAAATGGTAAATGTACAGAATATCGGTACGTTATCGACTATCGGCCTGAAAGTTCACAGATTATCGGTACCGGCTCTAAAAAAATAAATCAATATCGATCTCTAGCGCTAGGCATCAATGTAAACACTGCTTTTTATCTGAAAAGGAAGTGTTTACATTGAAAAAATTGCAGGGAATGCTATAGACACCAGAACCACTACTGTAAGCGGTAGGGGTTCTGATTACTATAGTGTCCATTTTAATACAGACTGTAACATGTATAATACACCCATCATGAATGAAATACCATTAAAGAGTGTTTGTAGAATAATTACAATGTATTCCCTAGGTACATTCTAACTAATTGATCTGCTCCTGCAGACCACATCAATCAATGCAAACAGTTACAGTGCTGGCATACGGGCAGAACCATGTTATTTAAGATGAAGGGGGAGTTCAGATGGAAATGAAGTGAAATTAAACATTTGCACTGTAATAAAAAAAGAGGGGGATATGGTCACAGAAATTTAAAGTTATGTGTTTTTAATTGCTGCAGATCTGCTGCTTAATTGCTGTGTATGTTAATCTTGCACGACCTGTCATCAATGTTTGCAATTTTTCATTGTCATCTGCCATAGTGGAATGGTTATCTTCCAGTAGGTTATGGGACCCAATGATGTCATCTACTTTGAATTCTAATTTATCTGTGCGTTCGCCAAAGTCGTTCAGAGATATGCTCAGAAGTGATTTTAGCCAAATCATACTGGAGTTCCCTCCTGAAGTCTTTTATGACGCTCCTCATTTCATCTGTAAATACTTGTGAGTTCAGGAGAGTTGTGGCTGAGAGCGCAGGCTCTGCCATGCTGTTTAGGCTTTGTGGTGGCGTCGTCGACGGTCAATCCTCCTCGTCTGTTATTGTAGATTTACAGGCCTTGGGCATAAGATAAGTGTTTAATTTAACCTGTTTCACCCTTACTCCAACCATTGGAGGAAGCCAAATGGGCACGGAAAAATGTAGAGCCTCTAGCTGTCTGTGTACATATGACCTAAGGGCCAGCACTTCATCATGGTGCAAAGCAATTATGCCTTTGCCATTTTTTCCAGCAGTCAGCTTCTGAAGGGCAAGCTTTCCAACCTTTTCATTCTTACGCACTCTGTAAATACATTTTTTAATTTATGCTAATATAAAACTTGTTAGCCATAGGTGAAATCTTTTACTCATTAATGGGAGTAGGAGATCCAATACACTTGTTCCGTTTGTCCCCACAGAATCAGGGCAGCCTGGTGGTTCTAGTTGACGGTCATTGAATGCAAAATGCCCAGGTATACCCAGTGTTGCATTCGCTGACATTTTATTCCATAGCAAGCTCGCTTTGAGGAATGCACCACTTGAAAAGCAGTCTCCCTTGAATCTTAAAGGACCATGTCTATGCAGATACTTTGGTCAGGGGTTTAATTTTCTGTAAATTTTTTTTTTACAAGTGATCAATTAAGAGCCTAATTTTGTTTGGGCGTTCATACTATGGGCATTTCTATGAGGGCACTGGGTGTTATCACTGAAATGGAGGAAACGGAGAAGCCGTTCATACCTCTTACCTCTTCATAATCACTGCAAAAAGAGGGGAAGCTAGGATAGGGTGCTTATTTCAATAACTCCTAATGTTGGATTTTCTCACAATCCATAATAACACCAGCGCTCAAACCCTCCTCATTCCAGTGCTGTCAGTGGGGTGCCACATAAGCTTCCTGCTGTTGGGAATGGCAGTGAGATGTTGGCTGGCATACAAGTTTTCTCAGCCATAAGCTCAAACATGGCGTCCATCATAAACAGGCTAAAATAATTTTCTTGCTCACAAATATCAACTGTGATGCCAGCGGTTGCCAAAATGGGGTTTTTCAGGAGCACTTAAATTTGGTGGTACCTAGTTATGCTCAGACACAGTGCAGTATTCTGAACGCCTACTGATAGTTGGTGTTAAAATGGGACTACCGTCACCAGAATGCTTGCTTAAATACTCTACATCTGATGCAGTAAGTGTCTGTCAGATATGGCGTAAACATCCTCCACTGTATAGAAACGGCCATGGTGAATTTCTTAATTTGGAAATAGTTTTATCCCTTCCTCCTTTACACACACTCCCCCTACACCCAAAACCCCCAAAATAAAACGTTTTATTTTTTTTAGCACTGTGATCAGCAGTGAGAGAGTTACATTTTAACACCTTTTTTACACACAGTATAAATCTGGAACTTTGCCAGAAATGATCTTTCTGCCTCTCTCATCTCTGATTAATGTGAGAGAAGAGAAAGACAGAATACAATATCACAGCCCATGATGCAAACCATGGGCTGTGACATTGTACCAGTAATCGTGGTGTCAAGCTGTCATGTGACTCCAATCTCGATTGTCTGCTGGGAACTTCCTGACGGTCCACCCGATCAGAGGCAGCGAGGGGACTGCCCTCCACCCAAGCCAGGAAGTTAGGAAGTGCCATTACGCCCTAATGTTGTGAAAGCCAGTGCTGTACAGGACATAATGACACCTCCTAATGGCGCAAAGAGGTTAAGTTGGCAACCAGTGAATGTTTACAACATTCTTCAGTACTCAACGTTCTATGCGCATGCAATCTTTTATATATTTTTTTTTTGTTGTGTTTTCTTCCCAAGATTGAGTCACCTTGTGGACCATCTGCTTGTCATGACAGACTATGAAATGTTTTGTTATAATGTTCGCCATTCTGTGATCCAAATGGTTACATTCCTGATAAACCTCTCCGTTAACACAAATACAGTACTAAACTATTGCTTTTCTTTTCCAGGCCCTTAAGCTGAGAGAGATGTGTAACTGTCCAGCTCTCCCACTGCCTGACCCAAGAATAATTTTTGACCAGAGCGTGAAAGTCTTCCTCAAATCCTCTGGGGGACAGTGAACCGAACTTGGTAAAAGGACACCTCGTGCCAATCCCAGTGGATGATAGTCTCACTAGCTTCAATGGTCAAAGAAATGTGTGGATTAAGCAAACATTAAAACTGTCTGATTTGATTGTAAAAACAAAAAACTGAAAAAAATGTGCTATAGTTTTGAGTCAAACTGAAGTGTGTGTTTTAAAAGCTTTCAGTGGCATAATGGAATTATGTCATCCTTCACATTTTTCATGATCTTTTTGAAAATAAAATATTTTCTTGCTGTTGTCTTTATTTGGCAAGGTTGATTTAAATAGAAGAAATATCTTCAGGCACTCCGGATGTTAAAGCCGCAGGCAGGTTTATTGAAACAGAAAGGACAGCAACGTTTCAACTTAACAGGAGGTCTTTGTCTTTAGATTGACAAAGACCTCCTGTTGGGTCGAAACGTTGCTGTCATTTCTGTTTCAATAAACCTGCCTGCAGCTTTAACATCCTGAGTGCCTGGAGATATTTCTTCTATTTGCTTAGCTGTTGTGGGATTGCTGGTGCTGCTCCGGAGCACCGAGTGGGTGCTTAGGGATTGTGTGCGATTCCTATCTACACTTCTGCAATACAAGGTTGATTTAAAGGGACATTTTAAGCACCATAATCACTACAGCTCAGTGTAATGGATATGTTACTAGGAGTCTATGGGTGTGTTACATGTGTTTTGTCAAACCGTTTAGGAGAAGTTTACAAAAATGACACCTGTATCCTGCCCCATCTTCAGATGCACTGACCATACCAATATCAATTCTGTCCTAGCTGGATGTGATGATTGACTGACAGCACTGGCACCAGACGTGGATATTCCACATTATCAATCTGGTTCCAAGCAGCGTAGAAGAACATGGACAGTGCTCATGGAACCTTAGCACCATATCCAGCACACAGAGCTGTAATGGGTTCTTTAAAGGAACACTCTGGACACCAATAAAACTTAAATGCATTTGATAGGTTTTGGCCCCAATAATATGCTGTTTTTTTTTGCTTGCTTAAATCTTTGTTTTTTTGCACAAAAAAGTACATGATTTGCAGAATGCTGCATCATAAGCCTGCCTCTTTAACCATGCCCATCACTCCAGAAAAATATTTCCTTATCAAATGTATGCACACAGCTCAGCCACTGACAGTACTGAATGATATGAACTACAAAGTAACCTGCTTCAGAAGGGAAGGACACCCACAGAAGCTACTACTTGTTTATAGTTTCTCTGACTGTCTGCAGTCAGGTTGTGAATTAAAAGCCGCTCACTCAGTGCTGTTGGGTTTGGGCTGAGAGTGTGTGCATACATTTCTTAAGTAAATCTTTCTGGCATGAAGGGGTGTGGCAAAGGAGGCAGGCTTATGGCATTCTGCAAAACATTTCTTTTTTTGTGTGCAAAAATTATAAAGATTTGAGCGTGCACAAAACTCCAGCATATTAATAAGACCAAAACCAAATGCATCAAAGTTGTATTGATGAGCGGCATGTCTCTTTAAAAGGACATTAGAGGCACCCCGATCACTTCATCTCATTGAAGTGGTCTGGGAGCAATGCTCCTGTATGTTTAACCCTGCACTGTAAAACATTGCAGTTTCTGAGAAACTGCAATGATTATATTGCTGGGTTAACTCCACCTCTAGTGGCTGTATTCTAAACAGTCACTAGCGGTGCTTCCAGGTCCCTACTGTCTGACGTTGGTAGTCATCATGCTTTGCATGAGGACGTTCTAACATCATCTGTGTTCAACGTAGGAAAGCATGCTTTCCTATGGAGAAGCTTGAGTGCGCATTAGTTCCCACCATCACTGTGATGTTGTGGGCCGAGAAGTCCTAGCCAGCATCAAGAGAGCCTCGGCGCACGAAAGATTTAAGGTAAAAAACATTTTTTTACCCTTATTAAACAAACGGGAGGGGACCTGATAAATAGGGACACTGGTGTTTTTATTTCTAATAATATAGTGTTCCTTTAATGTTAATCATGTTTGGATGGATTTTCGCTTTAGGTATTTTTCTTTGAGAATACAATATGTAACGTTATCAAGTTTATGAATATTTTGATTCAAGTTTCAAAAAGTTTTTTTTTCGATTTAACAGTTTCAGAATTCACTGTGAACAGACGACATAATCCTCATCATTTTTGGATTTGTTTACTTAACTATGGATTTTTTTAGAATTGAAATCCGGATTGTAAATGCCAAAGTAGCTGAATGCTCAGCCAGGATTTTGGCTACATGAACATCATGAGATATGCAGTTCTCAGACGATCAGTGTGCTAAAATAAGCCATCATTACCTTATGGAGTTTTACTTATTACTTCGATAAAACAACCTTTTCCTGGTCAACTGTTCACTAAAGCTGCAACTTGCTATATTTACAAGGCCAGTAATGTAGGCCTTCCCAGAAAGGGTACGGGCTTGCCAGCCACCAGCCTGCAGCTCTTTCCAAGGAGCGCTAGTGAAGCATTCTCTGCAGGGTCTTTAATGGTGTCCCCCAGATGCAGGTAACGAGAGAACTAAATCGGTATGATGGGATAGGACCCCAAAATCAAGACTGTGGGCCTTGTTGTTTCTTACAGTGTATGGTAAATGTAGGTAACCAGTACAGTTGTGATAGTTATACATGGTGTATTAAAATTGTGGGCAGCTAATACAGATGATGAGAACCTCTAGTGGGAAAAAATGTTTTACATTCAGTGTTCTATCTACGTTGCCTTGACTTTTTACTCTTAGCTTGAAGAACTTTCACTTCAGAGAAATCTTCTCCCACTCCCATGTTATTTAGTACACGAACTCCGTGGAATAATCAAAATGCAGATATGTGTGGGCTTAATTTCCCATGATGCTTAGCCAACCTTTTAGGCCAAGCATCTTATGTACCATTGTTAGTCCTCAGCACTTTACAGAAATGAAGGAAAGCAATTCTCCCAGTAGCTGTTTGATTACATAGCTCACATTTCCATATTTTCTTAAAATTTTTAAAGCAAGCTGGCTGGGAAGTTGGTAGTTGCAGTGACCTGAATTCACATGACCTCTGCTTTTATTTAACCTTAAATCAGGACTTTTACTCTAACGGCTGCAGTACACAAGCTGTTATACTATGATGGTTTTTATCTGTATTTAATAAAGTATTTTTAATGACTTATTTTACTTTCATAACATGCCTCTTAAGCTTATTTTCAAATAATTCCTGACATATACCTGCCGTACAATCCTCGATGGCTAATCATGCTAAATTTCTTTAGAGAGACTGTTCTATCTCTATTTTTAATGCGCTAAATGGTTTGTTCACACCAATTGTAGTGTTATGAAAACTGAAATAACCAAGCTGTAAATACTCTTTGCAATGCAGCGTACAGCTTCCTGCAATTGGTGTTCTTCTTGCAATTTGCTAGAATTTGGTATTTAGTGAATAAGCCTCTTTAAATATATTTGTGTAGGGCTCACCATCCTCTGTGTTTATTGTTGGTTACTTTGGTGTGGGTGCTGGTAGGCTCTGTTTTGAGCTCTGTTTTGAGCTCTGTTTATTTAGCATTTACCTCTTGTGTCACTTTACCCCACTCCCTGAACCCTCTGGACTTCAAGCGCTCTTACTCCCCATGCATGCTCAGTGGCTTACTCCCAGCATCCCATTGTGAATATACATCTTATCTTAGATTTGGCTTTCCACTCAAAACCATACTGAAACCTCTGAACGGATGCCCCAGTAGTCTTGATTGATTACTTTACAAAGCAGTTAGGGAATGGGATTCTGCATGGAATACTTTTATAGCACCTAGAAGAGAGAAATTACTACACAGGAGCGCTATCTCTGAAAGTTGTCTCCCAATCTATACAACAGAAAGTTTATGGTACTTTCTACATGACACTCCCAACAATGTCCCATCCAGAAGTGTACAAATGAAACCGTATACAGGAACTGTAAGCAACAATGGCATCTATAGTCACATCCGGTTATTATCGTTTTACTAATTTCTATACATTGATCATACAATTTTTTTTTTTTTTAAATTACAGTTATTCCACATATATGCTTCTCTTTTACGATACAGAATATGACTTGATTTTTAAGAGGTCGTAGCGCAACGCAAGAATGTACTTTCTAAACACCCATTTGTAGTTATTTGAAGACCAATTGCAAAAAAATGTTGATTTGGGTAAAATGACCAACTCCAGTCAAATGTAAATGTGCATATTTTAGCGTAAAGTTTACAAGTCAAGTTTTAATTCTCTAGAATGCATTTCTTAGTAAATAACCCCCTGAGTTATATTGCCTAGTAACTCCCATTTATTCCTATGAGAGTCTCCGGACTGTAGTGCTCGGATCAGCACTATTAAAGCTTAACAGATAACCAAGAGAATCTTCTACAAAACATAATTACAGCTGAGGCATGCTGGCTTTTAAGAAAGGTGGTAGGAACCGCACAAGGCCAGTCCTGCCATTTCACGGTTAACTGCACTAAGCTCTAGTACAAGGGATAAAGCAAAGAAAACCTGCACTAATTGTCTGTAAGTCAATGTAAGCTAGCACTGGATAAAAACTGCAGAACTTGTCAGACCTTAATGAATCACTGTTTTATAGTCAAACTGTGAGTATTCGATCACTGGAAAATACACATCTACATGGACTGGAAGAATGAGAATTGACAATTACTTTGCACTGTTTAATAATCAGCTTTAATTATACCATTGTGAAATGTGTTGAAAGTCAACATGATGATGAGAATATTTAGTAGATGTTGGTAAATCATTAACTTTGCATTTTAGGGTGGTAATTAAAATTTTCAGGTTGATGGGCAGAATCTCATCTTTTGTTGGGTTAAAGTAAAATGTATTACAAGGTTATTCACTAAAGGGAGAATTCAAAGCAGTTTTGGTGTATAGATTATACCCCTGCAGTCTAACTGCTCATTTCTCTAACGTTTAGGAGTTAATTCACTTTGTTTATGCAGCCCTAGCCACACCTCCCTACATGTGACTTACACAGCCTTCCTAAACACTTCCTGTTTAGGGAGATCTAATGTTAAACTTCCTTTATTGCGGTTTAATATTTAATTTCTTATCTCCAGCACTGTTTATAGCCTTCTATACCCTGCAGAAGCCTCATGTGTGTGAGTAAAGTGCAATACAGAGCACAACATATCAACTTCTAAAGTAAGTCAAAATCTGATTGAAAATTAAACCTTTTTTTTTTTTTGCCGGATGTGTCAGTCACAGGGAAGGTGTGGCTAAAGCCGTATAAACAGAAACAAAAGTTATTTAATTCCTAAATGGCAGAGAATTGAGCAGTAACCCTGCAGGGGAATCATCTATACACTGAAACTGCTTCATTAACATAACATTGTTTTTATGCATACAGCATCCCTTTAAATTTAAAATTCACGTTTAATTCTCATTTTAGTGATTAACCCTATAAGTGTAAATGGCAGAATCATACATGAGAGTCACTAAACTCAAAACTGACAAAGGGATATCCGATACAAGCCAAAATAGCCAATATGCTTAGTGTGAGTGTAATGGAGTGTTTTCATTAAACAAGGGCATTTTTCTAATTCAATGTTCAACTTAAAATTTTAAATTCACTGGTTTATTCCCAGTAAATAATACTCCAGGTCTCTAACAAAGGTGCAGGCTCACATACTAAATTGCTAATATTGCAGATTCTCAAATGGAATAGGCAGAATCTCATAGACTCAGGGCAAAGGTGAGATTCTCTGGGTGAATGAGAATTATGCAGATTCACAATATATTGGTTTAAATCAAAGCTAAATGTAAAGGTTCTCTGGGTGAATGAGAATTTCACTGTATGGATTTTATTTCTGAGAATCTCAGAGTGAACTGACTATCTCTGATGGGCACACAGGTAGTAGCTGCCACTCACTGTGCTTTTTGCAATAGATTATGGTTACATCTAACTTTGACCATTATCCATAACTGTAGAAAAATGCCCAGATAGACCAGAACAATTCACAATCTGCACCTGGGTGTTTTCAAGCTGGGACAAAACAGAAGAAAATAAGGATTGTTATATATTTAGAACGGTGTATTACTAGGAAAAACAGTTTGGATTGGTAAGATTGTGTTTCAGCTCATCTTATTAGAAAACCCAAGAGAAAAAAAATCACGAATGCACCCTGTGCCGAACAAGGAATACACCTTGGCTAACACAGTCACAGTCAATATCATATCATCCTGGTTGCCTAGCCTGAAGGAGAAAAGGAGGCAGGGGACATCCGAAGATCAGAAATGTTTCTATATAAGTCATACTAATAGACTCATTGGGGTACAGTATACTTAAAGGACAACTATCATGAAAATGTATTTTTTGATATGTTGAAGCATATAGTATGTACTACTCCATAAACCTGTAATGGGTATAGGTTCTCATTTAAAAAAAAAAATTATATATATTAGGCTTTTATTTAAAAAAAAATAATAATAAATATATACACTGAACAAAGCTGAACTCAAACATATAACACTTTCTATATACACAAAAGGCCTAAATCTCTAAAATTTTCACAAATCTGTCTAAATCTGTGTTAGTGAGCTCTTCTCCTTTGCCGAGATAATCCATCCACCTCACATATCATATAGCATATCAAGATGCTGATTAGACAGCATGATTATTGCAAAGATATGCATTATGCTGGCCACAATAAAAGGCCACTCTAAAACATGCAGTTTTATCACACAGCACAATGCCACAAGTTTTGAGGGAGCGTGCAACTGGCATGCTGACTGCAGGAGGTCTGGACCTTATTAGGGGAAGTGAAAACATCATGCTTGTGAAGTTCCTTCATAAAGGCTTCTCCAAACAGCCTACCCTGTGCCCGATGACCAAGTTCACGTAGACCCAAGTCTGCCAGCTTGGCGTCAATCTTGAATAGGGCTGCCTTCCGCCTCTCCGAGGAGGGAGCGACATTAGTGTTTCCTAAGAAACAAGAGCACCTCTGAGTCCATTCCCGAATGTCATGTGCCAACTCTTGTACTGCATCTGCGTCGAAGGAATTCACTCTCGAGAAGGCATCTTCTGCCAGGAACATAATCCTGGAGAAAGGGGCAGTAGTTTGTCCTGAGCCCTCTTAAAACCTTTCTTGACCTCTTTGCGTGGGTCCCATCCACCATAGGCCATAAAGGTGAGCATGAGTGGGTTAAATTCAGGGGTCTGTGCAACCTTCTTGGGAAGCGATGGGCGAGGGCATTCTGAGCGTAGGCGATTGCGTACGTCCTTCTCAAGTGGCTTACGTAGCCATAGGTGCATAAACCTTGCCAGGTGATCCGGAGGCGTCCAATTCTCGGAGCGGGGTTGACGGATATTGTGCAGATCAAACATAGACTGACCAGAGGGGTCCAGTATGGTTTCAGAATCTGGCTGGGATTTTGTCAAGATCCCTTCCCCAGCCTCAGGCATCTGGGGCTCATCCAGGAATCCTTGGCCTGCCATTCATCCAGAACTGACAGTGAATGAGGCAGATCCCTATCCTCATCCGATTAAAGAGTGGATGGTATAACTGGAGCCAGTGTACATTTGGTAACACTCTCTTTAACAGGTGCTTTGCCCTTTGAGGACTTCCCTCGGGAGCTCTCGCCCTTCCAATAACGTTTAGCTAGGCGGCTAGGCTCTTTGGAGGAGGAATCTATTAAGCGTTGGGCTCGCTTCATCGGGGGCAGGTTTGACTGCGTCAGGACTAGTGGTCAGCACCGTAGCCAGTGTCTTCTTTACAGAAGCGGCCACCGCCTGGTTAATCATAGATTGGAGATCAGTAGATGTTGCATTAGAGTCCTCCATCATCATACAGATATTAGAACTAATTCTGAAACAGGCACAGGGTAAATGTAAGGTTGTAACAGGCAGCAGGTCAGTTCACTTATGATACTAGTCACTAGTATCAGGGCAGATATACTGGGGCTCATCCAGAAATTGGAGTGTGCAGACTCCCTGGAAGCCCTGCCACAATGCAGGAACCCAGTGGGTTTAGAGGTGGATGCCCGGTACAGGCACTCAGGTATAGACAGCCAGTATAGCACTCGAAAAGGGGGACAGGCAAGAGGTACAAGTAAGGAGAAAAGAAGAAAAAAAGAAGGGGTAGAAAAACCCCTTTACAGGCAAGGCTGTTAAGCCTATAACACATAAATAAACACAACAAAAATAATCACTCCGTAGAAATTAGTTAGTAAGGAATATAAAGCTGCACAATAAACAATCAAGGAGGA